CTCCCACGGTGAGCGCGCACCTCCTCCCTCCTGTTTCAGTGTTAACAGGCAGGTAACATTAGCGTGGAGCTACAGACGGAGAGAAAAGCATCAGTGACACAAGTCAGACTGGCTGAGCTCCAGCTGTGTTTCCAGACGTGAGCAGATCATTTCACCGAAGAGAAAGACAGAAAGACGGTCTCACCCCCCTCTCGCCGGGTAGGCAAACGGGTCTTTGGCGCTCCTCGAGGTCCTCCGGGGAGCGGCCTTGGCACCGTTACCCTGAGAAGGAGCACTGGTGCTGCATTGAACAGAAGATGCTCCTAATTAGTGCTGGTTGTGACTTCTTTCATCTCCAGGCTCTTTGATATGACAGGAACGCGAGTGCGCGCGCACACACACACACACACACACACACAGAACTGTCTGCTGATGCTCACGAGGTTATATGGTTGAGAGAAAGGAACTGAGCGTGAAACTGTACATACTGCATGCAGACGTGTCAAGGTTATTATGATTAAGTGAAGCTAAGAATAAAACAGAGCAGCAGTAAACACGTTGTTGCACTCAGATGTTGGAGCTCTCTTCACTGACACCAAAATGCTTTGTTTTGAGCTTTAGTTGCAGCTGTGGCTTTCAGAAATATTCAGAAAGTAAGTTTGAGATACTTCAGATCACAGACTTATTGTTGTTTAATGGTGACGCTTTATTTTAATAGTTCGCCTACGGATGGTTTAACGTATTAGTTGAGATTCAACGACTCTTTTCTGATAGTTCACCACTGTGGTTAAAGGTTTGGTTATGTTAAGCATAAAAAACAACTTGGGTAGGGTATGTTCACAAAATTTCACATATAATGTAACTAAGCTATATATTAATTAACACCTACAGACAAAGTGGAACAGTTGAACGGTTACAAGCACTCAAGGCCGACTATCCAAATAAAGTGCTACCAGTTTAATCATTTTAAGAAACAAAAACATTTTTTATTAATCTATGTTGTTTTTGTACAAAAATTTTTATAAAAGTGCACAAATTGTAGTTGAATTTCCAGAAAATGCTAATTAATAGCATTTCCATCCACGACTGTAATGCGAATATTAGTTGTTAGTCCATCGAGCAGTTTCAGTGGACGTCTGGGCTGCGTCCAACTTTTCGACTAGTAGTCGCACATTTATGATATTAATTTAATTATTTAAATACACACACACATATATATATATATATATATATATATATATATATATATATATATATATTATAACAGAAAAAGCGGTGATGATCCTGAAAGTGTTGGGGAAAAAAACACAAGGAGACCGAACATTAAGTTAATTTAATTTAACATCACACAAGTCTTGTTGTTCAAAACACAGAATAAATATCTTCCAACTAAACGAGAACAAACACTCACAGACTTAACGATATGATGGATGCTTCAACCCGGGAGTCAGAGTCCTGGTTGGAGCCACATTAAATCATCAGTAAAAAACGTTGAATTTTCTTTAAAAACTTTGATGAACAAATTTTACACGTGCATAAAAATATGAGAATGGAAACCAAGTTTTATCAAGTTTTCTAAACAAACATTTTAATTATCAATTAATGGTCTAGATAAATCATTCAGTCTATAAAAAAAAAGAAAATTGTTCATCCCAGTCTCTCTAAGCCCAAGGTGATATTTTAAATGTCTTATTTTGTTTGTTAAAGAAAAGATATTGAGTTTAATTCTTATGTATAAATACCAGAATGTATTTGCTGTGTTTGGATGTCTATTTTGTGTTAATGTTGTGTGTATGAGATTATGTGTGTAAAGACTGTGACAACAAATATCCTGGAAAGGACAATAAATCTTCTAAATCTTATTTTATCAGGTTAAAACCCAAAAATATTCAATTTAATATGATATAAAACAGAACTAAAGCAAATAAATCTCCATATTTGAGAGGTTGAAAACACAATTTTTGTATTAAAAATGACATTAACAATGAATCGATTATCAAAATAGTGCCAATTCTGTTGTCGACTAATCGTTGCAGCTCAACTAAAATGTACAACTTTAATGTGCGGGGACATAAAATCCGTCTCCCTGTGAACGGCGAGCCTTGTGCGTCACATGTGAACAAAGGAAATGGGCTTTAAAGTGCTGCTCTCTGTCGGACCTGTCGCTGTTACTTCAAAGCGCTGACTGCAGAGGTGAGATGCATCATTCTCGGAGGCTGAGTCAGATCCAATCAGAGGTGTCGGTGCAGCGGCGGCTCTTCATTCATGTGGACACAAAACCCATTTTCATTTATTGTGCTGATGATGTGGCCACTTTGACACCGTAGCTGAGGCTTTAAGGCGGCTGTGCCCGTTCACCGGACAAAAACAGGTCATTATTTAGAAAAAGGAGCTCGAATTTTAATTAATCTACAATGAGTGTGTGTGTGTGTGTGTGTGTGTGTGTGTGTTTGCTGCTTTCTCTTCCACTGTGTGTTTTATTGACCTTGTCGGAGGGATGCTGAGAGGACCGGTGATGGACAGCCAGTTGGCTCCTTGGTGGGCGCCGGCTGACTCCTCATTTTTTATCGTCTTGTCGTTCTTTTTATGCTCCCCGCACGCTGTTTGTTTCCGGATGTTTTTGTGGCAGAGGACGGGTAAAAGTCATATGTTGATCTGTAATCATTAAGGTTTTCAGACACCCGTGGTTACCGTGGTAACAGCAACACTTATTGAGCAGCTAATTTGACTCGAGGAACACGTGGTGTGTCTGTTTGTAGACAAACTAACCAGTGTTTTTTTTTATTATTTATTAATCTGTCAGTTATTTTCTCAGTTAATGAAGTTGTTCCATGAAAATGTTGATCACAAAGCACAAGTTGACGTCCTCAAGTGTGTTGTTTTGTCCACAACCCAAAGATATTCAGTTTACTGTCGTAGAGGATTAAAGAAACCAGAAAATATTCACATTTCAGGAGCTGAAACAAGAGAATTTAGTTTTTTTTTTCTCAAAACAATTAATAGATTATCAAAATAATTGGTAATTAATCGATTCTTTGTTGCAGCTAATGTTTACAGTGCAGCCAAACAAACCTGTTTAGATAAAAAACTGATTAAATCTATTTTTAGTTTATTGTTTTATTTTACAAATATATTGATATGTTGGCAATAAACCAGAAACCAAGCAGCAGATCTCAGTAAAGTTGGATACTTTGCTCAGGAGTTGGACAGGAAGAGATAAGATTTTATGGAGACCATAATCAATTCTGCTTATCGGTCCAAGTCTTTGTCTATTCCCTTATTGATTCCTGATCCATTTTCTGTGTGGAAAAAGTAGGACTACACGGGTTTAACCACAGTGTAGGAAAAGAGTAGCGTTATAGTAGTTTGAGTTACTGTTTCCACCTGAACATGAACCTGGTGCTGGTTCTGGTTCAGGGTTGGTTCAATTTGAGAACCTTCTCAGAACCAGTTTGCCGCCATAAAGCCACGTTGTTACTTTATACGTCTCCAACGTTAGCTGTTGTTACCATGGTGAAAAATACTAAAAACACAACCATTGTCTGGTTTTGTCAATGCAACACTGATAAAGAGTTGATATCCACCACAAGCAACTGCAGCACAGAAAGCATAAAAAGGTTTGGTCATCCCCTGTGTCACCATTACTGTGTGTAGTTTGTATATATAGTTATTTATGTTACTGTCCAGTATCAATATCAGTATCAGCCTTTAAAATCTGCATTAAATAGCATCAAAAACAACATCTGATCTCATTAAAACCTTTATAAGTTATATTATAACTATAACGAACGACACAAATCACAGTTGTACTGTCACTGCGACCCGTTCTACTGGAACATACTGTATGTTTTTGTTTGCTTTTATTGTTTTCACACGCTTTACTGGAGTTTTGTGCACACATTTCCCCGTCATGCACACTCACACTGTAGACGGGAGCTGTCTCTGAGGCCGGCGCAGATGGACTCGATGCACAGGACGAGGCGAGCATCCTGTCTCATTCAACACTTTCTCATCCCCGTTAATGAGAGATGGTACAATTCTGCAGCGCCATCAGGGCCGCGAAGTCTCTCCAGTCATTCAGAGATCTTGGCTGTCGTGGATGACGAGCAGCGGTGGACACAGCAGACGAGTGTTGCTTGGCTTTCTCGTGGTAGCAGAAGGAGGAAGGCGAGACAGATTTGCTGAGAGTGGAAGGCGGCAGGCGCGACGGAGCAGAAACACATCGGATCAGAATTAGACGTTTGTTAATGCCGGAGGCTCATTAATCAGCTGCAGAGGATCGGCTCAACAAATAGAAATACGTTTCTCTGCTCAGATCAATTTGACTCGTGTGCACTTTTAATTAATTTCCTTTACCTGCTCAGTTTGTGCCTGTGCATGAAAGGCAAAGGGAACATCCTCGCGTTGTATTTACTGTCTACGTGAGCTTCTGTGTGCCTCTGGAAGCTCACTACAATGTTTAAACTCAATCTAAAGTGAAGACAGATTCAGCAACTGTGTGAATAATTTCTTGCTTAAAATGTTTTCAGACACATATTTGAACAATTTTCCAGAAGCAGCAACAGTTTCTCCAATCAGTTGCAGTCTCTATTGCAAATCATTCAAATAATTTGAATTAATTATCAATAAACACGCAGTACAAACACCATAACTATACTATAGTATAAGACATTCACTCTTAGCACACTAATGGGCCACATATCCTTACATAGAAATCTTGCTTTCTTATCAGCGATGGCAAATCTGATCCAAAAAAACATCACTGGGTATCAAAACACGTGATTATTCTACTGCTAGTGTTTGTTCTCTTTGTAATGAAGCCCTGAGATCTTTAAAAAACCCTGAACACAAACTCACAGCACCATTAAAAGGTTGTATAACAGTTAATTCTGGTTCCAGTTCGTACATGTGTACATACAATACAGTGTGTGCTCTGTTTACAGGGGGGGGGGGGGAGACCTGGGTGGATACTGGTCACATAGTGAACTTTGCTTTCCTTCCTGCTCCTCCCGTTTCCACAGGAACATTCGTCTCCAGACCCGTCCTCGGCCCCGGCCCGTCCCCTCCGCAACAATGAACTCCTCCTCGCCACACGGCTCCCGCGCCTCCATCGACATCCTGGAGGAACTCCAGCTGATTGCGGCGCAGAACCTGGAAAAACTGGACATCAACAAATACTATGAGGTCGTCTGTGAACTGGGGAAGGGCACCTACGGGAAGGTGGACCTGGTCATCCACAAAATCAGAGGTAACTACTGGGGGTCTCAGCTGGATTCGTCTGCACGGGGTTGAAGTAAAAAGCAATATCTGGTGTTTCAAGAGCAATTTAACACCCAGTTTGAAGCTCCTGCTGAACCGATGGGTTTCAGACCGGCTCAGATCTCCCCAGAATTCATAGAACCACGGGGACATAATTATATAACTCTCACTTTAATGTTCTGACCAGTAATGGCTGAAATTTAAAGCAGTGACTTCAATCCCTTTAAACTCTTCATCTTCGCTGACGACCAAAATCGTGGTTCAGAGCCTTTTTTAAACTGCTAGTTTAGCCTAGCAACGATGCAGCAGGAGGTATTGGTTGAATGTGGCGTCGCCTCTTAGTTTTGGTGTCCCGGTCTGATTGTTTTGGGGTCAAGTGGGACAGATTTACTGAGATTTCTCTGTCAAAAGGAAAAAAAAACTTGTAATGGAGACTTTAAGGAACTGAGATTAATAGTGTTAGAAAGTGACTGTACGTGACATGACTCAGCATTTGATTTGCAAAAATGTTAATAAAGCGACAGTGTCTGAAATCATTGTTTTAAAAAGTTAGCTTAGCAAGCTGTCAGTTAAAAGCCCCAGAAATAATGTGAACTGTCAGGAAACCGCACACAGTTAACGTTCTCCAGCCGGCCTGCTGCTTAATTTCAAAATGCACTTTAGGTAAAAGAAAAACCAAAAGAGGGAACGGGGTTGTTGTCCTCTTTTGTGTCTCTACGTTGGGATTCAGACTGATAACGGGGTCATTTGTTCGTAATAAAAGTGCAGCTTTAAAACGCCTCACTGTGGCATCACAGCGGCGTCCACTGAGAGAACGAGAAACATGTAATGGTTGCACAGGTAGAGCGCTTTCATCCGTCTCTCGAGTGTTTACTTAACCAAATCTGTGGTAATGTAGGCCACCACTTAATGGAAAATCTGTCGAACCTCTTCACATTAAAAGCCCAAATGTTAACCATCTGCTCCGAGCTCGTTAATAGTCTCTTGTACGGCTGAGGTCTGTCACTGAGATAAATTCTGACCTTTTCCAGCCTGTAAAGAGCTCGGTCGAAGGATGTCGACCACGTGTACCTGGTGGTTTCATTATCTGCTCCTGAATCCTCCTTTCACAACCATCCGAGAACCAGCGTTAAGATTAATCACCTGCCCTCCGATGTATAAATGTCACGTTAACTGCGGGAAATAAACTGGGGGCTGAGTGTGAAGTTATTTCTGACTTTTTTTAGTCGTAAATGTGCGCAGATGCATTTCAGAGTCTGCGGAGGAGGGGCAGCTCCTCTTGTATCGTCAGCATTAAGAACAAACAGAAACCCTGTCGACCTTTTTTCCTGAAGCGTCTGCACTCGGTAGAAAGCACTTTACAGAGCTGACCCGGTGCTATCGGAGAAGTGTCCCCTTTCGTCTTCGCTGACACACTGACTGTCGGTGCAGGCGGATGTGGCAGCTCTCCAGGTTATCATTAGTGCCCCCCTTCCCGTTACGTTATTATATCACTCTTTTCCTCGTCTTCGGCCTCTCTGATCTCATTCCCAGCTCTTTGCGAGGACACGTTGAAGCACACACACACAAACCATCAGGTTTTATTTCAACGTTTTAATTATTCATCACATTTTGAAATTATTTTAATTGAGTTTCACTATTAGGCGTCCGTGTAATAAATCCCCCCCGAACACTTTAAACATGGTGGAAAGATTTGAGTTACGTAACCTCGCTTTCTTCGTCCCTCGCAGGCACGAAAATGGCCCTGAAGTTTCTGAGGAAGAAGACGACGAAGCTGAAGAGCTTCCTGAGGGAGTACAGCATCTCGCTCTACCTGTCGCCCTGCCCCTTCATCATCAACATGTACGGCATCGCCTTCGAGACCGACGAGTACTACATCTTCGCCCAGGAGTACGCGCTGGCGGGAGATCTGTTCGACATCATCCCTCCACAGGTGAGACCGTTACGTAATATAATCTGTTTATGAGTTTATTGTAACATAATCCGAATATTTATCTCTTAATCTCCCGAATATTGGAGGCAGTTTTTACAGATGTGAGATTACACGTCGGTGTCCAACTGTGCTTTTATTGTGAAGTGTTATCAAAATAAAAGCTCAGAAAATGTGTCACCAGGAGCTCTTTTACCTTCCAGCTGCCTCAGGTGTTATAACAATTTATTATATTTATTATTTAATCTTCCTGTCTCTGCGTTCAGGTGGGACTTCCTGAGACGGTGGCGAAGCGCTGCGTCCACCAGGTCGCCATCGCCCTGGACTACCTGCACTGCAAGAAGCTGGTCCACAGAGACATCAAACCCGAGAACATCCTCATCTTTGACAAAGAGTGCCGGAAGGTCAAGCTGTCGGACTTTGGCATGACGCGGCGCGCCGGCTCTCCGGTGAAGCGCGTGAGCGGCACAATCCCGTACACGGCGCCCGAGCTGTGTGACACCTCGCGACACGAGGGCTTCTGCGTGGACTACAGCACAGACGTGTGGGCGTTCGGCGTGCTGCTCTTCTGCATGTTGACCGGGAACTTCCCCTGGGAGAAGGCCATGCCCAACGACGCCTTCTACGAGGAGTTTGTCCGCTGGCAGCGCCGCCGGACGGGCACGGTGCCGTCGCAGTGGCGCCGCTTCACTGACGAAGCTCTACGAATGTTTCGTAGGCTCCTCTCCATCGAGCAGGAGCGCCGCTGCTCCGTCAAAGAAGTCTTCAGCTACTTCAACCAGTGCTGGATGCTGGACACGGAGAACGGGAACAACGGCGGCGGCGGCGGCGGGGGATTAGCGAGCAACGCGCCTCCTCTGGACATCAGTTCGTCCTCGTCCGAAGAGGACGTGTTAGTGGACAGACTGAAGCAGCAGAGCCTGTCGCCTGCGTGCGTGGTGGCGAAGGGGAGCATCATGATGGACACCCACTACTCCTCCATGTCCGCCAACAGCTCGCCGTCGTCCACCGGCAGCTACGAGCGAGTCAACAGAGAGAACAATGAGAGAGGGCGCATCCTGGTGGCCACGCCCATCGAGATCTGCGTGTAGAGGCGGCCGACGCGGCGTTACAAGGGCCGCCTGCTCGTACACACACACACACACACACACACGTGATTAAAAGCTGCTGTGAGCTGAAGAGGAAGAGTTTCTCCTGAGTTTGAGGAAGAGGAGGAAAAAGTGCGGCGACTTGGTGCTCGGCGTCAGGAATCAACCGTCTGACATCCGTTGTAGCTTCACTGTGGATTCACTCATTTCTGGTGAAGACGAACTCTGAAGGAAATGACCCGAGAGACGTTCACAGACCTCCTGTAATGTGGTTTATTACGGAAATAACAACCGGACGACCTTTAAATCAATAAAAATATTTAGGGGGGAATTAAAAGAAAAAGAATCAATCCATAAGCAATATTCAATCGTTTGGATTAATCAATGCAAAAATAATCTGTGAAGAAGAAGATGTGCTTTCAGTGAGACCGACGGTACTATTGTGTGTTTATTGTCGTGTGTCATTTTACATGTTCGGTAGAAACGTTTCTGTAAAAGTGTTTTTTTTTTTAAATTTGGAGTTAAATTATTTATTTATATTTATATATATAATTTGTTTTATCCAGTGACACCCAGAGATCTTTTTAAATATTTAATTGTTCGACATCTTTCTTTTAAATATTCGCCATCATGTCGTCGTGATCTCCCATAAAAGTAGACGTAGACTGTTTCTATCACCCGAAAATGTCCTTTTCATGTTCGCCTGTGATGCCTAAAACCCACAACTGTACAGTAGCAACCGACAACGTGAGCGGCTGAATTTAACGTTAATTTTAATTAATTTAATCTTCTTCCAACCAGTCGTCTCATTAAACTGCAGTGAAACGCTGCTGCAGCCCCCGTTATCTTAAAACTGATCACATATAATCAGGACAAATAACAGAAAAACGTACAAAAGTATCACGAATAATCCTCATTTTTCTACTTGCATGGTTAATAGAGAAGATTTACCTTTAATTGAGAAGTTAATTAGCGACGTTTATTTGGACTTTTCTCAGTAAAAATAAGATAATTGAACATGAGGATTTAAGAGAGATTAAAATTCAGTATTTTGGATGTTTTATTCCATTGTTTGCTGTATAAATCAGAAAGTTAAACCCTGACAGTGTGAGACAGGATGGACTCAACAACAAACCAACAACAATAAAAAGTCTTTTTGGATTTTGGGGGATTAAAATATTTCTTTTGTGTTTTTCAGAAGTATTGCATGAAGTGATATTACTGTGGTGAATACTTGTTGAAATAAACACCCCGAAGTGAAAAAGGTGGCCTCTGTTCTTTCTTTTAATTCATTTAAAACGTTTTTTAAGACAAGAAGAGCTGATTTAGAGTCAGTTAGTTTACGTTAGCTAGCGGAAACAAGGAGGCAGCTTTGCTTAGCTGAAAATCCACCAACAATTAAATCAAAAACTCTGATTAATACGTTGAATTTTGTTTTTTAATCTGAACAAAAACTGAACTAAAAACAAGAATTTGACGTTTTATGAGATTAGCTTGTAGCTTCCGTCAACCAAGAACCTGCTAATTGTTATTTTTACACTTAAGTTTCCGTACTGATTAAACAAAAGAGATAAAAACCAGTAATATTTAAGTTAATAAAAGCAAAATAAATGAAGCAAAAGTAAAAATAAAAGCAGTAAAGTGATTAAATATAAACATATTGTGTTTCAGAGCTTCAGACTGTAGATGAAAACATTGTCGTGTGCAGTCAATCCACCGAGGACGTCTTCTTCGTCTTCGTCTTCTTCAACTCAAACTCATCGACTCTGTTTGCATTTCCATTTTTAAAACCTCTTCCTGTAAGTCGGTCACATGATTCTGCCCCAATAAACTCTCGCTGCCCCCCCCTCCGGTGAAGCTGTGAAACCACTGAGGCGTTTCTGGCGAGCGAGCGGCGTCTGCCTCAGAAACCTCGCCGGAAGCTGAGTTACGTAACGATCCCACCAGGTAGGATCTGATTTACTGTTACACATAAAAACATCAACCTGAACATCTTTACAGCCTGAAGATAAACTGTATTATTATATATTATAAGGTGTTTTATTAGCTGTAATAACCCTTTAATATTTTATTAATAATTCTATGTGTCAGATCTTTGTAGTATTCTTATACTACTTTAAATAGTAACACTATATAATATTATATTGTATATTATATTATTGTTTATGTAGTTGTTTTTTAACATTCCTATAGTAACACTATGATGATGTTTTAATTAATATATTATTAATATAGTAACTTACTGTCTGAAAAACCACAGAAAGACTACAGAACATACTGTAATTATATAAAAATATAATATATACATATATATATAAGTAATGACTTCAGTGATTCTATATTAACACTATAGTGGTGTAAGAATACTTTAAAACAAACAGTGTCAACATTTAGTTCATTTCTGTAAATAAAACTTAATATTTATTTTAGATTTTTACACATAAACACACAGAATATATTCAGTGTCTGATAAACAGCCTCATAGAGTCAACAATGGTCAACCCTCAGGGAGAGGAAAACATTTAATTTGTCAAATAAAGGTCTAATAAGTATGTTTGAGTGTTAAAAATGTGAAAATATACATAATACAGGATTAAAAACATCAGGAAAACTCATCTCTGACACAATATTCACAGGAAATAATCTCAAAATGCATGCAAATCGCTCGTTTTAATATAAATAATATAAATAAAACAACATCAGTTCTCTGCTGTTTTTGTTCTGCATTCAATATAATATTAAATACACATAAAATATGTTCCACAGTCGACTCAACAGTATTAATAAAGTGATTTTCTTCTCTTGCTGCAGTAACACTGATAGTTCTTTGGGGTTTTTATATAGTTTTTCTGAGGGTCAGTCCAATAAAAGTCCATCTGCGTGGAGAGAAACCAGCCGAGCCGGTTGTTCAGAATATTAATTACAGCGACGCTCACTGATCTCACTGTTTCCACCACGTTTACATATTCACATCTTTCTGTGTGTGTCAGTACTTCAACAAATAAATAAAACATAGGATGGAGAGGACGAGGCGAGGGCACGCCGGGTTATTTCAGGGTACTGATACTGATACCGATCATTAGTAATCAAGGACTGATATTTGGAACCGATATCAATACATCTTAACTCCAGTTCATGTGCTGTTTCTATGGAAGCCCAAAAAGATTCTGTAAGTCATTATAATGAGAAACTTAAATATTCATTTATCCCAAAATAATGACATATTATCCTGAAAATAGTGACTTATAATATCAAAATATTGACTTATTATCTAAAAATATTGACTTATTATCCTTAAATATTGACTCATTATCCTAAATATTGAATTATTTTCCTAAAATAATGACTTATAATCTCAAAATATTGACTTATTATCTCAAAATATTGACTTATTATCCTAAATATTGAATTATTTTTCTAAAATAATGACTTATTATCTCAAATTATTCACTTATTATCACAAAGTTGGAGAAAGTTTCTGATAATAATGACTGTTTAATGGGCTTCCATAGTTTTCTTTGTGTCGATGTTGAAACGCTGTAAAACAATAAAAACCTCAGTTTACTCCTGTATTATTATTATCATTATTATTATTATTATTATTATTAATAATAATAATAAAGAACAGAGGGAATAAAGTAAAACCACAAACTGTCTCTTCGTCGTGCCGACACATCGAGAGAATCTGAATCCTGATGATTTATGGGAGTTTACAAACATCTCGTCGTGTCCTGAACGTCCCCAGACGCTGAATGTTTCTGGGATTGTGGGTAAAAGCCTGCAGCTGGAGCGCAGTGATGAAGAGACGCTGAGGAGTGAACACGAGGAAGATGATAGCTGAGAGGAGGAGGAGGAGGAGGAGGAGGATAAAAGAGGCTTCATCTGCAGCTGCAGGCGTAAAGCTGACAATGCTATCATGCTAATGTGTAGCACAGGGATCTCGTCTCACTCTATAAGACAATAAATATTAAATGTTACAAATGTAGTTCAAATTCATATTAAACAACCAGAAAAAAAAAATAATAATAATATAGGTTTAGGTAGTAGGTTGCACTGGAGAAACTAGCATGTAGGTAAAGATAATTTAAAAGTTTCAGCAAAGAAAAAACGGTTAAAATTGTGATTTATTGTGCAGAATGTAACAAAAGAAGATTTCTTTATTTATTTTTTATTTATTCTTTAAGTCTCCAGAATCATTGAGGTTTCTTTCAGTCGGAATGACGTCGATAATATAATAATAATAATAATAATAATATAATAATAATAATAATAATATATAATAATAATATATAGTATATAATAATAATAATATATGCATATATATAATAATAATAATAATAAAATGAAGATAAAACTAATAATATTCAGTGAAAACAACGGAGCACTGAGATATTAATATAAAATGTAAAGGAGACCGAGGACGGATCCCTGTGGGACACCTTTGGTTTCTACAGAAGCTCAGAAAGGACAAAAGACACTAAAGTAACTTAAATTAAATATCAAACATTCGTGGCTCTGAGTCGATGAATCCCCGTCAATAAATTTATAATGTTCCCTTCACTGTCAATAACTTTCCCATCAGCCTCAGCTGCACTTGTGTAGCGCTAATTAGCATGCGTGCTAACACGCTAAACTTAGGCGTGTGAACATGTCGCCTCCTTACATTAGCATTTAGCTCCACTGTGGCTAAGAACAGCCTCACAGATCCGGCTAGCGTGACTCAGCACATCACATTAATATTAATCGACCATCTGATCACCAGTCTTCATCAATATATTGATCAGAATAAATGTTCTTCATCTTCAGTTAGTATCTCGGTCGTGTTACTCGATGTCGAGCTGGAGACGAACGCCACGGTAACAGGATGCTTCAGCAGGTGAGAGCAGCTCGACGAGGTGATAAACGGCGTCCTCGTGGCGCCACGGGTCAAAACACACGGCAGCCCGATAATGAGGTGACGAAGAGGAGCTGTAGAAGCATTTTTTCTGAGCGCTGTGACGCTGGAACGAGGACAGTCTGTGACTCAAAGAGCAGCAGAGTCGCTGTGCGTCGGTCACAGCTCGCTGCCCACATGTTTCAGCTGCTTTCAGAAACACAAAAACAACTTAATTTACATTTAATTAAAGCTCACTGGATAATTTCTCCTTTTAGATCTGAAAACAAACAGGAGAGATTTTGATTTTAAACAGTGTTTTCTTCACAACAGCCCCAATTTATGAATTAATTTATAGATTAAAACTGTTAGTTTTCAATCTGCTTACATAGATTTATTGTTTATGTTAGAGGTTCCCAACCTTTTTACTTAAGGGACCTTTAATAACACATATTTTATATTTAATGTTTCACAATAACAGCCGATAAACGTCCTGTGAACATCGATCAGAGGTGAGTTTAACATTTTTATGCAATTCTTTATTTTCTTAACAATCAAACACACTTAAAGTCTGTAAAGTAAGTTTGACCATTTCTCTTTAGTTTGACTTTAAAAATAACAATTTCATTTAGTTTTTCTTCACAAAAATAAACTAAATGCTGAACTATACTACTATAGTATATATATATATACTAATATACACTAATATATATCGGCCTACTGTGTGTCTATTTAAAGTTTTCTACGACCCCTACGACCCCTACCGATGAAGTTTCCATACAACCAATCAGATTGCTTCATTTTCAACCAGCCACATCAGCTTTGCCTCAAAACCCTGTTATCCCGTAAACAAACACCCGTTGCTCCGTAAATACACACTGCTGTTTTCAATCAACGGGCTCCGACCCTCCGTACAAACATTAACACGTCTCCAGGAAGAGCGCCGATCCAACCTAGTGGCCAAATGGTGTAATTACAGCAGAGACGTTGACCCAAAAACACACTGAAATCTATCAGAATTTGATCCATTCAGTCTGATAACATTTGAGATTTAAGTTAGTTTGTTAAATGAGCCACTAAAACATTTTTTTACTTTCACAATAAGTGTTTAGGAATATATTGATGTTGTCTACATGCTGCCGCTGGTTCTCTACGTTTTCTTACTCACACTTTATGATTTAGTGGCCGTCACATTAATCTGCACAGATTATTTAATAAATAACTGCACACAGATTTTACAATTAGACTGAAAATGTGCAATAAATCTATATTAGAAGCTAATATGAGACTTTGAGACTCTGTTGTGTCAACATATCTCTGACCTTCACAATCCTGGAACAGCAGAAACAAACTGTATGAACCAGAAGAAATAAGATGTCATTAGATCTTAAACAGGTCTGGATTCAGTTTCTTCTGGTTTCAGTCGACAGTAAAATAAGTTTAACTGCACTGGAAACAAACATCCTTCTCTAACACAAACATAAAAACCCCCTTCAGGTGTTTGGCGAGCGGCCAGAACTCAAACACACACAGAACATTTAGTTCCTGTGTGGGACGTCTGCACAACAACAACAACAACAACAACATTCATCCAGCCTCTCTGAGACAAACACTGAGACACACTGACTCCGTTTTATTGACTTTTATTAAATAACGTACATTTTCTATTCCTCAAATAATAAAAAGTCATGAAATCAAAGTCTTTATTTTTAGACAGTCGATGGTTTGTCGGCGCGGTGAGATGATGGATGGTTAAAGCTGCACTAGGCGACGTTAAAGGGTCAATTCACATATTTAATGTGTGGATTATTCGGGGCAGAGGGGGTTTAAAACAGGAATGAGACAGAAGTTTCGTTCAGTTTCACAGTAAACCGATGAAGAGTCTGTTCGTCTGTTAAACTCTTCATCACAGGTTCGTTAATGAAGTTACTGAGTAAATGATGTGAGCAGATTGTTTCTGTAGACTGAAGAGAATCAGAAAAAAGTCTTAAAGATTGTGTAAATAAAGTTTTTACTGTGAAAAAATACAAATTTTCCTTAAAACAGCCGTTTTTTGAATGGAGACTGGTTAGAGAGAGTGAATCAGAGGGTGTTTTTACCTTAATAATTCACACAAACTGAGCTGACCTCCCTGCTAATAATGAAACAATGAACCTAGCTAACAAACGATACGATATTCTTATTTTATGCTTTCAAAATGGTAAATTACCCCCCAAAAGTGACAAATTGTTTTGTTTTAAACCTCAAATATTCAATTTAAAGTGATACAACAGAGAATATAACGACAATCGTCACATTTAAGAAGCTTTAAACAGTTTTTATTCAACTGTTCCAGCTCTAAAAATCGCTTTCGTTTGTGGTCATATTTATTTAACTCTGGCTTAGTGCAGCTTTATGTTACATTTAAATCATTTTAGATGAAAGAAAAAAGGGACATAAATAACAACTGATTGTGCAAACAACAACTGTTCATGCAGCCGGGAAATAAATTATGTGTTTATGTGACTGAAACACTACCAGAAAATACAAAAGTAGTAAAAAGAAGAGTTCTTATATAAAGTTTATATTCTATACAACGGATCCATAAAGCTCATTTAAACTCTAATATAATAACTATGTTTAAATAATAAAACTGTATTTGTGACGTCCAGGTGGAGCTTTAATAAGAGGAATAAATAAACACACACACACACACACACACACACACACACACACAGAAACAGAACAAAGACTTATAAAAGTTGTCGAGTGGCCCCTGGTTGATTGGTCTTTAATGACGAGTGAGATCTGAGCAGAAGGTTTTCCCGCCTCCCGCTCGAGGAAAACGCGAGCGCTTAGCGTCCGTTAGTGTCCGTTAGCGTAATAAAACTGCAGCGGTGAAATCAGGCCGTTCACGTAGCACCCTGAGGAGATCTGAGGATCGCTCTGGAAACACAAACAGGGACGTTAAAACGGGAAGAAAATATAGTTTCTGGACATAAAATTCTTTTATTGTTGTTATAAATTAGTAGAGCTGCAACAATCAATAGTTATTAATGTCGATCAATCCCCAACAAGTAACCTTTAATGGGTTTATACATTAATCTCCGTTAACTATTACCTATAAACTGTTACTTTTAGTTAACTATTACCTATAAACTGTTACTTTTAGTTAACTATTACCTATAAACTGTTACTTTTAGTTAACTATTAGATATTAACTGTTACTTTTAGTTAACTATTATCTATAAACTGTCACTTTTAGTTAACTATTAGATATTAACTGTTACTTTTAGTTAACTATTATCTATAAACTGTCACTTTTAGTTAACTATTACCTATAAACTGTTACTTTTAGTTAACTATTACCTATAAACTTCTTTTGTTACTATTAGATATTAACTGTTACTTTTAGTTAACTATTAGATATTAACTGTTACTTTTAGTTAACTATTATCTATAAACTGTTACTTTTAGTTAACTATTATCTATAAACTGTTACTTTAGTTAACTATCATCTATAAACTTTACTTTTAACTATTACCTATAAACTGTTATTTTTTTAACTGTTACTTTTAGTTAACTATTACCTATAAACTGTTACTTTTAGTTAACTATTAGATATTAACTATTAATTTTAGTTAACTATCATCTGTAAACTTACTTTTAGTTAACTATCATCTGTAAACTGTTACTTTTAACTATTACCTATAAACTGTCACTTTTAGTTAACTATTAGATATTAACTGTTACTTTTAGATAACTATTATCTATAAACTGTTACTTTAGTTAACTATCATCTATAAACTCTTACTTTTAACTATTACCTATAAACTGTTACTTTTAACTATTACCTATAAACTGTTACTTTTAGTTAACTATTACCTATAAACTGTTACTTTTAGTTAACTATTAGATATTAACTATTACTTTTAGTTAACTATCATCTGTAAACTTACTTTTAGTTAACTATTACCTATAAACTGTTACTTTTAACTATTACCTATAAACTGTTACTTTTAGTTAACTATTAGATATTAACTGTTACTTTTAGTTAACTATTAGCTATAAACTGTTACTTTTAGATAACTATTATCTATAAACTGTTACTTTAGTTAACTATTACCTATAAACTGTTACTTTTAGTTAACTATTATCTATAAACTGTTACTTTTAGTTAACTATTAGATATTAACTGTTACTTTTAGTTAACTATTAGATATTAACTGTTACTTTTAGTTAACTATTAGATATTAACTGCTACTTTTAGTTAACTATTAGATATTAACTGCTACTTTTAGTTAACTATTAGATATTAACTGCTACTTTTAGCTACCTATATGCTATTAACTGTAACTCTGAGCTAACTATTAGCCGTTTCTAATTCTCTGCTCACTTAATTAATTAGTTAATTGACTGTTGCAGCTCTACAAACGAGCTATTACACTTAAAGTTGTTGAAATGATCAATATTTCTCACCTCCAGTGCTTCCCAAATGTATTTCACGTCATCTTTTGTGTCGCCTGTTTCCACCTGTGAACAGTTTGTTCTGTCGGACACAAACACACAAACAACGACAACAACAACAACATCAGCTCGACACAAATAAAGAGAGATTATCAGATAATGCAGCAAAGAGAAGATCTGCTGAATATCACAGAACACAACTTGTAAACTGTATTTTACTAAATATGTATCAAATATAACAACATATTTGGTCAAAATTGTTTAAAAATGCACATTTAAAAGGTTAAATTCCACCAAATATGTAGTCACTGTGCCTTTGTAGGTCAGTATAAAGTTTTAAAATTTAATCAAAATCATGAAAAACAGCCTCAAATCAAACAAACAGGAGTGTCCACATACTTTATCCATTCTCCTTTTAGCTTTCTTCTACACTGAAACCAGCATTTACCACTTTATTATTTACAGATATAAACATTAACTGTGCTGCTGCTTCCTCTACAAGCTGCTACACACACACACACACACACACACACACACACACACACACACACTAACACCGGAGTACAGCAGCGCCCCCCGGAGGCCGTGCAGCTCCTCACACTTCCTCTCTGTTCACCTTGTGCTCTGGACATCTGATGGAGAAGTTGTCTTCGTTTAAGAAACAGCCTGAAAAACAAAAAAAAACATTGTTAAAACATTCGTCATTTCAGGCCGAGTGAGAACGACAACCTTCCCACACGAGTGAGTCGAGATCTCGACTCATCCGTCACCTTCACAGGCGGGAAAATATATATTTTAGTTGATTTCTGCCACGTATTTAATTCTGTACCTGACTGAATGGCACATCTGTAGTGATAGTTCCTGGGACAGCCCTTCTGGAAACATCCCATTATTGCACCGGTTTGTTGGCACGCTGAACATTTCTGAAAGCAGACGCACAAAGTTTATCTCTTTTTATCTCTTTATGTGAAGCAGAATCATATTAAAATAACTTAAATAACTCTATATTTTACATCTATTTCAATAAATTACTCATGTTTTTATGTCAGTTACTGGACATTTATTGTTTTTTTTTTGGTTTATTTTGGGTAAATATTTTAAACGTCTGAAGCTGAATGTAACAGGAGGCTTCAGATGTTTAAAGTGCTTTTAATTTGAAATTCTCTCTTTTCCTACAATAGTGTTTTTCGGGTTGTAACACAAAGAGGGAATTTCAAGCTAAATAAAACTGTAACTTTTCAAAATATCCACTTTAGAGCTCATTAATAATTTAGTGGATCGCCAGAAAAACTATTTTTATTAGTAATTAATTATCTATATAGTGAAAAATGACTCCACATTCTGTAGTTTCAGCTTCTTGTATCTGAAGATTTGCTGCTTTTCTTTTTCTTTTCTTCGCAGCCTCTCTGTGGTTAGTTTCCATAGCCGGTCTGCTCCGACCGAAACTGCTGTTTTTATCATCTACGTCAGTGAATTAAGGATTTATTTCCACCGAACCAGAGTTGGTGATTGTTGGAAACACTAACAGAGACAGTTTTAATCAGTTTTATTCTGTTTCTGTCCACGTTGAATGACGTTACGATGATCTGAAGGTAAAAAGAGTGTTTCTGTCTCTGGAGTCTGGTGGAGAGTGATGGTGATATTACGGCTGTTTGTGGTTGAACTAAAGGTCTATCTCTGTAGGGATCCTTTCCATGATGCTGTCAGACACTGACAATAACAACCTGAGTGTCACTCACTGTTTCTTGTGCGAGCCGCGCCGCCTCCTCCAACCCGTACAACTTCCCCCGTACCAGAAAGACGCCGGCGGACCAGATACCGCAGTCCTCGTGGATCCAGCACTCATCCAGACGAAGAGACACCTTCGGGAGAGAACGGTCGCCCTCGGAGGAATTGACGGGTAAATGTTCTTCCTCTTTCTGCTCGGTGCCGCCGTTCTGGTTCTGGTAGTCCACGTGCGGGCTGGTGGGGCGGTACGGGCCGTGAAGGTCCCCGAGCCCCATGGCGTTTGCCGTGTGACCGCACAGGCAGCACAACAGTGAGTCCTGACATTGGCTCTCCGAGCTGAAGCGACACAGCTGGAAGCAGGAGGAGTTGGGAACGAACCCCGACAGAGACCTGGTCTGGTGTGGTCCTCCTCCTCCTCCTCCTCCTCGGCTGCTCCTCACCGCCGCCTCTTCCTCCTGGTAGTTGACGACGATGCACATCTTCTTCTCCATGTGAACAAACGGGCAAAAACTGCCAGATTTTTTGTCCTTTTTCTCCTCTTTAACGTTTGCATATTTAAGTTTGATCTCCGGCTCTCGGGGAGGAAACTGAGCCGACGCTCCGCTCCGCGAGCGCCGCTTCTTCTTCCGCCTCACGACAGTTTTTGCGTTTGCCGACTGGTTCCTTCGCTCCGTTGGGACGCCCTTCTGTTTGGTTCTTCTTAACTTTTTAGCTTTCCGAATGGCGAGGGGCTTCTTCCGTTTATGGTTGACGCTCTTCGCTCGGGGCACTGAGCGGCGAGGCTGCGGCTCTTTCTGCGGCGGCTTCCTGTCCACGCCAGACTCCTCTGAGTTGCTGCTCGCTCTCTGCGACACCTGTGGCTGCGTCACCGACTCGTCTGAGCTCGACAGCCTCGCCGCGTACTCCATCATGTCGTCGGAGTCGCAGCATTCGTTGTAGATTCCCACCGCGTCGTTCTTGGCTCGCCTCCTCAGGCTGTGCCGCGACGGGCTGCAGGTGAACTGTGGCATTTCCGAAACGGGTTTCCGGATTCTGGTGCTGCGCCGCACCTCTCGGGACGGTTTCTCGTCCTCGCTCTGAGGCGGAGTTTCTCTCGCCAGACTCTTCTTACAAGGAAAGTTCTTCTTCTCGTTCGTGACTGAAACCTCAATGACGTCGCTGTCGTCGCTTGAAATGTCCACCGGAGATTCGGCGGGGTTGCCGTAGACCGCGCTCAGGTCGGACAGCAGGACCACGGGCCTGGTGTGGTGCACGGGAATGTCCACGGAGCTCTCGGAGGAGTCCTCGGAGTACGAGCTGTCGGGACTGGGCGAGCTCAGAGGTTGAGGAAGGTGATAACAACCTCTCCCCTCGTCCAGCGAGGACACGGCCGGCGACAGCGGCTCCACGATGTGCCGCACGCTGTCCTGGATGAACGGGGTGCATAAGAGCGGCTCCTTCGCCGAGGAAACCAAGAAAATCACGTCCGAGCCGCTGTCGCTCTCCTCCCCGCCGCTGCTCTCGGGAACCGGGCCGCCGCTTTGGTTGGGCCCGTAGAACCCCGGGTGCCACAGGTTGCTGTGCACGCCGTCGCGGTACAGGTCCAGACCCGGCGCTAGCGTCGAGTTCATGTAGTTCCCCAGCGCCTCCGGGCCCTGCTCCATGTCTCGGCAGTGGACGGGCGCGCCCGGCTCCGGGTGCAGCTGCGCCGACAGAGAGCTGAAGGAGGACGAGGCTCTGGATCTGAACGGGGAGCTGATCTCCGGGCTGCAGCTCGCCGGGCGTCTGTGGTACCACTCGGGCTTCTTCGCCAGGTCCATGGCTTCAGTGTGGCTGCGGGTCAGAGGGGCGACGGAGAAACCCTTCGACAGGTCCATGGCCATGAGAGATGGATCCTGGGAGGAAACTTCCATCACTGCAAAAACACACAGAAAGACACGACTGAGATCCCCTAAAGGTCAAAGTTCATCAGCATAGAAACCAACAACAGAGCCCAAAGAGACGTCTAACGTCGAATGTTCAGTTTACAGAGAATCAGGACAAAGAAAACTTTATTTTAAGGAGCTGAAACAAAACATTTTATTTTCTGTTTTTACTATTTTGGTTTGAAAAATCAATAAATCAAAAATCATCAATAGTTATTTTGATTTTGTCATTTTTAATATTTGTTAATATTTTTCTGTTAATGAATCAGTTGTTCTCAGACTGTGCTTCATAAATCCACTGTGGGGGGTCGAGGTTTAACGGTAATGAACTAAAAACTAAAACTTAGTGTTTTAGTTTTAGCTCCTGAAATAAAACGAGGAGGTTTTGGTTTTTTATGTTTGTGTTTGTTTTATAAACATATTATGAACCTAAAACTATGTTTGTTATATTGTGATATTTTATTATAAAGTTTATTCTGCACTGTTGATTTATACACTGACCTTTATGAACTTTGGGATCTAAATAAAACTTGATTTTACATTAATCAACCAAAAATAGTAAAAAAAAAAACATTTTAAATTCAAATTAAAGATTTTGTCAGAATTCACTTAAAATGAAAACTTTAAAGTTTTGGGAAGTTTGAGGAGATTTAAAGACTCGAGCTCTGGGAAGTTGTGATGGGTTTTTCTTTTACATTTAATATAATATATGATAAATTGATTAATCTAAAAATAAATGCCACACTGATCAATAATGAAAACAATTGTTAGTGAGAAGATGAATGTTGTTTTACAACCTTTTTATCTGTTTTTAAAGAGTCAATATATTAATAATAATAATAATAATAATAATAATAATCTATGAGACATTTTTGGCTCCAAACTTCTCCTGAGCATTGTCCTATTTATTTAATATTTTACTGTTTTTATATATAAAGACAAAACTGAAGCTGTAAATGTTTTTTATGGCTTTTGATTATTCTTAGTGGGTTTTAATTCTTTAATCTTTTAATTGTTATTGTTCTTACAGGTCTAATTCTGTCTTTACATTTATTTGTTATTGCCTTATATTTACATATTATATATATGTATTTTTATTGTCTTTTGCACTTTGGTCAACTCTGCTTGTGATTTAAATAATATTTTTTATTATTATTGTTGTTGTATTTATGCTACAGCAAACTGTACAGATATTTTATTTTATTTATTTGCATCAAATCAAATTAAGTTTATTATTATTATGTGACATTGATAATAATAACAATAAAAAAACCTAATAATATAATCTAATCATGGTGATAATAACCAACAATAAAATAATAATAATAATTTATATATTTTATAATAAACTAATAATAACAACAATAATAATAAAAACTATTAATAATATTAATATGAATGAACATGCAGGTAATATTTCCTTAAAGCAGATATATTTAATCATTTTAATAATAATAATTTTAGTGTATTTTAATGAGATATAACAGTTTACTAACATATGAAGGTAAAAATAAACAAAAACAAACATTAAACTGGATTTAACTGTGAGAAATACAATAATAACAACATAATAAAATATATATAAATATAATCAATAACAGATGTTAACAGGTAGGCCCGAGCACCGCTGTTAAAGGTGTAATAAACAACAACAACAACAACAACAACAACAACAGCAACAGCAGCAGCCAACCACGGTTCTCTCCACCGGTGCTCTCACCCCTCCGGTGGCCGGAGTTCAGCGCCGACAGCCCGGGCTCTGAGGATGAGCCCGCCCGCCCCCTCCCCTCCCCTCCGGTAGCTCTGTTAGCTAACGCGCCTCTTCAGGCCCCTCATCGGCTCACTGGAGGTAAACAACAACAACACTTGTTCCCAGAGCGAGGCTCGATAGAGACTCAGACGGCGGAAGGACATTTGAACGGACGAGCAGTCAGCAGGGAACCAACCTCCTCCTCCTCTTCCTCCTCCGCGCTGCTGCTGCTGCTGCTGCTGTGTTTTAAACTTCTCATCATGGACACCTTCTTCCTGCTGCGTCAAGCCGCCGAGGAAACTCCCGGATGACGCCAGAGAGCGAGAGCCGCCGCGCCTTCAAAGTAAAAGCTCCCATGTTTTGTGTCGTTGAACGTTATTATTAGTGTGTGTGGGGGGGGGGTTCTCTTTGTTGGTTTTTCTATTTTTAAAATAATAAATGTAATGAACTCCCCAGGTAGAAGTCATATAGAGGGGGAAAATGGTAAAATAAATAAAATAACATAAATAAGTGGAAGAAAGAGAAATTATATTTTAATATGCAAAAAACTTCAATACAATTTAAATAAGTTATTATTATTATTATTATTATTATGTTATTAGATAAATACCAGCAGGATGCCAAAATAAATAATATTTTTTAAAAAAAGTATGAGTAAGGAAAGACCAAAATTAAAGAAAGAACAATAAAGACAGTTTTTTTTATGAATAACAACTGGAAAGGAGAAATACCTTAAGACTTTCTGAACAACTTATACTGCTTTATATCGTAATTAAACCCCCTTTAAGTGAATTAAATTTAACTTATCTTTTAGATTTACTTTGTTTTTGTCTCTTTTCTGTTGATATAAGCTGCTAAATAAATTCTTACTGTGCTGCAGTTACTTTAAAAATGTAATCAAATACAATCACTAATTACCGGGTAATAACAAATAGTCAATAACTTAATCCAAATATCACAATAAAGTAAATAGAAACAGTTAATTTTGATTAACTTTATATACAATAAACTTTTATCTTAACCTTAAATAACTGATAAGTTTGTTTGTTTATATTCTGTATATATATATATATATATATATATATATATATATATATATATATATTCAATAATCTGACTCTAAGATAATCAATAAATGTAGTGGAGTAAAAGTACTTTAATACACTCAATACAGCACTTGAATAAATGTGTTATTTTCTTACTGTATTTTAATTAATAAAATGTTTGTTTGTTGTATAAAAGCTCGTTAATCTACCTAATACTTATTTTATATAAATATTATTTTATTAAATATAATTTCTACTATATTCTTTTCAACTAAAACTCTAAAAACATCTCAACTGTGTAACAATAACAACTCTACAATCTCACGCCATGCTAGGCTTTTATTTTGAAGTATCCACCCGGAAACCTGACTGTGTGTATCCAGATAACTTGACGTCTTCTTCTTCTTCTTCTTCTTCTTCCTCCACAAATAGTGATGAAGGTCTGAAACAGCCTGAATATATTTTTACAATAAAAACACAGAGAAACAGTTTTAATCTGCCGATTTCATTTAATTTATTATATTAATACAAATATATAAATCAGAGTCCACTGACAGAAATGTTTAAGATTTTAATTTAAAAAGATTTAATTGATGTAAAAAAAAAACGACAGTTTAACGACACGTACAGCAGAGGATGAGGACAACAAACAAACAAACAAACAAACAAACAAACATAAATATGATAAAAACATGTAATCAGACTGAAGTGTTACAGCAATAAAATGTCTGTACAGATATAAAATATATAAAATAACATAAACACTTATTTCTTTATGCTGATGGTAAAAACTTAATAACAGTTTCTGGATTTATTAAATAAAACTTTTTAGAGGTTACAGGAGGGAATGATTTGTCTTGTACTGAGTACTTTTATTTTGAAATGTGGAGCTATCAGGGTGCATTGTGGTCCAGAGCGCGGCGAGCCAGCCTCAGGTTCTCCCTCAGCTCGTCCAGCTCTCGCTCGCTGTCCGCCCTCGCGGCGCTCAGCTCGGCGTACGCGTCCTTGTACGTCTTCACGGCGTTCCTCTTGTCCTGTAACGGAGACGATCAGGTCGTTAATTCGTAATAATCGACCTCATTGACGACTGTAAACGTCAACAACAACAACAACAACAACAACAACAACTTCATCATCATCTAACTGTATTTACTGATTCTGGAGGCTGAATGAATGTTTGTATTCAGTCCTGATATTTATGTTTGTTTTGTTTGTTTTTGGAATATTTGGTTTAATTGTTTAGTTGTTTTTGTTTGTTTTGTTGTTTTTGTTTGTTTTGTTGTTTTTGTTTGTGTAGTTGTTTACTTTCTGTGGTTGAGGAGGTTTGTCTCAGATGCAGTCGAGGGTTCAGACATTGTGAGGTTGTTTATTGTTGTTTGTGTTTATTGTTGTTTGTGATTATGTTTTTTATGACGTTTTACACTGAAACCGACGACATTGTGGACAATAAAGTTTTTGTATTTGTCTCATTTATATTTTTGTTTTATGTAAATTTATATATCTGCGACTTTAACGTGTGTAAGTTTATTTTATTCTTTATTTGTTATAAGTGACGTAATTAAAGTGAAATTGTTCTGAGGTTCAAACTAAACGTACAAAAGTAAATTAAAGATGAAACAGATTTTATTTATTTACAGAATATAAAATATAATATAAAATCTAAATTATTATACTGAAGTAAACACAAACTGTAAATATGTGTGAATGTGTAAACTTTATTATTCATTCAATCATTAATCAGAAAAACTGAATATTTTCTAATTAAATAAAGTTTTATTTTATTTCATCATCGTGATAATCGTCAATATTCTGTCTCTCCAGCACTTTATTGATTGATTGATTGATTAACAGACAGAAATATTAATAAAAGCATTTTGATTTAATTTAGGAAGTAAAATAATTAAAATAAATAATTAAAAGAGGAAAAACGTTTTATAAAAGTGAGAAAAGATTATTTAAAACAAGTTTTTAATGAAATCTTATTATCAATACGTCTCAGTTTTATTCTTTATGCTCGTGTGTAAATAATAATAATAATAATAATAATAACAGATTGTTTACGACCTTTCTGTCCTGAAGCGTTACTGTTCAAGTTCAGATTTTAAGCTTTTTTAAAAGTAAATTAAACCAAAAATGTTTATAAAATGATTATTTTCATATATTTTTATATTTACTTTATAAAACATTTTATTGTTTGTTGTGTTTAAAGAAAATATTCAAAAAATAGAAGAAAAGGAGACAATTAAATAACAAACTGTCTTCCAGAAAGCTCAGGTTGGTTATTATTATTATTATTATTATTATTATTTATTATCTGTGTGACTCTCACCCGTTGTGCCGACTGCAGTTCGTCCTTCAGAGACGTGACTTCCTGTTTCAGACTCTGGACTTCGGACTCTTTCACTCGCAGGTTGATCTGAAATCAAAACTCTGAATTAAATAAAGAATTTAACTTTATAAACTTTAAACATCAGACGAGGATTCACAACAACTACTGACGGTGAACAGCAGGCGGCGCCACACGCTGCTCAAACCCTGTTTCATTCTCTAATAATGAAACAAATGATTATTTCTTTATATAATAATTACTTTTATTTATTATCTGTGACTTTAAGCTACAATAATAACACAATAACTGTTTGTTTGGAGCTCCTGATCGAGCCGATCACCTTGTTATTGTACAAATATTGATTATAACCATATATAAGTAAAAGTGCTACATTAAGAAAATGTTTCTGTGGCTGTGATTTTATTACATACGACAGATTTTTACTGATTTAAATGCAGTTTAGTTTAATTTATCATCATATTTGATCATTTTATACTTTTTTTTATATAAAGCTGTAATATAGCTGGAATTGAATAAAAACAAAAAATCTTAAGTAAATTACTTTAAATCTTTAGTTAAGTACAAGTCTTAAATTCTATAAATGTAGTTAGTCAGTGAGAGAAAACACTGAATTTATCACAAAATAATCCTGTTAAGTTTGTTTGAGTGTTATAAATTATTAAAAATATATAATACAGACAAAGAATTGTATATAAATATTATATAAACAGGAAATAATCTGCTCAAAATTCAGCCAAATGTCTTGTTTTACACAAACGCTCACTGTTTGAGTTCAATGTACAGTTTTTAATATAATATAAAATATAGTACATAAAGTTTATATAATGATATTTGGGACTTCGGGTTGGTTCTTCCCGACTCTTCGTCTCCACTCACCTCCATCTCGTACGCGTCCGCTCTCGGACCGAGCGGCGTTTCGTCCTGATGGACCAGAGAACAAAGTCTGGAGATCTCAGCCGCCAGGTGACCGTTCAGCTCCTGCACAACAACAACAACAACAACAACAACAAAGTTATTGATTTATCTGTTATTAATTTGGTCCTGATGGAGATTAAATCACAGAGCGTGTATCCGACCTGGTTTCTGGTCCTCAGGTCTTGGTTTTGCTGCTGGCACTGACACAAGGCCTTCCTCTCAGCATCCAGAGCCTGGACAAGATGTCCGTTCTCCAGACACTTCAGAGAGAACTGCTGGGACAACGCCTGGAGCTCCCGTTGGTACGAGGCCAGCTCCTCGCTGCACGAACGTCCAACACAGACACGGAGATCTCGTCAGAACGCCAAAAATACAACAAATAAAGCGCCGTAAATCGACGTAGACGTACCTGTGCTGTCTGTAAACGTCCTCCAGGTGAGCGTCTCCCGTCTCTGCCCGACTCCTCCTCTGCTCCTCCTTCTCCAGCTCCAGCCGGTGAGCGTTCCTGATGGCCGCGATCGCTGAGAGGAGGAATGAAGTGACACGAGTGAGGATTGTATTCTGGATATCAGAGACTGTTTGAATGTTTTCCTGAAGTTACAAATGTTCTTACGAGAACTGTAATAAATATACAACAACTAATAAAACTCACTGCTGCTAAAGACAGATTAATAATCTTCCTGTACAATAAAACTCTGTTAAAGACGGTTTACGAGATCAGAACATCTGCTGTCAGCGAGAGCGTCTCTCCTCACCGGTCGCCGTGGCAGCGCTCTCCTCCTCCAGCAGTCGGTCTCTCTCCACCAGGAGGTGCTCCACTTCCTGCTGGTGTCGACGCTGCAGCTCCTCCACGACCTTCAGATGACACTCCTCCACGGAGGCGAAGCCGCGCTCGCACGTGACCTGTAGGAGCAACAGACGACCACAGACTTAACCTTCGTCAGAGTACAGGAAGGTCAGCGTTTAGGGTTATGATACAAAGACACTCCGCCTACCTTCAGCCTCTCCATCTCCTCCTCGTGTTGCATCTGAACAAAACTCATCTTCCCTTCAAACTCGTCTTTCATCGTCTCCTCCAAGACGGACAGCTGCTCCTCCAGCTCCTTCACTCTCCTCCTCAGCACTAAACTGGGCTCTGCCTCGAACGCCGCCGCCGTTTCCTGGTGGGACGTGTCACTTGTCTCTTTCGTGTCTTCGTCCGCTGTCTCTGACTCACCTTTGACACATGACGGTGGGATTTCCATACACTCCACCATCTCTTCTGCTGTTTCAGGCGTCTTTTGTACATTTTCTCCCCCGGTTTCCGTCGCCACCTGTACCTCAATATCTGCGTCTGTCTGGCAGCACGTGTCCATCTTACCGCCCACTGACGGCGCCTGCTGTCCCTCCCGGTTCGACAGTCTCGCTCTCAGCTCCCTGTTTTCTTCCATCAGGTCCACACAGTTGCTGCAGATGAGAGACGCGGTGAGAAGTTTCTGTTTGGTTTCCTCAAGCTCCCTTTCGTGTTTCGAGCGAAGGCGGCTTAAGTGGCAGAAGTATAACGCCTCAGTGGCTGCGGAGTGGATGAAACCGGACCAGGGATGCTCCGAAAAGTGGAAGTTGGAGAGGCGGTCCGCCATCAGCTGGAGCTGGTCCTGAGCAGAGGGGCTGACGGAGGAGGCGAGGCGACTCAGCAAAGAGATTTTCATCTGTGTTAAGCCTCTGAAACGTTTGATCTCACACAGCTCGTCGTTAAAATCTGACATCCTGCTCTCATCCTGCTTTTTGGCTTCCTCACTTGCAATATTCCAAATAATATCCAGATCTTTCAGGCCTTCCCTCCCTTCATCCGCCCCAGACAGAAGAGCTAGAAGCAGCATTTGTTTCTCCACTATCATTCGTTCGGTCACCTCGCTCAGAAGCTCTTCTACGGGTTTCTCCTCGTGTAGCTGGGACGGATTCGACTCCAGTTTGTTGAGCAGCAAACTCCAGAACTCCTCCTCCCACTTCAGCTGACTCGCCACCGAAGGCTTCTCCTCCTCTTCTCCTCTCACACCAACGTCCAACCTGTCGATCACCTCCAGTAGTTTCCCCAAAGCGTTCAACCTCATCACCATCCCCTCGATCACCTTCTGGATCCTCTCTTCACCAGAAACGCACCCGTTTCTGTCTCCGTCCTTCGGCTTCTCCTTCTCCAGCTCCTCGTTCAGCCTCCTGATGTCGGCCTCCGCCTCGGCAGCTGTCCGACGGTGAAGCTCCTCCGCCTTCTTCAGCTCCGCGTTCTGCGTCTGGAGCGCCGCGCAGGTAAGCTCCGATTGGTCGAGCTGCCTCTCGAGCTCCGTCAGCTTGGCCTCGGTAGCCTCCAAACAGCGGAGCAGGTTCTCCGCGCTCTCGCTCTCATCCTGTGCGCTCTCCTCTGGGACGTTCAGCTGCAGCAGCGCCTCCGTCTCCCTCAGGTTCTCCTCCAGGGAGGCGATCAAGCTCTGGGCCTCCAGGAGCTGCTGGTTCCTCAAGCTCAGCTCCATCTCCAGATCGCCGCCCCCCATCTGTCCCAGCTGCTCCACCTCGGGGAGGTGAAGGGGTTCGGTGTACCTGCTGTTGCTGAGCTCAGCTTTCAGACGCTCTATCTCGCGGTCCGCCTCTGTCAGCTGGTTCAGCATCTCCTGGTTGCGCTGGTTGAGAGCCTCGTTCTCGCTGGTGAGCAGCTCCAGCTCCTGGGAAAGCCTCCTCACCGTCTCCTGGTGCTCCACACAGCAGCTCAGAGAGTCTCCGTCTGCAGGCTCCTCTAGAATCAGTGAACTATACTCGCTGGTATTTATTTGTGTTTCTGAGCCGGGAACCTGCTGACGATCTTCTCCGTCCGGCTGGTTCTCGACGTCTGCATGTCGTTCTACGGTCTCTCTGTCGCTCTGGGGGAAAACGTCTTGGCTGTCGGATGCAGGGGACAGTAAAGATGTCAAATCCCCCAGTTCTTGGAGATTTCCCTCCGTGTCGTGCAGCCAGATTCTGGGTGTCTGAGGAGCTAAAGAAGGCGGTTCGAAGCTGAGCTGCTGCTGCATGTCCTGTCTGATGATGTTCTGCTGTTGTAAGAGCTCTCTGGTTTCTTCGTACACGTCTTTCAGGGTCTGCGTGTGGCTGTTTAACGGCTGGTCGTTTGTGTCTTCTTCAGAAGGAAGAGGAGGGTCCAGCTTTAGGAAACAAAACAGAGTTTAGAAAAGATTAGCGACCGTATGTTAAAGCACACAGACTGAAATAATGACATATATCAGACCTGATGCTGATGATATCCCGCTGTACTCAGCTGAGCCTCCAGCTCCACCCTGCGACTCTCCGACTCGGCCAGCTGAACCTTCAGATCGTCAAGCTTCAAAACACAACTAGTTAATATATAAAAGCCTCTCACGTCCCAGATCTGTAGCTACAATACAGTCCAATACAAAACTATATAATCAGGATCCTGCATCGGTTTTTGTCTCCAACTCCTGAGAAAAATGTCTTTTTAGCTTATATGTTCAACTTCTTCACCAGCTAGTTGCTAAAAGTTTCTTTCTGCAGTTTGTCGCTTTTATCTTTTAACCATCTTCAAATGTGGTTGTTTTTTCAGAGTGTTAACAGATAGCATATCTAAGTACAGGAAAGGAGGAAGTTGACCGAGGCTAGCTCAACTGTTATTGGAACCCCGACTGTAGGAAGAGTCACTATAGTCAGTCTGGTTTCACCACTGTAACTGTAACTGGTTGGTAATTGGTTAGTGGAGACTTCAGCCACGCTAACAGCTCTGTGAGTCACTTACAGCAGTGGTTACATGTTTAGCAGGTATAATGTTCGTGTTTAACTAACTTAACTTAGTGTGTTAGTGCACTGAGATTTGCTAACTAGCACAAGTACAGCTGATACTGACATTTTAAATAAAGCTTTATTCAGACTCACTTTCTTCCTGTAGGTCTCCAGCAGTTTCTCCGTCTCCGCAGCGTCTCTGGCGTCGGTCAGCATCGGGACGGTTCCCTCCAGTCTGAACACCGTCTTCTCCACCAGCCTCCAGCACTCTTCGATCTCTTCCTCCACTCGCTGCTGTGATTTTGGACTCATTGCCCTGACGTTGACGTCCGCTGCTTCATCGCTGGTCACCTCCCGACCCAGAGAGATTCCCAGCATGCTCTCATACCTCCTCCTCCTCTCCTCCCGCCTCTTCCTCCTCTCCAGGTCGCCCAGCTCCAGCGAGCACAGAGGTTTAGTCCTCGGAGGGTCTGCGTCTGGAGCCGGTTTGTTCTGAGGCCTGAACTCGGCCCAGTCGAAGGTTCTGTAGCGTCCTTCCCGACGTTTCTCCGTTACGGTCCTGTGTTTGGGGCGAGGGTCTCTCTCTGCAGAGAGGTCGGCGGAGGGGGAGTCCCTAGTCACGTCTGGTTTGGGGAGGGCTTCAGGGGGGCTGCAGGGAGCGTGTTGGCCCGGTAAACTGCACATGGAGGAACAGTTAGATGGAGAGAAGTGAAATTGTTATTTGATTAGTCGATCAACAGTAAAAGTAACTGTCAGTGTCATTTTTCAGGGTTTCTTGTTCTGAAAATGTTCTGCTTTTTAAATCGCAATCAATAAAATAACTTTGAGTTTTAGACTTTTGATTTAGATTTTAAAATATCAGCTCAGATTCTGGGAGATCTGCTTTGAAAGCTTTGGTGACTCCTAGTTGAGGTCCTGACCCCATAGTCACTCTCATCAACTGTCTGAGGCTAAAATAAGTCATTCCATTTAATGTTTTACCCAAAAAAAGGAGAGATTCAAGAGAAGTCTGAAAAACAAATACAAATGTGCATCTTCTCCTTCTTTGTCTCTAATGAATAATCTCACACCCCCTCAGATTAATCTGATGAACCGTCTGAGGGGCCGGAGCACCAGGTTGGGAACCACTGGACTAAACAAACATTACTGGTTAAAGAGGGTCTGAGTGAGACTTGTACCTGGCTACATCGGGGGCGTTGGCCGGGTGTACATTCCTCATCAGAGCCTGGATCCAGTTCTTGCGTATCCCTGAAGTCATGGCCGACAGCGTGTAGACATCCTTTGGCGTCTGTGATGTAAACACAGTGAATTTGTTGTGAAAGCAGCAGATTAAAGGTTTCGTTCTGTTCAGCAGGAACTGTTTTATCTTACGTGGATCTGAAAGCCGTAGTTCCTCTGGACCTGGTACTCAGACACATTATAACACTTTGTGAGGTCGATTTCTCCTTCGAGATCTGAAGCCTAACGGAGAGAAAAGACAGCAGATCTCAGAAAAGGAAACGTTTATTATTTATAATCTATAAGGAAAACTAATGTGAAAATACCTCCTCGGCTATGGAGTCCTTGTAGTACCTCAGACTGTCGGTCGACAGCACAAACCAATATTTCTTCCACTAGAGGGAAGCAGAGGATCAATGAGAGGAAACAAAGAGGTTCAACAACCTGAATCTGAACGTAAAGAATCATTTTAATGAAGAAAATAACATCAATGATCCTTCGAATGATTGTTTACCTGATCGGTTTCATCCAGTTTGACCATCCAGCCCTTTTTGAAGTTTAATAAATCTGGCTGTAAAGACGACAAACATGTTATCAGATGTTTTTTTATTCTCATAGTCTTTATGAGAAGTGTTCAGAGTGCGAGAGGTCTGTTAACATACAGTACGGATTGTGTTCAGGTCTTTAAAGCGTAGATCTTGAATAATAATCTTTAGAATTTAGAAATAAAATAGAAAATTTAATCTAGTTTCATTCACAGAAATGACTGAAATACTGAGATTTAACCGTACTGTGTTTATTAAAATCAAGAATGACTCGCTGGTGAAGCTCTGGCGACCCCTGTTGGACACAAACGATGAGTAACTGGTTGTAAAAGTTAATGCTGACTCACCGTCATGACTGTGTCTGACGTCCTGCGGTCCAGAGACCTGGATCTTCTCTGAGGTGGGGGTGCGGTGAGCTGGACTATGTCTCCACACGACTGAAGCTTCTGTGGGGAAAAAACACTGAAATAAAACAACTGCTTCCTGTTTTATAAGAACCCAAACACAGGTACACGGGTCCAATCTTCGAGCTACGAGACTTTAAGAAAAGAAGGACACTGAAATCTTCTGCGAGCAAACACAAGGTTTAATGGTTTTAAAAGCAAGTTAGATAAAACTTTTAAATCTTTTAAAAAACGACAACCCAACACGCCTCAGTCAGCTTTTATAAGTAGCATCTTGTTTCTGATCAGAAGCAGGTTGATGTGAAGACGTGACGTGTTTTCTGAACCGGGCCGGTGGCAGTTTGTCAGTGCGGCCTGCATTCCTTTAACCGGAGTAACCGATAGTCTGGATCCTTGGCAGGGCCGTCAGCTGTGAGGATTAGGCCTCTGTGGAGCACCGCGGGGAGCCCAAACACTGCCTGTTAAACTCTTCCTCACATCCCCAGTGAGCTGCACAGGGACGGCTGCGTTCTGGCTCAGGAATGCCTCAAAAGGTTTTTTCTTTGCTTTCACACATAATCCCTGATACTGCGTGGCTTTAAAATGATGCTACGAGATTCCTGCACGCGTCTCACGGTCAGGTTTCACGGGATCTGGATTGACACAGCATTTAATGAAACAAGGGTGCAGGTTTTTTTTGTTTACTTGATCCTCTGCTATTCAAAAGATTCATTCTTCCCTCTTATATAACCACTTTAATGGGAAAAAATGACCACTTTAATCGTTACAGAACATTCTTTGTGTGTGTTTTTTTTCCTCTTACTGGCATTTACATTGAAAACTATCCAAGGACACAACACACGGAGGAACACAGCGATCTGGCTGCTGACCGCTGCAGACAGAGCCAGTCCTCTGTTTGGTGAAGAAGCCTCCCAGAGCTGTGAGGAGGAGGAGGAGGAGGAAGAGGAGGGTCTGAGGCCTGAATGGACTCTGGACAGGACTCTCTTTGACCTTCTCCTGGCTACCAAAACAATCCCAAAGACACATAATTCATCACGTGGGGATAAAATGTGCTGCTGGTGTATTTAAAGGGCAAATCCTCTGGAAACGAGGCTGCGTGTTTAATCAAAGATTAACGGTGACGACCATCTGTGTCACTGTCAGGGGCGAACCGCTGGTTTCCTGAACTGAACCACGACCTCGTTCCTTAAGGACCTCTTCACTGTCACTGACCCCTGATTCAGTGTGTAACAATAACAGCTGATAAACTGAAACAATGAACCCAAACAGTGAACGCAGCAGCTGCAGGAAGTTTGTGTAAAACGAGCGATTCTTGGATGAGTTTTGCATCAGAGACGAGTTTTTTCTGATCATTTCAGGAACTTTTTATACAATTCTCTGTTTGAGTTGTTGTTGTTTTTTAGTTTTTAACTCTCATACAGACTTAACAGACTTCTGTTTGGATGAATTCAGTGTTTACTTCTCATTGTTTTAGTAGCTTTTATTATTTATCAGCTCTTTGGTTGTTGTAACTGAGGGTGAAGGCTCTGTGAATACAGTTTGTGTTCTTCAAAGTGGAATGAAATTATATGTTTTAGGTAAGAATCATTTCCCTTTTTTTTAAGAAGTTTTTCCTGACAGCATTTATGGGAAACTGCGTTAGTTTACTTCCTCAAAGGGAGCTGAGCTTCAGTAACACTGATTTAGTCCATAAATAAATAACTTTCTTCTCACATTCTCAGCCTATTAAAAGAAGAGAGTATAAGTGTTTGTTGTACATGCAGTCAGCAGTTATCAACCACAACAGCAAATGTAAATGAGTGTAGACGTCTGCAGTATTTCCAAAATAGATTTGATACCAAAGGTTTGCTGGAAGAGGAGAGAACAGCTCTGGTAAACCTGCACTGAGGTGTTACAACGAGCAGCTTATCTGACCAACAGTTTCAAACTAAACAAGAACCCAGGTTTTAGTAATCTGAGGGGCTAAAATACAATAAAAAGTAATTCATTTCCAGGTGTTTCTAGTCTCTAATCTGCATCTTAAACCTCTTAAGGCCTCCGAACCCCTGATGAAGCCTCGTTGACCTCCGGTGGGAATAAGATATTAACACAGACTGTAACTCCTCTGGAGAGGACGTCGGCCCTGAACGACCATCACCAAGCTCAACTGGCTCTCTTTCTGTCACCGAACAACGGAGATCCTGAATAACTGGAATCATGACTCTGAGATTACCAGTTAAACCAGGGTTCAGGTTCCTTCTCAGGAAATATCTGTTTCATAAAGGAGCTTTAAACACGTCTTCAGTTAACTTTGAAACACTAAACTGTCTTTAAAGGTCCACTGTGGAACGTTTTGCACTTTCTTAAACAAATAACTTTCTTAAAGAATATTTAAGTTGAATATTCTGTTATATGTTAATAATTTCATGTAAACATTGTCAACTAAGTCCAAAAATGAACAACAAAATAAAGAATAAGAATAATGTCAAAACTAAACGCCCCTTTTTTCATTAAATACTGGAAAAACTGTGTTCATACGGATTTATATTGGATTCAAAATACACAGATAATACCAATATAACAACAATAACAGCTGATAATATGTCCATTAAGCTCTAGATGAAAGAACCACAGAAACAGAACCTGATTTATTAAAAATGGTATTTAAACACAATCTGATAAAGAAATTTAAAACTATAAACAGGCTGATTGTCACGTGGCAGAGGTTTTATATATTTCACAGTACGCTGCGACTTATACTCCGCCATCTTTAACTTCCAGCACTAATTATAATAAATAAATAAAAAAAAGGATTTAAAGCCACGATGCTGTGATTAGAAGCAGCGACTAACAGAGGATTTACAGCTCAGAGTTCGTCTCTTCTGACGGAGCGATTTAAAAACCAAACGTTTGTTTCTTCCACTGTACGTTCAATATGTGTTTCACTGTGAGCTGTGGGCTTTATGTAACACCACACACACACACACACACACACACACACACACACACACACACACACACACACACACACACACACACACACACACACACACACAGAGACAGACAGACACTCACCTCTTTAATCACCAGACAACACACACACTGACTCTGCTTCACAAACAGATGTGCACTGTGATAAAAAGCTGCTAATGGAGGCTGTATGTTGAGTTTATCAGGGTCATTTTGTAGGGTGGGGAGGGGGTTGGGGGGCGGGGGGGGGGGGTCGCAGCTCCCGACCTTTACGCTGCATCTCGTTTTAGCTCTGAGGAATCCCTGGAAAAACTCTGTGAGAGGAATGTCGTCTCCCAGATTACAACACGCTAACAGGAGGCGGCCTGAACGCCTTCAGGGCATCAAAACCAGTTCTGTTCACAAACAAAATGCAGCTCTGAGTGAATCACCGCCTCTCTCCCTCTCTCTCTCTCCCTCCCTCCCTCTCTCTCTCTCTCTCTCTGTGTCCCACCTGCTGACACACACACACACACACACACACACACACACAGCTGGAGAAGAGACACAAGCCCCGACACGGCGAGACCCACTCGTCCAAACTCTCTTTACTTTCTGTTCAGACTCAGACTCAATGTGCGATCAGGTTTTTTTTTTACACACTTCACTTCGACCAGCGGCGTTCGATCACGTACCGAGTGACGTCGTTCTCGTGGTTAACACCTGGTTGTGTGTGAGTCACGTTCGTGTCCAGTCCGGCCCGCGGCCCGACCCAGAGTGCAGCTGGGTGCAGCGGCTGGTCTGAATCATTACACTCTGACGATAATCAGCATTACTTATTCCTGTTTACGACCATCACGTGGTAGCAAACGACCACAGCCGGGAAACGGGTTCATAAATGTTTCACTTTGATGTTAAAAATATGATTTTTTGTACTCATGTTCCTACAATAAGCTGTCATCCACCGTCACTAACATCAATGAGCTCTTTTCTGTCTTATTTCACTTGATCGGACCTTTGTTTTCCTTCCATTTGCCTCGTTTTGTTATTAAAATATCTAAAATAAAAACTATAATAGCTGCAGCCTTTTATTATTATTATTATTATTATTAGTATTGTTATTGTGCGCTCTGGGTGGCGTCACTGCGTTACAGTACGAGCAAAACATGGTGGCAATGAAGAGGAGCGGCTAAAAACTAACAATAAAAATGAGCATTATCTCAAAAACTACCAAAAAATGTACATAAATCAAATAACTCATGTTCACGTTTTTACATTTAGAAAACTTTCATCACTACGTTTTTTGTTTTTATTTAATAAAATCTGATGAAAAAAACAGGTCAAAGTTCTGTTTTTTTTTTTTACTTTATTCAATTATTATAGTTTATTAACTTATACAACCTCTTAGCTTCGGTTGTACAGATTTTAGAGATATTAATAATTTCAAGAAATGACGTCACAATAACCAAAATGTCGCTGGAGGGACAGACAGACACTGTAGTATAAATCCATCCCATAATAATTACTCATATCTATCACTGTGTGATTCCTGGATTTCAATAACTGGTCAATATTGTGACATTAATGTTTTATATTCTGTTGCACAAAGGTTCGAAATAAAAGGAGAAAAATAATCAAATCTGATTAAATAACGTTTTATTTGTTGAGAATTTAAAATGTATTAATATTATTTATGTGAATTTGAAGTTACAGACAATGTGTTATATGGTTGATATCTAAACTGTAATCAGGATATTAATATTAAATAATTACCTATATTGGGATATTAAATATTGTTTTATTGCCTCAAGACTTTATTAAAGGAATAGTTAAATATTTTGTTTTCTAGCCAAAAATGAGATTAAATTATTGATCCCAGCAGGTCTTTGTAGAGTCTCCGCTGGTTTCCTGTTAGACTCCTCAACCTGTTTCCTTTATGAATTCAACAAACAACAAATAAATAAAGTGTTATAACAGGAGCGAGGTTAACTGAAGCTAACTGAAGCTCACCGGCTGCAGCTTCACATTCACCCCACAGAGCGGTCGCTGCTCCACTCGTTGAACTCGAACTGTTCCTTTAACACACACTCTGGGATTAACTGTGTAAAAAGGCGACATTATGAAACAAGCAGAAACTTGCAGAAATATTATAACCTGTTGTTTGAATGATTACTGAACGTTGTTAAAGGAAACGCCTCCTGGGTGACTAACTTTTGGAAAGTACTTTGGGCACAGCCAACTGGGAGGAGACCCCAGGAGGACATTGCATTACATTACATTATATTATATTATATTACTTATTCAGACCAGCTACCACACATTAACCCCACTGTGACTCTCAACGGGCCATAAATGTGCTTTTAAACATCATCAGAGCTGCAGATTATTAGATATTCAGAATAAAGTGGTTGAGAGTAACTAATTTACTCGAGTACTGTACATAAGTTCAGCTTTAAGGTGCTTTACTGGAGTATTTCAATTTTATTCTGCTTTATTCTTAATTATTAACTGTTAATAGTTAGTCTGCACTTTGACTTTAAGTATATCCTGATGTTCTGATGTTAATACTTTTGTACTTTTACTTCAAGTAAGATTTTGAATGCTTTTACTTGTAGTACTTTTACACTGTAGTAATGCTACTTTTACTTAATTAAAGTGTTTAATTAAATGCTCCAAAACAAAAGTTTTCAAACGTTATTTTAAAAAGATAATTCTATAAATAAATACTGGTGTAACCAATCAGACTCTTTCTGCCCCTAATGAACGTTTATGAGTTTTATTTATTAGCGGTTTTCTTTTTACGGCACTCCGGCTCCATATTTGCCTTAAACCCAGTTTTATCCTCCCAACTTTGAGTTTTTCCACCTCCTCTAACGACAATCCTTCTTGTTGAACCCTGAGAGAAGTCTGACAGTAACGTCTTACTGTCGGTTAGCTCTGACTACGAGCTCCACGCCGCTGTCTGCGCTCTACTGAACCAACAACCCGAGGATGGACCCACGTTATCCCCAGAAACTATTTCCAACATACACAATTATTGTAAAAAGAGCTGCTGTAAACGTGAGTGATAGTGAGTGTCAAACACCGGTTGGATGAACGGAGGGATCAAACGCGTCCTCTGTGCGGTTACCTCTCGTTTGCTGGCGCGAGCCTCGCTCCTGCCCTCCCTGGAAACAGCTGCCCCTCCTTCCCGCTCCTTCTCGGTGGTCTCCAATCCCAGCAGCCTCTCTGCCGGCCTGCACAAACAATTAGTGACAGACTTCACCTGGGACAAACACAGCGTGTGTGAGGCTAACCCTGACCCCGCTAACACACAGGTGGGTTGTGACATAATAACAGCACCTGTGCAGCAGGAAGCAGCCCAGAGGACCGTCCGTCAGCGCCGCCATTGTTGCTGCTGAGAGACTAAATAGGAGCTGACGTCCTTCTCGCTGCCGCCAGAGGAATGAAACTGATGTAACGTACACACGACTGTCAGATCACAGTAACAGATTTATTATAATTCAGTGGGTTTAATTTAGTATTTTGATCTGAGGTCTGTTTTTAATTCCATTAGAAAAAGTGAACAGCTATAAAACTGAATCTGAAGTTAGTGTAATAATTAGTCGATTGGCTAATTCTGATCTTATTAATGGTATCGTTAAATATTAACCACATAAAAATACCAAAACACCTGCTGCAACTTATTAAATGAGAGGATTTACTAAAATTAGTATTTTTTTGTTCAGACAAAATAAATTATTGTAGGTATTTCTCATTATTTGATGACATTTTTTAGAGCAAATCCGTTAATTTAAAAACAAGCATCCAGTGGTGTAGTTGTAGATTGCAACTCCCTTGCTTCACCCTTTATAGAGCCAGTGTTTGTCTGTTCTGGGGATCCTCTGTAGCATACCTATATGAAAACATAGCTATAAATATAATATTCAGTTTTCTGCCAATAGATCCTCATAAATTGAACTTTAAGATAAATAATGAAACCTCCCGTGTTGAACTCTACCAGGTTGATTTGGAACTTTCAGTAGATTATAAATAGATTAACTTCTGCTGCCCCCGAAACTGAGCTTTTAAACCGAAGTCTGGTTCCTCTGACGGGCAGGCAGACAGTCGACGTTAAGGTCCTGAGAAACAACGCTGCAGATATCTAATTACAGCAGCATTTGGGAATTTCTGGCCTTATTTGGGGGGCATAAGTATTTTCTGTTTTTTGTTTCCCAAAAAAGGCAATGAGTGAAGAAATGATGTATTCTCCCAGTTTACATGCTGCTGGGGCAACAAACTGGGAGGGTTTCTTTAAGCTAAATTTAAAAACGCAGCAGTCAGATCTCTAATGGAGGGGTAGAGCGTGAGCCTTTGATCTGGTGTTTAGCGGTGTGTGATGGCTTTATACTGGGGGGGGCAGAGAGGCATTGGATGTCCTTTGTGCTAATTGCTTGCACATTTACCCCCTTTTCCCTCTGCCAAGGCGCTTTTAAATGGCTGTTACACACAGAATACATGCAAACATATGAAAACAAACAGTACAGAGGAGTTACTGGTTGCTAATCTTCCTCCCATGATTCAGTTCTAACCTTTTGTCCCGGCTCTGGTTCTTGTTGTCGGCTGATGTTTGGATGTTGTTTGACTCAGTCAGCTGGTTGCTTCCACCGGCCACCAAGTCCAAGCAGCCGACCGGGTTAACGAAACCTCCAGCCAAGGTCAGAGAGTCCCTGGAGGCCGGGCACAGGTAGGTAGACGTGCTGCCTGGACGAGACGAAAGGGTTTCAGACTGTTAGACATACCAAGGGCAGGAATACGCCACTAAATCCAGGCTGAAGTAGCTGTTTTTGGACCCAGACTCTCTTTAAAAACAGCGAGCAGCCAACACGCCGGATGAAATCATTCTTTTAATTTAATCACACAACACTGTCAGGGTTCACACTGCAGCCAGTGGCACAAAGCCTCCTTTGTTTCCCATTTTATTTAATGCTATAAAGTATTTTCCTCATGTTAAAGAAAGCAGCTCAATCTGTTGGTTTGGATAATGAGATAAAACACCAAATATTAGATTAAAACAGGAGTTTAAGAGGCACGTCGGCTTATTAAAGCTCCAGCGTTTAACATTTAGGAGGATCTATTGTAATATAATATTCATAGGTACGTTTCCATTAGTGTATGATTACCTGAATATAACAATCAGTGTTTTTGTTCCTTTAGAAAGAGACGTCTTTATCTACAGCTGCAGTGTGTCGACCTCCATGTTTCTACTAGAGCTGTGTCTCGGAAGAATCTGGCAATATTATACGTATCGCGATACAGGAGCTACGATTCAATTCATTGCGATATATTGCGATACTGTAAGCAAAGGCGATATATTTTTAAAAATAAAATTCTACATCAAATCTTTAAAAAAAGTTGTTTTTTGTTTTTATGCAACCAGAATTTATCAGGTTCGACATCGTAAACCTTTTAAAAAATCAGTAGTTCCTACTCTATTTCTATCTAACTACACTGACAAAATCATGAATAAAAATAAAGACAGTTGAACTGGACTGAAGAAAAGGAAACTAAACACGACTTCAACTTTAAGTTTTTTCTCTAATACGTCATTTTAAGGTAAAAGAAGAACCTGAAGTTACAAACTAATATAAGAAGATTTTTTTTACTGCAACGCTGCTAAAATAACTTAACTAAAAGCAGCAGATGTCCGATCTATTTCTCAGATATTCAGAGATCAGTGTGACCCGTCTGGAAAACACCTCCAAGAGTTCAGTGACAGAGCATCATTCATTGGTCCCGGTTTGGCTCTCAGAGGCTCTAATGAAGCAGCCCATAGGCACAGTCAGCAGGAGCTAATCCGGGGCCCTTTATTACAGGACCTCTCCAGACCCGCCAATAAGTCTGACGCCAGATGAGTGCCGCTGTCCCGCTCTGTCACAAAGCTCCAGCGAGGACGAATACCTGTCCTGGACGAACCATAAAGCCCCATTAGGACTTGTTTAAAGGCTGTTTTATGATGCCTGAAGGTTAGAGACACACACACACACACAGTCAGTCTGTGTTTATGTAACTTCCTGCTACAACTCCTCCAGCTCTCCATCCCACGTTGACCAATCAGAGCGCGCGGCCCCGGTCGAACGAGGGGTTAAATGAAATGTATAAATAAGAAGCTGCGAGCGTGTGAACATCTGCAGGATGTTAGGACAGTGCGAGAGGACAGGAAGTGGGCTGTGATTGGCTGAAGGACATGAAAGCCTGTGTGTGTGTGTGTGTGTGTGTGTGTGTGTTTAGCTTCTGCTGCACCTGTAGGGGTCTGCTCCGGGCCCAAAGAGGGATCAGTGTCTGGGACAGTCCACATGGGGGTTAGACCCGGTCCCCTGCCCCGCTGGTCTTCCTGCCACCGACCGCAGCCGGACTCTGCAGCGTTCTCCGAGGACGGAAAACTTGGATCAGTCGCAGCCATCTTTGCTGGACTCGGTTCCTGATGGTTCAGTTAGAAAAACAGAAAGATTTTGTTTATTTATTTTCACTTTTAAGCCTTTCAGAGCAACTTCAGTCTGATATCTTTATCCACGGTAGCAGCTGGTTGACATTCGTGGACCCAGAGGATGAATCCTACTGACTCTGGTGATGGATTACCATGAAACTGGTTCAGATAATCACATATTGTAATAATTTTAGTGATCCCTTCATATTTCCTCAAACTCCAGCAGGTCAAAACCAAATACCTGCAAAACTACTTTAAAGCTATAATATGTAACATTTCCTCATTAAACAGTGTATAAACTCTGGCTCTATGTTCTTTGTGGAGTTAAGTTGTCTGAGGCCACATTTGTTTAGATCTCTTAGAGTTGAACCTGATGAAGGATTTTAGTTGTCAGACGTCTGGATGGATCTTCAGTTATCAGAGAAAACAAGCTGAGCTAATCAGACCAGAAGTTCTGGATCAAAGTGTTCCAGCATCATCTGAACACACAGTGTGTATTTAAATGTGTACCAGAGCTTCCTCCGCTCCCCCGACTCAAAGCCGCTCTTCTCTATCTCGCCCTGCGCTCAACTCAGATTTAACTCCACTAAAACTCCAAAAATAGGATAAAAAAAGCTGAGTTGTATTTAAATTTAAGCTGCATGATGAAGCTGCAGCAGGAGAGAAGACTTCATGACTGCAGAGGAAGCTGCCATGAGCACATAATTCATGAGGTTATTATAAAGATCAGCTCGCACTGTACGACTGTGCAGCGTGGAGATGATCCCGGGGACACTACAGTGGTACCAGTGGAAGGTTTATTCACACATACTGGATGGATGGAGCTGGAGATATGTTCCCCGCTCTCATGTTCTCATGTGTACTGACGTTCGCTAACCTGGGTGGCAACGGGTTCCACTTTGCGTTTCTTCTTCTGATTCTGCCTGTTAGTCCGCAGATAGACGGCGAGCTGTTCGCTCCACCTGGTGAACGGAGACAGAATCAGCAGAAACACGAGTTAACATAAAGGATCCAGTGCGGGGAACCTTCCTTACAGCTGTAACTTCTACAGTGTCACACCGACCCATTAATGATCTCTCTGTTGTCACCGCGGATGAATATTTCCTGCTCCGGCGTGGCGATGCAGAGCGCGTTCCTCTGGCCCGTCCTGGGCTCCGCGTCGGCGATGTCCGTGCACAGGTTCAGGTTCACCGTACCCTGCGGCAAAGTGCTCGGCTGGAGGACAACAGAGAGCAGTTTGTGGCGTTAAGTGTGGAAGGAGAGAGACGAAGGGAATGAGATTTGAGGGGATCACAGAGAGAGAGGGGGGGGGGATGTGTGCATTAGAGGCTAAGCCCAAAATCATCTGCTGCTGCGGTTCTGCACACGACATCTGGCCTAAAGATGCCCCGCTTGATCCCAAACGTACTGTAAACGCAGACGCATGCAGAGAGCAGGATTTACAGATTTATTTTGAGTTCAGTTACAGTTTCTCACCAGTTCGTCCAGGGCGAAGCTCAGGCTGCCGTGTTCGTACAGGATGAAGAAGCGTCGCTGCCATTTCTGACGTAGAGAGACGACAAACACGATCAGTAAAGCTTCAGAAGACACAGATCACAATGAATAGGTTGGATAATGTTTGTGTGTCCGGCCTACCCTCGACCTCTGCATCGGGTTGTCGAAGTCTGTCCCCTCAGGAGCCAAACACAGCCAGCCTCCGTAGATCGGTTTGGCCTTTAATTCATTAATGGAAACAGTTTCAGCATCTCAACAGGCTGTTAACGGCTAAACCAGTGGTTCCCAACATGTTCCCTAAAGGCAGCTCTTTTTCTATTGTTGATGATCCGACTGACTAAATAACATATTTTATTGATATTTTCTATTTTATTCAATGCATAACAATAACAGTAAAGAACAACTGATGCAAAAACTGCTGGAAATTTGTGTTAAACGATTCAAAAATGCCTTAAAAACGATTCATTTGCTCTTCGAAACTCATCAAAATCGCCAAACATTTATCTTTAGCAGCAACTTTCGGGTTTTATTTGCTTTAATTTATTAATTTATTCATGTTTTTGGTAAACATCGTAGTGCTGCACAGTTAATCGAATACTAATCGCGATCAAGATTTTGGTTTCCCACAATTTAACGAACGCGATCGTCTAACGATATTGACGTTTATAATGCGTGCTCGGGTTATAGGACGCTCAAACGCTTCCTAAACTAGCAGCCAGCCACCACTGGTGATCCAGATGTTCTGGTTTCTTGCCGCCGCACACAGCTGCAGCTTCACATTAAAAGCATTTAACTGCAGCAACACCGGTTGACTTTTATTTTGAAGTAAGCTAGTCCCAGAAAGTGTAAAGTGTGAAACCGGCTGCTACCGTTCAACAAAAAAGCGTCTACAAAGGAAGATTGTTTTTGATTTTTCACATAACATGAAAACAGTGTGCAGTTATTTTACACTATTAAAAACATTTGTAGCTGAAGAAGCCCCTCAGCCGTTCCTCTGTGAGCTCAGGTGACTGTAAGTTCTCAGGTTGAGCAACAGCAGCGAAATTACAGGGAAAACCCGGGGGCAGCGGGGCTCACAGCAAAATAACATACTTTAACAATGTGAGGCATGTAGGAAGCTGTCATGGTCGTCCCCTTACATCACCTCCACATGACAGACAGACGTGCAGGAACAAATGTTTCTCAGAGGTTGGAAACAGAAAATAAACGTCTGTTTCTGCTGAAAGGTTCAACGATGTGTGGACGGAGAGATCGACTCAATAACTGATTAATTATTGTCTTACATCCAGTAAAAAGCAAATATATACTTAATATTAATATAATTAAATATATATAAGGTGTCTTTGGATTCAACTGAAACCAGCAGATCTTTAAACAGAAGATTTTGGTACTTTACTTAAATATTTCCATTTTATGTCACTTTACACTTTTTCCCTTCTACATTTCTGATGAAAACACGCCACTATATTTATTCCACTGTCCCATATTTACACTATTTACACTATATTACACTATATTTACACTTTATTTACACTATATTTACACTATATTTACACTATATTTACACTATATTACACTACATTTACACTATATATACACTATATTACATTATATTTACACTATTTACACTATATTACACTATATTTACACTATATTTACACTTTATTTACACTATATTTACACTATTTACACTATATTTACACTTTATTTACACTAAATTTACACTATATCACACTATATCACACTATATTTACACTATTTAAACTATATTTACTGGATGTAACTATAGACTCAACTCACAATATTTCTAACAAAATGAGATTGAAGACAAATTCTGACTTTCTCAGACAAAAAATCTACAAAATATATTTTCTTTATCAAATTATAGACTCGGTAGAAGAGGTATAAACTGTGCAAAACAAAGCATTTTTCACAAGTCTTTGCGCCTCGATACCCCGATTCAATTTATTCAACCTTCACATATTTGTATCAGGAGTTAACAGACGATATTTCTTTATGTTGCTGATATTTACAGACCAGTAGAACTGGATTGGTACGACCGTTTCCACCATTAATAACTGAAACAAGGAGACAGCGTATATAATTAAAGATAGTGAAATCTAATTCAAACCATCATATATTTATTGAATAATCATTTCAACAAAACTACGAAAATACATAACCCTCACCCGCTGGCTGACCCTACTAATAATATGTGTAAAGTCCCTAAATTGACCACAATTATTGATCTCTACGCAGCGATATTGATTAGCTCAGTGGTTCCCAACAGTTTTCCTTATCTATGGCTATATATTGATTATATTCAACAGCTGATAAACTACAATGAACTCAAACAGTCAACACAACAACTGCAGGAGGTTTGTGTAAAACAGAGGTTTTGAGTTGAGTTTTTCTGATATTTTTAGTAACTTTTTATACAATCTTCTGTCTTTATTATGTTTTTATTTTATTTTTAACAATCATGCAGATTATATAATCAGTATGTTATATATATATATATTGTTCTAATACAGCTTGTGTATGTAGCAGGTTATCAGAGTTTAGATAGTAAATAATACAATTAAATAAAGTTATTTTAACTCAATTTTGTTAAAGAAAGTTAAAAAACATTGTAGATTAAGTACTTAATAATAAAAATATCAAAATGAAGTCATTAAAAAAATTAATAAGTTACTTGACTTGAAAGATGTTTTTGTTAAACTTTCTTTCTATGTAATTTTTGAGTTTTATTTAGTTTCACAGGAATAAATGAAATGTTGAGATGTAAGTTTTGTTTCTAACCCGCCTTTAAATCAAGAAGGCGCTCGCGACCCCCTGTGAAGCTGTGGCGACCCCTAGTGGGGGTCCCGACCCTCAGGTTGGGAACCGCTGGATTATAATCGGTTAACAAACAGTTAAAAACATCATATTGTGATTGACGATTATGTTGATATGATCATTTTTGCAGCACAAATAATAAATAAAAACTATTATTAGACAGTACTTCATTATAATGCTGTTTTGTCACATATTTTATTTTTATAAATTCAACATTCATGCTTTATTTATCCTTTTTTTTTTTAACTTAAAACGTAAAATAATAAACAAAAACACACAAAAAAAGTATTTTTTCAGAGGTAATTAATGTGTAAAACTACATTAAATGAATAAATGTCTCATTAAGTGCAGTCCTACCTGCTCCATGTTGTGGTCGTTCAGCAGATGCAGTTCCCGGGACTTGAAGCAGTTCTGACATTTACTTTTATTAAAGATGTTGGCTTGAAATTTGTTACACGGACTCGACCCTTTTTCCCCCGACATGTTTCAGTCTCCTCCACCGGTGAATGATCCGCTCACTGACCGCTCTCCGCTCTCCTCCTCCGGCTAACAACCCGCTCACCGACCGCTCTCCTCCACCGGTGAATGCTCCCGCTCACTGACCGCTCTCCGCTCTCCTCCTCCGGCTAACAACCCGCTCACCGACCGCTCTCCTCCACCGGTGAATGATCCCGCTAACAGCCCGCTCTCCGCTCTCCTCCTCCGGCTAACAACCCGCTCACCGACCGCTCTCCTCCACCGGTGAATGCTCCCGCTAACAGCCCGCTCTCCGCTGTCCTCCTCCGGCTAACAACCCGCTCACCGACCGCTCTCCTCCTCCGGTGAATGATCCCGCTAACAGCCCGCTCTCCGCTCTCCTCCTCCGGCTAACAACCCGCTCACCGACCGCTCTCCTCCTCCGGTGCTCCGGAGCCGTTGAACCTCAGCGAACATCTGTCAAACGAGCTCGAGCGCTGCTGTCGTCATGGCTACGTCAGCTCAAGTGACAACATCCGGTCAAAACCTACAAAATAAAACTACAGCAGTTATTGTCTTCCCTCTTTGACTGTAAATGATTATGGTATATACAGTTATATACTTTATATATGTTTAATTTTACCTGTCCCTATAATGTGATGTGTGTGTTTTTGTTTTATTACCACGTCTTTTACTTTGTAATCGTATATTTTATATCTATTGTTGTTTATTGGTGGTTTATATTTTTGGGGTTGAAATTATAATTTCTCCAGTTGAAATATTTGTACAGTAATAAAATGTTTGTACATTTGAAATTTGATCAATAAATTTTTTTTTAAAAAATGAATAAAATAAATGAATAAAATACATTTTTAAAACTGTTTCTGTTTTAAAAAACAAAATAAGATCTACAAGAAGGATATTACACCAAGTGACCGATATAACTAATAAGATAATATAAGATAAGCATTTCTTCATTCAAATTACTATTTTTTAAATTATTAATTAATCAATTTGGTTTTCCAAGTAGAATAAATGAAACTATATCTAATATTAATGTTACAACCCTGCTTTGTAAATGACAATAAAACAACCTTGAATCCTCCAATAAGATAAGATCAGATAATATAAGATGAGCCTGTATTGATTGATTGATTGATTGATCAAGTGTATCTAAACAAACGAGGAATTTGACTCTCAGTGTTCTTACACACAAAACACAGGAAGACATTAGATTAGAAAAAGTTAACAAATTAAAAAACAAGGACAACAAACCTGAGCACAGATAAAATGAACAGACAGTGTCAATACAATCAAAGTGTTCTGTAAATGGTGTTTTATATACATGGAGTGGGTGGTTATGGACCGTATGCATGTATACATGTCTCTATACAGTGTGGAGGATTTATAGATGGATGTTATTTTAAAGCACAGTCTGTATTTTAAACTGTAAATATATAATTTATAATGTGTAGGTAAGTGGATGTTTTATTGTTTCAGGATTATTGGCTGAGATTCAGGTGCAGTTTTTGCAATTGCTACCCACCGCTGCTCATGACATTTATGTTGTTTTATTATTATTAATTCATTATTTTTCCTTTAAATGTAAAACTGTTCAATTACGAACAATAATAACAGAAATAAAGAGTAAATAAAACAATAAAAGACGTTTTATTTACAGTTTACATACATGTATTAATATAATAATATAATATATAATGTTAAAATGTTCCTATTAGTATTATTAACAATACACTAATTGGAATCAACTTTGACGTTGTTGCAGTCTTTTTATTTGATATATATTCATCGGCAATTAAAATGTCTGAACTGCGGACATTATAAAACAGCACATTTGTATTTATATAATAATAAAAAATAAACAGAAATGTTAAAACGAATCTGAAAAAATCCCCCAAATAATAGTAACAAGCGTCCTTGATTTCCTTATTATTATTATTATTAATAAATATTATTATATATGTTTATTATGTTTTATAGCATCTTTGGAGAAACATCTGTAGATTTGTTTGCATTCACTATTTATTTTGAAAGTATGAACAGGAAGTATTATCTCCACCTTGACACTTGATTTAAGCAGAAAAGTGTAATTTAAGCAGCTTTTTAGTCTTATGAATGTTTGATTATTACCAAAACTGATGCAACTAGTCTTATTTGTTATATCTCATTAATGATGTAACAAATAATATATTGTATATATTGTTATTAATAATGATTATACTGATAATAACACTGTTGTCTCTGTGGCCACTGGAGGGCAGTCAATACAAAGAGTCAACTGCACCTGAGTAAAGACAAGAAACAACTTCTAACCAACTGAAAACCTTTAATAAAAATGAATCCCACACAATCAGACTGAGTGGATGCAAGCATTTATTCAAGGCGATGGCAGTGGCAGGGATTGTACAAACTAAAACTGTTTCTTTTAAATGTCTGGCCATCCAAAAAACGTATAAAATACAGCGGCTGTTAATTAATCAGTTGATATGTTCCAACTATTACACTAAAATACAGTTTTATGTACTTTGAAAGGGAACATATTGTTAGTGTGCGGACGTCCGAAACGTCGGACTAAATGAGTCTGGACACTTTTCGTACTTTTCAAGCAGATCAAACTTATTTTGTAATAAATTAATGTTTTTAAGTTCGTACATTTTCTTGCAAAAAACAAAACAAAAAAAAAAACATCACACAGAGAACAAAGCTTAAAAATAATAATAATAATAATAATTCATTCAGTTTTACTATCTACAAACGTAAAGGTGCTTTTCTTAACATGTGCATATCAGCTTTTATTTTGAAAAGGAGACCGTGGAGACAGATTTGATTGGTTCTTATTGCTGGTGACTGTTTGTTAAGCCCCGCCCCCTTGGTTACTGTTGCTAAGCACAGTTTACATTTTAGCTTCTTTTTATTAAACAATTTAAACAACAGGCTTTTGACTGAAGACCGAGGAAGACAAAAGCAGCTTATTTGTAGCCGGTGACGACTTTATAAGCTGAAATAAGTGTTGCTGGCAGATTTTTGGGGACTTTTGAAGCCCCGAAAAATATCCTGTTGGACGGAAACAAAACCCTAACGCCCCCTGACGGCCTCATTTCTGAAAATATACACTGCTATTTGTCCTTTGACCATGTATATTTCACACTATTAAAGTTTGGGATTAAGAACAATGGCTGAACCCGGGTTTTAGTAGCTGTAGCTAGCTAGCTCATTAGGCTAACGTTAACCATACTCGTTTGGCGTCTCCGACTTTTTATGAACGACTCCAACTTTTTTTAAAGTGAATAAATCTGGTAAAAGTGGTCTTTAATGTGCAGTTAATGGCTACATACATGAAATTGTGCTAAAATATTTAGGCTAAAGCTAACAGGTGCTAAAAGGCTAGTGTTGACGTTGTACTGCGGTTTAGAGCTAACGTTAGCTGAGTTAGCCAAAGAATTACAAGTATGATAAGTAAAAATGTGAAATCAGAGAATTATTTTAACCCTTCTGGCTGCTTAACTTACACACTTTTAGGGAAAGGGCTAACCGATGTATTTGGCACACTGAGCTACTAATGTTAGCTCGTTAGCATCCAGGACTAGCTTTACGGATGTCGCGCTGATTCGGAAAATATCTCCAGTATGCAGAGTGCGTCCCACCTCGCAAAGCGCCGACACAATCACATGGTTTGGTCATTTTAATCACTAAATTAACTTCTGATGGCGAGAAATCAAATGTGTAGATTTCAAATATTTGGCAGCTTTAAGAAAATTAACTGCGAATTTAAAACGTTTTCCACGACTGAAGAACAAAACGCTGACAGACGTCTCGATAAATCGGGAAAATCCACATTTATAACGCCGCTTTCTTGAGCTTTTGATGTTAGCTTCCCCACCTAAATAAATGGACTTCGTACGGCGGCGAATACGACCAACCTATTTACACGTATTGCTCTTACTACAGCCCTAGTTACGGTTGCTAAGCTACCATTGGACGCACGCTGTTTTGTGTGTGTGTGGGGGGGGGGGTTTAAAAAACGGTCAACGAACGCTCCGAAAAAGTTTGTTTAATATGTTTCGACCGATACACAATAAAATGTGCGTTTCAAGTAGTAGCTTCCAGTGTGACGGCCAATGTCGTACATCTCGCATCTTTAGACGTTTATTTAATATTTACAAAGTGAGCTTTGAAGGCCGAGGAAAGGTTCGGTCTGTGTAAGCAGCTAATAGTATAAGTTTAAGGATAATATATGAGACGTGTAGAGGAAAATATTACTTTGGAAAAATAAATAAATAAATAAAAAGGTTGTTTTTTTTTTCTCTCATAGCCACAAAAGATAAAACAGAAATAAATGTTTGTGCTCAGGAGGGAAATCTAAACATTTGACTGTTGTTTTTTTTAGTGCATACTTGATAGACAGCTACTCTGGCAATGTCAGGCAGTATTAGTTCAGGGTTTTTAGGATAAGATATATGTCACATTCATTCTACTACAAATGTAATACTACTGCATTTCTTTTAAAATTCAGAATGAGATAAGTTCACTGTGTGAGTATTAGGCTAAAAGCTGGGAGTTAGATATTATTCAGTACTGAAGAAAACACACACTGCAGTCCAGTTTAAGTAGAAGATGTAGTAAAACAAGTCTCTTCCAGGTCTAGTCTCTAAGGACACGTTCACGACATTCAGAGGAGTAAAGAAAACAGAAAAGAAGGAGGATGTGCTTTCAGAACTCGTGTCTGTGATACATGTCTGGATCGTAGTATTTGGTGACCACCACCCTGTTGGCGAACTTGCGGCCGGTGAGAGCTTGCATGGCTTTCTGACAGTCTGCAGCAGAAACGTACTCCACAAAGATCTGCAACGGGAAAACAACAACGAGTCAGGGTACGAAGTGAAGGCGAGAGACGGAAGTGGGGAAAAGGTTGACCCAGGTTCTGGCCGAGGCTAGCTCAACAAAAAGGGGCGGGACTTAGTTAATTTTATTAATTAATTACCTTTCCGCAGCCGGGGACCTCCACGCCGTCGACGGGTCGGGGGATCTCGATGGAGCGGACGCTGCCGTACTTGCAGCACTCCTCGCGGATGTCCTCCAGGATCTCCTCGTAGTCCTCGTCGTCCACCAGTTCCTCGGGCATCACCATGTTGAGAAGGCACAGCACCTCTGTGGGCATGCCGGAGTTCTGCAGCCTCTGGAGCCCGGGGACCTGCAGCGTCACCGGGGTCTCTATGATGGAGGTCTGCAGGTGGAGGAACAGCCGGTAAGATTTCACAGAGGAAATATATTTCCCATAAGGCCTCCTGCTTCCTGCCCCCCCCTCCTGGATAAACTCTCTGTTGACCTTTCGCTCACTCCATCTGCCATCGAGTCTTTAAACTGTAGCTCACAGTGGAGAATAAAGTGTTTGTTTACAGTTTTATACTAACAAGCCTCTTTAAAAGCATATTCCAGTCGTAGTAAATAATAAAATAAATCACATTTTTACAGGAAGCACCAGGATTTCTAACCATAAACTGCATAAAAACATTTATTTAATACAATGTACTTCTCTTTAATGGTGTTTCTGAGCTCAGGTCGTTAGTGCAATAAGGTGGAAGCAGAATCCTCCAGCTGTTATTGTGGTTTGAAGGATGAAATCTGTGTTCTTCATCATCTACTATCTGGATGCAATGCCTTTTATTTAGTACGGTGGCCCTGAGAGCTCAAGTCCAGTACAGTGTGCAACTTATACAGTGAGATCCACCAGTGCACAGACACTGAGGAGGGACAAAATGTGAATATTTCTTAGATTCTGGATGTTTTAATGTGGAAATTTAATTTAGTTTCAAGCAGATAATTAATATATACGTCTTAATAGGCATCTGCAGGAGATCTTTAAGTTACAGTATGTTTATCTCTCAGGGCCACAGTGATTTACAGATTGTCATTAGGTTTATGAGTGTAATAATATCACAGTGTATGTAAGAGGGAGCTGGTTGGATACTGATGGTTGTTCTACTCACAGGATTGGCGTTTTTAGCTCCCACGCTCGCCCTTTGGACTATCAGCTTTTTGTCGCCCAGTTGCATCCCATTGAGCCCAGCGACTGCCTGATGGAGGAAACACACAAAGGACTCAATCTATAAACACCCTGAGACACATTTATACATCTTTTACTGACTTGTATTTGCCGGTTTGCTTCTCTCAAAACAAAACTACCTGAACTGTAAAACAAACATCATGTCTCTCTCTCTCTCTTTCATACCCTCCTGCTGTTCCTCAGCTCTGTGAAGTATCTCCAACCCACTAATGTGACTTTGGCGAGGTAAAATACAGACGGCTGTTTCCCCCTTTTTATCCGTGCGTCTCTCTCTCTGCTGCTGCCGTTGTTCGCGTTGTTGTGCTGCAAAATTCCCCCTCCGGGACAAATAAAGGTCTTTGAACTTGAACGGAAACTCACCTGATCGGTGGCGCTGACGTCGACATATTCGCAAAAGGCGTAACCTTTCGACAGTGACGTGGCACTGTCCTTCACTAGGTTGAACGCTTTGAGGGGCCCGAATGACGTCAAGAGCTCCTTTACCTGCAGAAAAGAGTCAGACGACAGGATGTGAGGGCCGATGGCTCGTAGTGACCGCGCAGTAAACCTACAGAGTGAATTATAAATCATCACAAACTAATAACAGGATTACTGGAAAACAAAGAAAAAATGTGCGCAATTAAATAGTCGTTTGTGCAGCTTACAGGAGAGACGGTGCATAAAAAAATTTTCTTTTGAGGGGTTTAATGCTACGTATAACTATTATTGAGACGTATAAATTATATTGAAAGAATAATAATAAGCTCATATTATATAAGTTAAAGGTAAAATAAAAATAATCTAGATAAAAGTGTGACTCTTTATTGTATTTTTGCCGACTACAGGCAAAAAAAAAAACTGTTTCTTACCTTTACATTAAAAGCTGAATACAACAACAACAACAATCCCCAAAGTCTTAATGAATCCTGGCCTTAACCCAAAATCCCCGGGGGGTCCTAAAACGCGCTCCAAAAGCATGATGGGTAGAAAGAAAGCAGCCAGTAAGGGAGCCTTGCTGGCTAGGAGTGTATCCGTGTGAGGACCAGAATGTCTTACTTGCCTTGTGTTACATGTTGGCATGGCAGCAGTAGATGAGTACTACTGAACAAATTATGAGCGCAGACTTAACGATCTTACAGGCCCCTAGCTGGGGACAAAGTGGGGGAACAAAAATGAAAGAGCTGTGAGTATCAACGCAGTGGCAGTGACTGCAAGTATTAAAAATAAATGAATATATATATATAAAAGTCAGTGAATAATATACATCAGGTGCTCTGTAAGCTGTGAGTGACACAGAACGGACAGTTAGGATCAAATTCAGTGTGAATCAGAGGAACTTTACACCCTCTGCTCACCTGAGAGCACAGATACTGTGGAGGTATTAGACTCGTGACGGCCTGTTTATCAGCAGATACTCACTCTGAGTTTGGATGTTTCTCAAAGAAAAAGTCCACTTGTTCTTTTAGTTATGATTCCTTAACAATAATCAATGGATTTCTGGAGTTTTAGTGACTTTAGTGACTGATAATTTTGGGAATGATCAGTTTTAGAATAACAACTTTAAAGAGAATAAGATTCGTACACCAGGATATCTCTAAAGAACTTCATTATAATGTCACAGCACTACTTTGTGTGCGCCAACTTCCTCTTTAGGTGCCTGATTTTACCCATAATTCCTTCCTAAAACTGGGCCTAAACTAATTGGAGGACAACAAGTTTCAAACAAAAGTCTCTAAAACTGCTTATTCCATCATCCTCCTTTAATAACTGTGTTAGTACATGTGTTAGTTTCTGATCACTACACATGTTTTTAATACAGCACACTGATCTCTGTTGTGTATATACAATATATATGTATATATACATTGTTAATACATGCATATATATTGTATATATTGTGCTGTTTTAACCCTGTTCTCTGTATTGTTTCCTGCATTAGCTGTATGTATGTTTCACTATCAACTGGTTGGTTCTCAATTGACTTATCTGGTTAAATAAAGGTAAAATTAAAATAAATTAAATAATAATATAACCAAACCAATACTGGGATATTGATATTTGGAAGTTTAAAGAACTGATAATGACCTATTTTATTAGTTTATCCTGTTCATGTTTGTTTTTTAAATAATTGTGTTAAAAAATAAAACCAGTAATAGTGGAACTGTTTCTAAGTGACGTTTTTTTTAAAGGACCGTCAGCATCTCGCTTACAATTATTACTTTCACTGTCGATTAATGTGCTTTTTCAATCAATTTATTAATCGTTTGGTCCCTAAAATGTAAGAAAATGCTGAAAAATACCCACTAAAGTATTTTTATTTCTTCCCAGGATGGCGAAGTCATGACCTGCACTGCTCTGGTTCTGATTGGCTAGGAGTCTTTGCCTCCATTGGTTTGGTTGGTTAGGACAAAAACATAATTTTCTGTAGTTATTTTATAACACTTGTGTATATTTTAATGTTTATCTGATCAGTTTGGTTTTAAGTCGTTATTTAAAGCTATAAAAAAAAGGTTTTACAACTAATTTAAACTAATTAAAACAATCCAGAACCACTACCACAGTTAGCAGAAGATTTCTTAAGGTGGACTTTTTCTTTGACAATACTGACTCATAATGAATATGCAGCAACTTTCAGGCCTAAATATCACACAGAGATAAATACAGTTCATCAGCCTGTTGTGTAAATATACTGGACTTTGCTTACCTTTCTTTAATCAGTACGCTTTACATGAGAAAGGTATACGCAGTTTACTTAGATCATACTCATCATATATGATTAATGACATGATATGATTAATGTTTGTTGAGGCAAAATAAGAGCTTATTTAACTCAGATACATATTAATACATTAAATATTAAGATATTTATGTTTTATGCTACGGGGTCACGTCCTGTTTCTGGCTCTGATAAACAGCTTTTATTACTTCTCTAAGAAGATTTTTTCATGTCATAAAGAAATGTAAAAGTTTTATTTAAAACGTGTGACTCAGCAAGTGAGAGAAAAAAATGAGGAAACACGAGTGCACCCGTTCAGTCTGTCTGCAGGTAAATACCTGGTCATCGTTAAGGTAGTTGGGCAGCCCTCCTATAAACAGTTTGTGGGGGGAATCGGGAACGACTGTGGAGACGACGCCTGCGGAGAACAAAACAACGAGGAAATAAAACACGCTTTCACCGTCGTATGATACATACCGTAAAACTTCCAATAAAAGCAGGGTCCCTAATAGACACAGGTCTCTTTTAAAAGCCTGGTGTGTCTCCAATAGAGGCCTAGTCTGGATTTTATAGAAATTATCTCGATGTATAAAACCTCTGAAAACCCACTATTGATCTCCTACACAAATATAAATGTTTAAACTTCTGTCAATATGTACATAATGAACATCGTTAGATCAGTTTTAAATTCTCCACAATTCAATCGTTCAATATATTTTACGAAAACGATCAACACCAAAGTATAACGTTAATTCAATCTGACTTACCGGTAACATGGTTAACAAGAGAGAAGGAAAAAAACCTCTGAAGCATCATAATCAGCATGTTAGTTGTCAAATTTGCTGAACAAAACTCAAGAGAAGCAGCAGTTAGAGTTTAGTTTAGTTTAGTGCTAAAGGAATTAAAGGCCTGTCCCAAATAGAGGCCTGTCCCCAATAAAAGCAGGGGGAGTTCAGTGATTTAAGCAAATAAACGCCCGGGCTATTATTAGTTTTACGGTGTAAAATGTGTCGGTGCTGCTCGGTAACAGACCCGGGACGTGGAAGGCGGGCTGCTCCGAGATTCCGGGTAAAGGCCGATAGTCGTGAGGTCTTCTAATCTTCAGCGATTGACCCTGGAAAATGATTCCATCGAAGGCCATGGCCTGCGTCGTCTCGTCCACAGACCGAAACTGGAAAAGCAAAAATCATGTTGAGACTTCTGCTGCAGGTCGTCCGCACAGGAACACAACGCACACTTATAATAAAGTCAGAGAGAAAGGTTTCTACTTTGTCTGCATGTGTGTGTTAAATATCTATAACAGTAAATGTTAAATTCATAAACTTATATCAGATCCAACAGAAATCCTGTAATATTATTTGGCTGTTTAACTTTAAAAGTTTATTTGTTACCTTTGGACAGAGTCAGGCTAGCTGTGTCCCTCTGTTTCCAGTCTTTATGCTAAGCTAAGCTAACCAGCTTCACAGACAGACGGACATTGAGAGAGATATCAATCTTTGCATGTAACTCTGGGCAAAAAAAGACAGTAAGTATTAATCTTTAAAGACTTTGTGAAGGAACATATTGTTTTGAGATTGCAGCACGAACCTCGAGGAAAGCAAAGTTTTTATCCTGATTGATCTGCACGGCGAGTACAGGGTTGCTCGGGGCTTGTGAAAGACCTGCGAGTCTCATCTGAGCGTTGAAGAACTCCGCCATGGACTCCTGAGGAGGAAGAAAACAAACCTGCTGGAAACAAACACAGCGGCTGGATCGGCGCCAAGCGGGCGGTCAGAGATCAACCGGAGGCGGTTTACCTCAGTCACTCCGAAGGGAATATTCCCAACATAGAGGCGTCGGGCTTGTCTCGTCATCTGACTGCCAACTATGGGCACTTGTGTCGGAGCCGCAGCCACTCCGGTGGTGGTGGACGTCGCCAGCAGAGCTATTGTTGGTATCTGCCCGGCCGCTGAAGGAGAGAGCACGTAAGGATCATCGCCTACAAACTGCCCCCCCCCCTCCGTAACCCTCCATTACTCTATCAGGGTTCACTCATTATTTTATTTAATGTGAGAAATAAAAATAAACAGCTGTTCTGTTTCCACCTCGAGTCCAGTACCAACAAGTTTTATGACTTTATGATTATTATTAATGGATTTAATCACTTTATTGCAACAGTAACTCATTACTAGTGATAATATTACTCTCCCCAGTAACTTGTTGTGTTATAATATTACAGTTACTCCCCCAAAAAGTAATTAGTTACAACCTTACTTTTGTAATTTAAAGAATCCAATCAGATCGTTGAATTTCTGTAATCGTGGAGGAAACATTCAAGAGGCTGGAAATACTCGATTACTTTAATTTTAACAAACAAAACTGGATTTTAATCGTCTTAAGTCTGAATTTTGGGGAGAAAGTAGCATAAAGGTAATATAACTAGTAGTGTAACTAATTACTGTCAGCAGGGAGTAATAAGTAAAGTAATAATATTACTTTTTAAAAGAGTAATAGATTACATGTTTTGAGCAACTAACTGATTGAAAGTATGCCGAATTAGCTATAAGCACTTCCTGTTAGTATTGTGCCCAACAGAAACACACACAACTACCACCGGATCACTTTAATACTGAATGAAACTTAAAAACGTGACGTTTGTAAGGGGAGTTCTGTAGTTCTAAGAACTGGCTTTATACACGATAGGCCTCAGGAATAATCACATACTCTGAGAGTGAAAGGTCTGAACACAACAACCCTCCTGACAGACGTCTGAGGGACTAAACCAGCACAGAGAACAGGAAACGTACCTTGCATAGCTTTATATTGCATTGGTGTGATGTGTTCAAAGCCCGGAGGAGGAACGTCCCAGTATTTGCACGTCCTTTTCTTCCTCGTTCGCCTCGGAGAGTGACTGGATGCAGAGAAATTACAAAATAAAATTACAAAATAAAAGCTTCAGGCAGCGAAACATGTGACAGACACAGTTAGCAGCTAGCTGGATAGCGTAGCGTAGCATCGAGCCGCTAAAGAGACGAATAATTCAGCTAAAAGAGGGTAAACACTGGACTGTAGCTGGTTCTGGTGCAACAGAGAGCTGGTTCTGGTGCAACAGAGAGCTGGTTCTGGTGCAGCAGAGAGCTGGTTCTGGTGCAACAGAGAGGAGAGAGCTGGTTCTGGTGCAACATAGTGCTGGTTCTGGTGCAGCAGAGAGCTGGTTCTGGTGCAGCAGAGAGGAGAGAGCTGGTTCTGGTGCAGCAGGCTGGTTCTGGTGCAACAGAGAGAGCTGGTTCTGGTGCAACAGAGAGCAGAGAGCTGGTTCTGGTGCTGGTTCTGGTGCAACAGAGTGCTGGTTCTGGTGCAACGAGAGCAGAGAGCTGGTTCTGTGCAACAGAGAGGAGAGAGCTGGTTCTGGTGCTGGTTCTGGTGCAACAGAGAGGAGAGAGCTGGTTCTTGTGCAGCAGAGCTGGTTCTGTGCAACAGAGAGCTGGTTCTGGTGCAACAGAGAGGAGAGAGCTGGTTCTTGTGCAGCAGAGCTGGTTCTGTGCAACGAGAGCTGGTTCTGGTGCAACAGAGAGCTGGTTCTGGTGCAACAGAGAGCTGGTTCTGGTGCTGGTTCTGGTGCAACAGAGTGCTGGTTCTCGTGCAACAGAGAGAACTGGTTCTGGTGTAGCAGAGAGAACTGGTTCTGGTGCAGCAGAGAGAACTGGTTCTGGTGCAGCAGAGAGCAGAGAGTTTTTGGTGCAGCAGAGAGCTGGTTCTGGTGCAGCAGAGAGCAGAGAGTTGGTTCTGGTGCAGCAGAGAGAACTGGTTCTGGTACAGCAGAGAGAGCTGGTTCTGGTGCAGCAGAGAGCTGGTTCTGGTGCAGCAGAGAGAGCTGGTTCTGGTGCAGCAGAGAGCTGGTTCTGGTACAGCAGAGAGAGCTGGTTCTGGTACAGCAGAGAGAGCTGGTTCTGGTACAGCAGAGAGAACTGGTTCTGGTGCAGCAGAGAGAACTGGTTCTGGTGCAGCAGAGAGAACTGGTTCTGGTACAGCAGAGAGAACTGGTTCTGGTGCAACAGAGAGCAGAGAGCTGGTTCTGGTTCTGATGCAGCAGCTTTCACCCACTGACCTGTGCTTCTTGTGGTCCCGGGAGGAGCTCCGGCGGTCCCGGCTCTTCCGGTCTCGGCTGCGGCTTCTCTTCTCCCGGCTGCGGCTCCCTCGGTCTTTGCTCCAGCTGCGATGTTTATCGCCTCGACCCGGAGAACCACTGCGACTCCTCTTCTTGTGTCTCTCTCGTTCTCTCTCTGCACAGCACGAAATTATTACTACAATTAAATACTCTAATAATAATAAGAATAAATAACAATAAATAAATAATATATAATAATACAACTAATGTATAAATAATAATAAAAAAATAATAATTAAATAATAATTAAATAGTAATTACATAATAATAATAAATAATAGTTCAATAATAATAATAAATAACAATAAATAATAATAATAATAATAATACGACTAATGTATAAATAATAATAATAAATAACAATAATAAATAATATATAATAATACAACTAATGTATAAATAATAATAATCAATAATAATTAAATAATAATAGATAATAATTAAATAATAAATAATAATTAAATAATAATAATAGATAATAATTAAATAATAATAATAATTAAAAATAATAATAATAATAATAATTAAATAATAATAATAATTAAATAATAATAATAATAATAATAATTAAATAATAATAATAATAATTAATAAACTTCAGACTTTAAACACTCTGTTTAATTATTTACTTTCATTATTTTGTTGGAAAGTATTCATATTGTGGTATTTCTACTTAAATAAAGGATCTGAGTACTTTTCTTTATTTAATGTAACAGTAAGATTAACATCTCTCTCCTCGAGCTTTAGAAATCCTAACAGGTCATTTTTCTATCTTTATTTATATTTTAAAAATTCCTCGTATGTGTAAAAACGTACTTACTAACAAAAAAGGTTAAACTAGAACTGAATACAATCACACACAGGGCTTATAGACAAACGCAGAGACAGTGGAGCGATGAGCCGCCATGTAGCTGCACTCCAGGAGCAGTCAGGGGTGTTAAGTGTCCAGGAGGTGGAACTGACACATATAATTAATCCTATAAATAATAAAGGCTTAATTACCTAATAAATACTTCACCTCTCTCTCTCTGATTCCTCTTTTATAACCACTGAAATCTCTCCCGCTTTAATTACCAACACTGATGTTCGTCACTCGCTGCAGGTAATTACATTTTTACTGTACAAAAGTTTCCGTTCTGTATTAACTACATATTAATTACATCTTAATTATATATTAATTGCAAGCTCTGACGCCCAGGAGAAACCACTGCTTCCTGTTTGTCCTTCATGACGGTTTAATGTGGCCTTTATGTTCTCGGTGAGGGGGGGCGTCTGGTAGAACATGACCGAAGACCTTTTAATGGATCGATAGGAGGTTTCTGTGTGGTTCTGATCCACCCGGCGGCTCAACGCTGATTAAATGTCAACTTATAGATGTGTTCTTTTATTCTTTAATACCTCCTTTTCTATTACTTTTCTTTCTTTCTTCCGTGTCTGGGAACCTTCTTTGTGTTGAATGTCACTTCAGACTTTAACCGCTTTAACTCCCCGTACTCGGAGTTTGTTCTTTAGGAGTTTTAATTATTAATAAACTAATGTTTTAGTTGTTAAAATGTTGGAGAATAGTGGAAAAAAATCCCCATCACAGCTTCCTATAACCCAGAGTGACGTGTTTAAATGTGAACTAAAATATACTTTATTCAGTTTTTATTGTAAAGAAAAGTAGGATTTTCTCACACTGGAGAAGATTGTTAATAGATGTATTAATAAGTAGAGCTGAGACGTTATTAATGTTGTTTTATTGTGAAATTCTGTATTAATTTCATTAATTATGGATGCTGTTTTTATTAAAGCAGGATATTCTCACACTGGTGATGGAACAAGAACAATAAAGTTATTAATTTATTACCTATTTCCATTTTTATTGACTAATAAAGTTGTCTCATGATTTCATTTCCAGGCGAGCTACATGAACAAGTTTTATTATTATTATCAGTATCATATATTTAATTAATTATATATCATAATTAAATATCCTTCAATAGAGCAGTGGAGCTGTTTTGCCTCTGGTGGGCGCTACAGAGCACCGTAGTTATGTTTACTGTATATACTTTTATATCCACCTGCCTCATGTACATACAAATACCTGCACATTAATATATATTTCAGCATCATTTGCACTATTTTCTACAAATGTTATTGCTTTTGTTTGTTTAGAACTGTACATACTAGTTTTTATCTATTTTGTTAAGCTTGTTGTCCTCTTTTTATTTATGCTTATTCTGTCATATTCCTTGTATGTATGCCAATAAAAGTGATTCTGAGTCAGATTTTGTATTAATTTTAATAATAATGTGTTGCAACAATGAATAATGGATGCCAGTTGTATTTTTCAGTTTTTATTAAAGCAGTAAATCCTCACACTGGAAGAGATGGAACAAGAAAATATTAATAAAGGGATTCATCTATTACCTATTGGAGATTTTTGCAAAAGGTAATTGCAGAACTTTTTATTTTTAGGCGTGCTACATAAATTATCAGTCATTATATATTTAATGAATTCATATATCATAATTATATATCACCCAGTAGAGCAAATAAGTTGCTGTGCTGTGAGATTTCTGTTTTAATTTTAATAATAATGCGCTGAAACAATAATTAATGGATGCCGTATTGAAAAGTACATAATAAAGATTCAGAAAATGTCTTGTGAAGTAGTTTCTGCCTATATGTGTCTTTACAGGAAAGTAAAACATTTAAAAATGTGAAATATCTGAATGGAGTTTGGTGCCTTGCTGCCTCGCGCAGGTTAAGTTCCCAGTGAAACTCACCGGTAGCCAGACTGCGTTCACTACTGTGTACAGATTTAGCAGCGGCTCTAGGATGAGGACGTTATTACCGGCATCATGAGGCTAATTATTAATTCTGCTTATATGAATAATAAGGAAAACAAGCTGAGTCATAGCTCGTGAAACTACACGTTAAAGTTGTTGTCGGGTTATTCATTCATAAAATAATGTAGCTAACATCACGCACTATAAGACGCGTTGCTCTGCTAGCTTGAACCGGGGCACAGGCTGACCGTTCATTCTTACCTTGTCGATTCTCGCTCAGTTGTTTCTCAAATTCCTCGAAATCCGACATTTTTACCGGTAATTTCGGTGTGTAAAAATAACGCAGGTCTGTCACGTCTGAGGGGAACGATAAACCAACCAGCCCGCTGTGTCAGTGCAGCAAGAAAAAACCCACCGAAACCTCACCGGCTACAGTACATCCGGCTACTACCTTCAAAATAAAACCACTGAACCCGCTCAACGGCAACTCACACAGTATGTCCGGTTACAGCCTTCAAAATAAAACCACTCAGATTTACAGGGGTTTTTATTTTTAAGAGATTGTTTTACTCCAGTGTTAGTTACTTTAAAAACTAATTACCTTAAAGAAAAATGGATTGCTTCAACATCATATATACAAATAAAGACAAAATGAAAGTAATATTGATGAGAAGTATTGATTTTAGTGTATTCTATAAGATAACAGAACAATTTAACCTTAGAAAATAACACTGAAACCAAGATTTTTAGTATCAGTGTATAATTATATACCTTAACTTAAACTTCATTATGTGATGCTTAACTATGCATCCTGAATTCATGTAACATATTAACTGACTTGTGCCCAATAAGATGTCTCTTATATAAAGGTGTCTCTTTTTTGGTTGTTGTTGCATTTTCTCTGATTTAAAAAAAAAAAACATCTCTTTATCTTTTTACTTTGTTCTATTTTATTTGTTTAATGATTAAAACAACATATACAATGCAGACAAACTCGAGAATATAAGGGAAGAGACAATTAAAAATGAATACTATAAGACCCACCAATCAATGCATGTTGATGGGAAAAATAATCACATATAATCCCATTAAATCACATGTATTATGTTGTTGCTGAGACCCCATAATGTAGCACTGTTTGTCTCTAATGTCACTTATTTAATACCTTTATTGTGCATACATATTTATATACATATCACGTCTTCAGTTTGCTTGTTAACAGTCTAAAACACTACAACATTCAATTTAATGTCATATATGACAGAGGAAAACAACAAATTGTCACATTTGAGAAGCTAAAACCAGAAAATGTTTTCGATTAATTAACTCATAATCAGAGAAGCTGCAGATTAATTGATCGATGAAGTGAAAATCATAAAAATGTGATTTACACGTGATGCTGTTTAATTTATATTCACTTTATTTTAACCCTTTATTCATAAAAACTTAATTCCTTTCTAATTTTTTACATCAAAATAAAATAAAATAAACAAAAACAAACCTGGTGAAACTGGATCATAGTTTATGGAGAGAATATTGTCTGGTTTTCTCTCTGATGTCGGTAAACTCCTAATGTAGCTGCCGTTCGCTGTATGATTGTTAAAAATACGTAATACAGACAGATAATTGTATAAAAAGTTCCCTAAACAGAAAGATCATCAAAATCTCTCGTTTAACACAAACTTATCAAAGTTACTGCGTTCGCTGTTTGGGTTCATAGAACAGCAGTTAGCTAACGGCAGCTACATTACGTTGCATAGAAAATAATAAATAATAATATATATAATATAATAATAAAAAAAATCTAACAACTGAAAGACCTTAAAACTAGAAAAAAATCTAAGCAAGTTGTATTTATTACAAGCAATGAAAACTCAGTTATTTAAGATAAAAATAAGTATTTTGGTGACTTTATTGAGCTGAATTTAAGAATGTGTACCTTTTAATCTAAGATTAATAATCAGCAATCTGACAATTTCTTCAAACATAATAAAAATAAGTGACTTTGTCTTAAATGAAGGAACCAGAAACATTTTTATTTTTAACATTTTCTCATTAAAACAATGAAAAACTACACAGCTGCTTTATTTCCAACACTAGGACCAGACGACTTTCTCTTAAACTAATTTAAGAGAACGTCTTATTAAGACAAAGTTAGACATGTTTTTCTCTTAAAACCAGATTATTTTCCTATCGAAAAACATCCTTAACAGGATTATTTTTCTTTTTAGACAAAAATATAAGACTAATTTCCCAGAAAAAAAGACTGTTTTACTTTCTTGAGAATGATAACAGGTTTGTGGCATCAATTTTTGAACACAGATACACAACAAAGAACATTTTTCTATGTATTTTCTGTCTTAATCGAATACGTAAAGGAACTTTAGTGTCAAATATATTCTATAAACACTCAAAAATACATGTTTTAATTACAAACTCCTAGATTATTTTTATTTCTAGACACAAAAATAAGACTAATTCCCCTGAAACACGGCTGTTTTACTTTCCCGAGACTCCTTATTTGTAGTGTTTCATTGTACTGCACATTACTAATGTCAGCCATACACCACAACCAGTGCTCTTACCCAGCAGCCCCCTCTCCCGTCACTTTAAACATGTAGACAACATACGCTTGAAAATAACTGACTCAGCTGTGCTGCTATTAAAAGAGCTCAAATCCCAAAGTATTGCTGTGGCCCGTCCGGCTGTCCCGTGGTCGTGGTCGTCGTGGTCGTCGGAGGAGCTCAGTGAACGAGCTGCTGAGGCTCTTCAGGAGAGGAATAAATCCAGATCACCTGCAGACGCAGTAAGTGTCGGCTGATTATTCATTTCCTGTAATATCGAGGTCAGAAAGGAGCAGATCTGTTTAATGTGTCTCAACTGGAGGACATTTTATCTTTAATTTAACTTAAACAAACAGCTTCTGTGTGGATTAAACGTGTCTCCTGTTCAGTTAGTGGGGGTTTGTGTCTTTGTTGTGGAATAATGAGGCTCTGAGTCCTCTGACAGAGATACAGAATCTATTTCTGGGGCAGGTTTATATTTAGATGTCTCTTCCTGGACAAACAGCCGGTGCTTGGCATGGTAAACCTCAACCTAAAGGTTACTCACAAACTAGAACAGAGACAAACAAACTGGGCAAAATGTTGTTTTATGAAAGATACTAAAGTAACTCAAACACTGTGAAGACAACGGGCCCCTAAACCTCCTACATGAGAGCAAGGACCCCAACTTTATGGTCAACTGGAGTTTCTTTGTGTCCATTTTTGTGTCCCTTTGCATCGTTTTGCATTTCTTTGTGGTAATTGTGTGTTTATTTGAGGTTATTTTCTGTTTTTGTGGTTTCTTTGTGTCTCTTTGTGGTTATTTTGTGTCTTTTTGTGGTTGTTTTTTGTTTCTTTGAGGTTATTTTGTGTCTCTTTGTGGTTGTTTTGTATTTTTTGGTTGTTTTGTGTCTTTTTGTGGTTATTTAGTATTTTCTTTGGTTGTTTTGTGTCACTTTTTGTTTGTTTTTTGTTTCTTTGAGGTTATTTTGTGTCTCTTTGTGGTTGTTTTGTGTGTCTGAGGTTATTTTGTATTTTTTTGGGGGGTTGTTTTTTGTTTCTTTTTGGTTGTTTTTTGTGTTTTTGTGGCCAGTAGACTGATTTTCAGGATGCACAGTTGGCCTGTTCAGTAAGCCACGTATAAGATATAATCACATTCACAATTCATAATTACCGCAATTAAAACTAAGATCTGAAAGGTTGACAGTACTTTTGAAAAGTTTAAACGATGGTCTGAAAAGTTAAAAATTAGATAAGCTAAAGTTAAATACTTACTTACACACATACTTTGTGGATGACACTGTTTTAATAAGTCTGAAAATTAATTAATTAATGAACAAAACAACACAAACCAGCTTCAAATGGCAGATTTTAGTTTCAGTTTTATGATTTGGGAAAGTGATTCACCTCATTAAACACTGACTGTATATTGTGATCAGAGCTCATATAGAGACACTAATAATGTGGTATTTATTATTCAGTTTGAATTACTAACATAAGAACATGGTTAAAAATGTCTTCTCTGTTTTTATTTCAGAGCTGTAGGAATAGTTAGATTTAAATATGGTTGTAGAGGGTGAGATGGAGTCCAATGTTACGGAGCCGGAGAGCTTTTGGGTATGAAACGCTCCTTTTTCCTGTAAATCACGTTCATCAGATCTCATCTCATCTCATCTCCACTCTCAGATCAAAATCATTTATCATCTGAAAAGTATGTTTAAATCTCTGAACATGCTTTTACGACAGTGTTAGCGTACCATGACGACAACATCAACACTTGTGGTTTAATTATCTTTTTTTTTTAAGGGAATAGTTTTTATATTTTGTGAAATTTGCTCATTCGCTTTCTGTCCATTGACGCCTCTCGCACTCGGTAATGCTACAGTCAGCAGGCAGTTAGTTAGTTTCTCTTTGTATTGCTAATTTCTAGGGAAAATCAAAAGGATGCGACGTTTACGACCTTCTCTCCTGTTCCGTTACAGCGAATTTTGTGAAATATATCGTTAAATTCAGGTTTTAGCTGAACAATATTTGCTTGTTTGCTAACGTGGACAAATAGCTAACGAAGCAAAATATTGTCTGTTGATTGGATAATAATTCAAACTGTCCAACAGCAAGCTAGTTCGTATAATGGAGCTAATATGAAATATAAAATATAGGAACATTACGGATTGTAACGTTATTATAGATATTTATATATAATTTATTTTCCAGCATTCAGTGTTCGGTTGAACAGAAGTTTTTTCTATTGTCTCGGACTCGTTGGTATTCGCACTCGGACTTGGTTTCACCAGAATATTCTAGTTGCTCTTGATCAAGTCCAGTCATATATATGTGTGTTTTATTCTGAAATAACTTCCTCCTTTCAAAATAAAACCATTAATGAAGCGCGCTTGTTCCAAAAGGGTTCGATTTCAAAATCCAGTCTTGACTCTCGACTGCAGCAGTTTTCTGAAACAAACATTAACCATTAATCCAAGAAGAGATAACGTTAATGAGCTTTAAAGGTGCTGGATTTAGTACATTTGGACTGTTTCCTGTCTTTATGCTAAGCTAAGCTAACCAGAGAAGCGAATGAGCACATTTTCCCAGAATGTGGAACTAGGATATAATTTGTGTGAGCAGTAAAGATTAAATTATATTGTTTTTATTTAAATTCTTCCCTTCTAATATAAAAACCACCGATGTTTCAGGACATCCTGCAGGAGATGGACCCGGTCTGGACCACCACCGTCCTCCTGGTACCTTGTGTCGTCGTGCTGACGGCTGGATTCTTCTACCTGTACAGCGCCGTCATCGGCCTGCTGTCCAAAACCTCCGTACGCAACAAGGTGGTGGTTATAACCGACGCTCTATCGGGGCTCGGGAAAGGTAACAGATGCTGACAGATAAGCAGTTTCTCTACGAAGAGCTCACAGTCTGTTCATCGGTTATTTTTTATGTTTGAAGAATGTGCAGGAGTGTTTCACAAAGGAGGCGCGAGGCTGATCCTCTGCGGGAAATGTTGGGACAAACTGCAGGAACTTGCAGATGATCTGGCGAACGCCTCGGACCCGACCGTGGTACGTAAACCGGCGCCGAGAACACGGACGACGTTGAGGATCGATGGATTGATTGATTGGTAGTTTTGATTCAGTGGTTCCCTCCAAAGGTTTACGTTCAGTTTAGAGGAGAAACGTCTCTTTGGTGGAGCCTTTAAACAACTTACAGACGAAGTATTTATACTTAAAAAACGTTTAATCTATTGTAAATAACATAAAGGTATCTTAATAAAAGAGGTTAGCTAACGTAATATAATCCTCATTCCTGTGAATTAACTCTAATGAATAAAGAAGCTGTGTTTTAAGTTTCTTTATAGTAAAATGAATAAATTCTGTGAACACATTTTAAATAAGTTTGTAGAAATGTTGCATGAGTTTAAAATACGTCCTAGTTTTGAGGTCAATTAACTTGATTTACCTTTTACAATAAATTAGTTATTTGTACTCAAATCAAATATTTTTTCATGCTTAAATTGTTGGTGTTCATACATGTTTGAACTAACTCATCAGGTTTTACAGGTTTTATGCTCATTTTGTTAATTAAACACCAACTTTTCTACATTTCAAATGATTCTTTCAAAATAAAAGCCTGGGTTCGCTGTCCAACAGGAATATATATTCATATATTAATATAACATATTAACAGTAACTGCATTAATTTTCATGTTTCAGTTCTACTTGCTTACAATAAACAATTATTATTATATTATTATTATTTTAATTCAGTTTTGTTTTTTTAACTGTAAACCAGTCAAGTGTCGTATTTTTGGCAACAAATCTGAGAGTGAATGAGTTTTCTTTACTTTATAGAAAGTACAGTAGGTAAAACAAACAATCCAATATACAACAACATCAACTCTGAGGATAAAATGTTCACTTGTTTATTTCCATGAATACAAAACTTACAGACAAATAACTTGTTTTGAAATTGAAAAAAGTGCATATGGAGGAAAAAACAACAAATAAACAAATATTCAAAATGTCAAAGAATAATGATAATAATAATAATAATAAAAACAAACAAGAATAGAAGCAGCAGATACATTAAAACATCCTCATATACAGAAACAGAAACTCTTTATTTATTTAACATTTTAATCAGAAAGAGTTTGTTACAGTTGTTCTACTCACACAATGTTAAAGAATATAAATAATACTTATAATACAATATCTAACACAATATATAGAATATAAATGTATGTATAGGTATATACATTTAAGGAAATATAATAAGAAATATACAAAGTAAATGTACTGACTGTGTGTAAAAGCTTGTATGTAAAGAAAACATTATAAGCTCTTATTCTGAAAAGCAGCTATAGAAACATAAAGTCTCACTGCAGACCTCTTCCTCCTCACTGTTCCTCCTCCTCAGACGTTTCCCCCTAAACTGGTGCTGCTGGACTTCGGGGACATGGACAGCATGCCCGAGGCGGTGGAGGAGATCCTGGAGTGTTACGGCTGCCTGGACATCCTCATCCTCAACAGCAGCATGAAGCTCAGAGCGCCGGCACAGACGGTGTCTCTGGAGACCGACAGGCTGATGATGGACAACAACTACTTCGGACCGGCCACGCTGGCCAAAGGTAGGCGGGGGCGGGAGACTCCCTGTGGTCGGTGGTTGGTGGTGGTTGGTGGGGGGGGGGACCAGGTCTTCACTTTTGGGTCTTCTTTGTGATGAAGGTGTGTGTCTCCAGGTGTGCTGCCCACCATGATCTCCAGGAGGACCGGTCACCTGATCCTCGTCAACAGCATTCAGGGGAAACTGGCGGTGCCGTTTCGCACCACATGTGAGTGCAGATGGTTTGTGAAGGGAAGGATATTTAACTCTTATGTGAGGTTAAAACTCCACAAAAAGCATATTTTAATATTAGTATACTGCTATATAATAAAGGCTCATACTTTGGTATCATTACTGCACAAAAAAAAACCCTTTTAGACTCTTATTTATTGGTATCTTTAACTGATTAATTATCCATAAAAACCTCAGCTAAAAGTCAATAAAACCATAGTAAGTTAAAAAAAATATATATATTTGAACCTTTTTTCATCAAATTGTATTAAATCAAAACAACAAATTTAGGGATTTTAGAAGATTTCTAACTGTAGAAACATGAACAAAATGTTTATTTATCCTCCAGAAGACGTTATTGAGATATGTTCATTTATATTTTTATTTATTTTAGCTTTAAGGTAACTTATGTGACATATTTCAAATATTTTTCATATTACATTCAATGTATAAAGATAACAACATCAGAAGGTTCGTGTAAAACAAGCAATTTTGATGAATTTAGCTGTGAATATTGATCAGAGATGAGTTTTCCCGATAGTTTTAATCACTTTTTATACAATTCTCTGTCTATATTATGTTTTTTTTAATTATTTTTAACATTGATACCGACTTAACAGGCTTTATTTTGAAGGATCTGTAAGTATAGCTGCTGTTCATATCATATTAAATGATAATAATCTTTAAAAATAAGAATTTAATTTAGTTTTCTGTACTGATATTAATAAAAGTAGAGTTTAACCCGTCAGTAGATATTTAAATGTGTGTTAATCTCTGTTTGTTTTCCAGACGCAGCCTCTAAACACGCTGTTCAGGCTTTCTTCGACTCCCTGAGAGCTGAAGTGGAAGAATACGGCATCTCCGTCAGCACCATCAACCACACCTTCATCAGCCCGTCGTCGTCTTCGTCACCTGAGGCGTCCTCGTCCAGATCCCTCTGGTCCCGTGAGTAAAATCTACGACTGCAGAGCAACGTGTCTGTTAATGGTCCCTGAACGAGGATTCAGATCCATTTTACCCTCAGAGGAGGAATTATTGGAGACCTTTATTCTGAAAAACCTTCACTATACCTCAGTTTGTTTTTAATTCTGTCTAAAATAATAATATTATTATCATTAATAATAATATTTGAAACATAAACAAAATAAAAAGAACAAATAAAGAATAAAATAATCATAATTAAAATAATAATAAATAAAATTATTATTATTATTAATTATACATATAATTATAATATATATAATATAATAAATAATACTAAAATATTAATTTGTATGATGAATTGTTAAGTAACTTTTTACTACAGTAAAAGTAAAACTACATTTTGTTTACCGCCCTCAAAAGTAAATATGTAAATAATAATAATATAATTATAATTTTTAAATATATTCTCAGACATACAGTCGTAAATAATATCGGCCCTATTAAAAATAAATATTTGTATCTTCTCCTTTAACCTTAAAATTGTGACCTGACGTTAATTTTATTGCACTTTTCCGGAACATTTTGATCATTTTTCAGTTTAATTAATCATTTATGAAAACATTAATTTGTTCAGAGGAGTGAAATGACTCGGAAGAATCCAGCTGTAAATGTGTCGCTTTCAAAAAAATACTTAGTTTAATAATTTAATGAACATTTAATTTTAACTTTACGTAATGTTAAATATTTATTTTTCTGTCGTGTGTGTGTGTATGTGTTTCATTATTATTATTATTTAATGACATTGTGTAATGTTTATCTGTTATTACGGGATATAAAACAGACTCTGAAACAAACCAGAGCGTAAGAAAACATCTTAACTTCTAATAATCAGCAGTTTATTTGTGTTTTTATTTGAATTGTTCATCAGTCTGTTGGTGGCTGTTGAGCCCCGTTACGTTAGCTAAATGCTAATGCTAACGGCAGTTACATTAGCAGTAAGCTAACGGCAGTTACATTAGCAGAAAGCAATATAACCCTAACCCTATACCTCAGTTTGTTTTTAATTCTGTCTAAAATAATAATATTATTATCATAACATAAACAAAATAAAAAGAACAAATAAAGAATAAAATAATTAAAATAATAAGAATAAATAAAATAATAATTATTATTATTGATTATACATATAATTATAATATAATAGATAATACTAAAATATTAATTTGTATGATGAATTGTTAAGGATGGGTCTCGCAGTAACTTTTTACTACAGTAAAAGTAAAACTACATTTTGTTTACCGCCCACAAAAGTAAATATGTAAATAATAATAATAATATAATTATAATTTTTAAATATATTCTCAGACATACATTCGTAAATAATAATATCAGTGCTCGGCCCTATTAAAAGTAAATATTTGTATCTTGTGACCTCCTTTAACCTTAAAATTGTGACCTGATGTTAATTTTATTGCACTTTGCCGGAACATTTTGATCATTTTTCAGTTTAATTAATCATTTATGAAAACATTAATTTGATCAGAGGAGTGAAATGACTCGGAAGAATCCAGCTGTAAACGTGTCGCTTTCAAAAAAATACTTAGTTTAATAATTTAATGAACGTTTAATTTTAACTTTACGTAATGTTAATTACATTGTGTAATGTTTATCTGTTATTACGGGATATAAAACAGACTCTGAAACAAACCAGAGCGTAAGAAAACATCTTAACTTCTAATAATCAGCAGTTTATTTGTGTTTTTATTTGAATTGTTCATCAGTCTGTTGGTGGCTGTTGAGCCCCGTTACGTTAGCTAAATGCTAATGCTAACGGCAGTTACATTAGCAGCCGGAGGACGTCGGCGGGAAAACCATAAAATCACTGATGTAAAGTTTTGTGTTTGTACAGTGATTTTATTCATTTATTTCCTGTTTCTCTGTTTCTTCTTGAGCCTTGGTTTGATTTACTTCCTGTCTTTGTCCATTTTGTGTATTTAGTCTTTGTTTTTTTGGTTCTTGTCACTGGATACTTTTGCTTTATCGGGTTTTCTCCCTTTGGTTTGAATACAATCCTGAGTTTCCTGCTGTTTGCTAGCTACAAAGGAGGGGAAATGCACTTCGAACTGAACGTTGACAAACTGAAATGTATTAAAGAATTTAACAGTAATAATAATAACAACAATTTAAAGCTGCAAATCGAAATCGGACACAACAAATAAGTTGATAATGATAACTTTTCATTGTCTTTAGAGTGTACTGACCAATTTTGAAGTTGAGTTCAGTTATTCTCACTCCTCCAACATGGCGACTCTTTCCTTTTAAAATGTCCTTTAATGTCACCGACACACGGAGGGTTAACTGAATTACTTTAGCTTCACTTTAATGGGTCACAGCAGATATAAGTCTAAAGGATGAGAAGGAAAACAATATGTGACCTTTATTTTACCTGGAATAATCCCAATTATATTATTTTACCAAGGAGTACTGTCCAAGACAGAAGCATAAACATTCAGATAAACTAAAAAACAACAAGCTTAAACAGTAAAACATTTAACATAGAAGAAATAAAGTAGAGAATACATGTTTTTTTTTACAGTAATTCTCTAATAATGAACTTTTTTATGAGTACTAAACGAGTAAAATGAACCAATATCTGTACTTGTAAATACCGGTATAGCAACTTATATAAAGAAAACATATGTTAATCAATCTCTTGTGATCAAAGAACATTGCTCTAAAGCTTAAACTATAAATATAAGTAGTTCATAGTGAGACGCTTATCAGACGGATTGTTTGTTCTATGTTATATTGTTTGTTTTTATTTTAGATTATTTTGGGGGGGGACTCAATTGTTTATTTTTTAAAATGTGGGAGGAAAACGAAGCTACTCGGGGGAAAACCCACGTCAACACAGTGAGCGCTCTGTACTCATCACAGCAAAAGGGGGTCAAAGGCTGGAATTGAACCTTCACCTTATGGCTCTTCTCTTAACTGAGATACATTTGTTTTTCATTATAGTTTAAAATGTGGGCGAACCGAAGCCTCTCGGAGTAAACCCTGTGTCATCCCAGTTAGTACGCGTGTTCGGTCAAAAAACGCCAAAGAGACGTGAGAAGAATCTGTTCACGCCGGCCTTCTTCTGTGGCGTCACCAGATGCTTTGTTAGTCTCTCGGTTATTGGACAGCAGGCACATCTTCAAGAACTTCTTGATGTGATGGCCGCCCTGCTTGACAGCGACCTCGGAGCCTCCAATCTGTTACCAGAACGTCTCCGCCAGTGACCTGCTGAAGGCCTCAATGTCATTGCAAGTCACATGAAGGTCCGGATGTTTTGAACTTTCCATAATTTTTTGAACCAGTGCAATGACCATATACCTGCGTGTGGTATCGTCCCACTGATTGGCTGCTGGTGCTGCGGTCTCAACCGAACCTTCACCACTGACCGGTGACTCAGTGGACTGAACGAGGGTGGAAGGTGGTTCTACTTCAGCCACCAAAGGTGTCACGCAGCCACTTCCTACGACTGAGGGGGTCTCTGTAGGCGATGTCTGACCACTTCCTTGATCTTCTTTATGACAGGACTTGCGTGGTCCCTCTTCCATTTGTGGTGTATCCGCTGCAGGTTGAGCCAGTGCCTCATCTGCCCCATAAAGGTGCTGACTTCGGCCTGTATTTCAGAGCGGAAGTCCACCGTGGGAGCCTCTGGCTGTAGGTGTTCTGAAACAATATCGCCGAGCTCTATGACAGCTGTGTTGTCTTCACCGCTGCCAATGGAGTTGATTATTTTGTCAGGGGGTCTCGTCTTCTGTGGCCATCTTTAGATCCTCTTCTATTAAGGAGATGATGCTCTTAACTACCACATCGGCCTCCTCCATCATCTCGCTCAGAGAGGACGTTTCTTCTGGGACGCATTTATATTTGCGCCTCAGTTTTGCCATCAGGCCGAATAATGACCCCACGGCGAAACACCGTGCATTGAAATCCTTAAGTTTGGCTGAACCTAGTTTTAACTCCTCGATTGTCTCGATGACAATCGCAGGAGCCATCTCATCCATGTTTAAACATGTCGCCTTCTTCCTCTGAAATCTGGACGTTGTAATCAACTGGACTGATGCTCTTGGCCATTTGATGATTCTTACGGCTTCGATGGTTTGGTTCCACAAAGCTCTTCTGAGACTCATCCAGAAGAGTTCCAACCAGCATTGGGTCCTTTAGTTTGGCTGCCACTATTTTACAAAGGAACGTCTTTTCGGAAACGGCCAGCGATTCAGGCAGTGAACTTTCTGAACCTAGCTTTAACTCCTCGATTGTCTCAATGACATCTCATCCATGTCCAAACATGTCGCCTTCTTCCTCTGAAATCTGGACGTTGTAATCAACTGGACTGATGCTCTTGGCCCTTTGATGATTTTTACAGCTTCGATTTTTTGGTTTGGTTCCACGAAGCTCTTCTGAGACTCATCCAGAAGAGGAACAACGGAGGTGCAGCATGACTCCTCCGCTCCAACCAGTAAAGTGTCGTCCACTGGCAAGTTTTCCAGTGTTATCTTGTCTCCTGCTGCCTCCGTTGTCAGGCTTTGCTGTCCTTTCTTAACGGCGCACCTTTTCAAGATCCTGGCCACATGTCGGACCATGGTCTTTATAAGAGGTCTGCTCCCCTCATTGCCTCCACTATTTCCAGAGCTTTTGGAGAGTATATTTACTCCTTCTGTGATCGCTGTAATCACAGCGTCTGTCAGCTTTTCCGCGCTTCGGGAACTGATCACTGTAGTCCCCCAGATGCAGGACGATCAAAAAGCTTTTGGGATACAATCACAACATTATCAATTAAAACATTATCTTTTAAATGAGACCAAAACCATGCATATACTGCAAATGGTTGAAGAACAGCTTTTAATTTACTTTGGGTAAATGTTGTTTTTAGGCGTTTTTATACATGGTAAGAGGTTAAATAAAATTAAAAATAAAATAGACTTATAACGCAGTATATAGAGGATATCATTAAAAATAAATACAGAAACAAAACAGAAATAAAAATACACATTTATTAGCAGTTCTCTGTTTCATTTGCACCATAAAGGTATAAAATGTAAACTTTGGTTAAGCTTGAGGGCAGTTCTACAATACTTTAATTTAATATAATAATATATAATAATATATTATTTAATCTCTCTGTGCTGTTTGCAGTGTTGTACACTCAGAAGCCACTCGGTGTTTCTCCGGACGAGGCAGCGACTGAGATCGTGAAGACTCTGAACAACAAGAGGAAAGAGGTTGTAATCGCTCCCTCGCTCCCCAAGGTGGCGCTCTACGCCAGGTCCTTCTTCCCCAACGTCTTCTTCGCTGTGATGGCGGCCGGAGTGAACAACGCCGCCGCCTGCGAGGACATGTAGAGCTGCGGAGGGATGGAAACCACAGAGAAAGATGTTTTATTAGGAATAAACCAGCTGAGATCTTGGTTTAAAATACACAAATACCGTAAAAAAAACTTCTAATAAGACGCCTCGACTTTTATTTAAAGTTTTACGGTAGACGCAAAAAAAGGATATAATTTAATTTGATTTAATTTAATTAAAACCAACAAAAAGAGCATGACAATGGATCAATCACTGATAGTTTAGAGTGAAAGTGTTCAGTAATAGAATAATAAGCACTACAGTATGAAGCTGTTATTAAATACAGTTGATCCTAAAATAAGAAGACAGAATATTTAAAAGGTAAATTAAAGCTTTACATGTTCTTCAGTGCAGGAAATATTAAAAATAACATGTTTTATCCAGTTTTAGACTTTTAGTCGGACTGCATTTGAACTTTAATGTTAATGAAATGATTTTTTAATAATGTGTTCAGAGCAAAGTTTCTCCCTCAGAAAGAATTAATTTCTGTTTATTTTACAACATAAACTGATCACCTGAGTAATGTGGCAGTTATAAAGACAATGTTTTATCTGTTCTTGTATTTGTGGACATTGAGAAAACAAATAAAAGTGTTTATGTGTCATGAAAAAGTCTTTTATTTTGACAGCAGCCCCACGTACACAGAAAGATTATAACATTATACATAATTTACATAATGTACGGAAGTTATTATTTTATTATTATAACATTTTACTATCCACTCCATTTGTTGTGCTGAGTGTTTTCCTAACGAGGATCTTAATAAACAAATATAAAACAACTGTCGCCTGTGTAAAAACAGTTAATAAAACATATAAAATGATGTTAAAATGACTTTTCTCACCTTTAAAATCCTGTCTGTGATTAATGTTTACGTTGTGTGCATTAATAAACACAGTTATATATAATTTAAACTGTTTGTTTTTACCTGTGAAGGTCACAGAAAGGTCATAATAAAGTTAATTATTGTCTTATATGCATGTGGCGCCCCCTCGTGGTCAGTCTGTACAATAACAACTGCATGCAGCTCAGAGTTTGGGGTCTTCTTCTTCTATAAATGGCCTTTAAATTAGTGTCCAGACTCTCTGCGTTGACCCTCAGATTAAACTCTGGTCCGACCGCCTTCAGCTCACTGAGCTCCGGCTGCACTTTAACGGTGAAACACGACCGACAGAAGCAGCTGTTCACCGTCGCTCCGGGCAGCGCGGCTGGTAAGCGGAGGTAGCCGGGGATGACGCTCCGGTGCCCGGGGAGATCCTTTAAGAGAGCCCGGTGTCTATTAGCGGCCTACTAAAACTAAACATATTAACCAAATATCTTCTTTTCTACTGATTCACCGTTATAATATGTGACTGCTTTGTTGATTCTGCTCATATATTGTTTGTCGTTGTCGTTCGGAAGGAGCAAACACACAACGAAACTCCGTTATAAAATCTGCGAATTTAATGTGCTATTGCTGAAAGATAAACTTTACACAGATTATATGAATGACATGTATTTAATACGTTTTGTTTATATCCATCTAACAGTTCGGCATGTATATTATCAGTAAAAACTACACATTTCAGGACATTTCTGGTTAGATGGCCACAGTAGCACAGTCGTCGCAGGCAAGTGGCGGCCGCTTAAATAAAGGTGTTTTTGGAGGGAGTTTGGTTTTCATGATCTCTATCTAATAGTTAATCCAGGGCTTGCAGAAGGCTTTTTGTGTCCTTATACAGGATTTAACTTCATCACAATGTGAAGCAAAATACGTGAGAATTTCCCTTTCATTATAAAACACAAATTAATAAAATTAATATTTGATTCATGTTGTTCATATACTGTCATATCCACCTAACTCATGCACAACCATATTTATTCCAGCATCCTTCTGCACCATTACATCTTATTGTCTACAAATGTTATTGTTTATGTTTATGATAATAGTATATGTTGTTGTTGAGTTTATATTTATGTTTATTCTGTGTTTTTGCACATTGAGAGCAACATAAAACCGTCAAATTCCTCGAACATGTGCACATTCCCGGCCAATAAAAGTGATTCTGATTCGGAATAATTTCAAAATAAAGTTCATTTTATGTGTTTTATTTGCTCGTTTTTTGGGCCCTTAGTTGTCTGTGAGCAGCTGTTAAATCTTCCAGCTGGCTGCACATCTGTAAACCACCTGTCCTCTGCCCACAGGGTCCCACGATGAGTGCGCGGTGCTGCGCTACAGATTCACCGGGGAGAAGGAGGTGGATCTGATGTCCACCTTTGTGCCGGAGACCTTCAGGGGTCAAGGTGTGGCTGCAGTGCTGTCGCAGGTCAGAGCTCCACGTTTCAGGTATTTCAACCATTAAGAAAGTCGTATATTACACGTTTTAATTAAGTATTTAATGTATGTTTACAGGCTGCTATGGACTTCGTGGTTGAAGAAAACCTCAAGGCTCACGTCTCCTGTTGGTATATAAAGAAATACATCGAGGACAACCCGCTACAGCGTTATAAAGAACTCGTCATCAGTTGACTGCAGACGACAGACGGCCATATTACCTCAGATCAACTCCAACCTCATGTGCCTGACTGTGGATATCAATAATTATTGTTTAAAATATCTGATTATAGAAATGCTTCATCAATCTATGGAAACCTGTTTCTGCCAATGTGACAGAATCATTACAATCAGAAACTGTCTCCAAATATTGACTTAGTGACTCAAATTATGTAAAATCTTCTCAATATTTGACGAAATTTGGCACAAATAAGACAGTTTCTTATTATTTTGAGATGCTAAATCACTTATTTCGAGATACTGGAACCTTTTTCTATCACATTGGCACAAATGGGCTTCCATATCAAACCAATGTAAACAGTATAATATTATTTTAATATCCACTAAATGTGAGTAAAGTTACTCAAAATCTCCTGAAGGAATTCAAGATGTGAGGATGAAGTCAATACATGATATTGATTTTATTTTGTCAACCTGTAATTGCTCTTTTTTTAAATATCATATTGTAATTTTTTTTTAATTGTGTGTCTGTATAAAGTAGTAATATTTATTAATTAGTCAATGTTGGAACAAGACATTCAAATATTCATTATCATGCCATAATGTTTGGATATTGATGATGTTTGCACACTGTGATAAATATGTGGTAATTGATAATTAAAACATATTTTCTTCACTTCCCAGAGTGTTGAAATACTTCGACCACCTCCTCTCAGCCGTCTACAGACTCCAGGTTTGAGCTGAAGTTGATGTAAATGAAAAGTAGGTCAAATAATCTCACTGTGTTGAAGTAAAAAAGGCTTTTAGGACTCAATTATTTATAGAAATTTCTCTTTATGATTGAAGTTTTTACTCAAACTTTAATTAATAATAATCCTAAAACATAAATAGAGCTTAACCTTTTTCCTACAAGGGAACCCTTTTTTTTAATTCAGTAAAGTGACTCAGTGACATATTTTATGGATATTTTATTTTAAAAACTGAACAATGAACTCAAACAGTGAACTCAGTCACTGCAAGAAGTTTGTGTAAAACGAGATTTGGATGAATTTTGAGCAGATTATTTCCTGTTTAGGGAACTTTTTATACAATTCTTTGTCTGTATTATGTATTTTTAATCATTTTAAACAATCATTCTGACTTAATCTGCTTCTTTTTTGACAAATTCAGTGTTTTCTTTTTTTCTATTAGACAATTTACTTATGGAAACACTACTGGTTTTGTCCACAGGGGGCGCCAGAATCAACACGTAAAGTTCCTTGTAGCAGCTTTAAAGGTCCAGTTTTTAACATTTTGGAGGATCTATTGGCAGAAATGTAACATAATATTCACAGGTATGTTTTTATTAGTGTCCTCCCTCACATCTGGAAGGGGAGGGTGAAGATAAGGAGCTGCAATTTGCAACTAAACCGCCAGATACTTACTAATATAAATATATAACAACAGGATTAAGGACTGGTTGTGTCGTTCAGTGTTTTTAAAATGGGGGTACGCTCCTCTACTTTAGAGTACTGCAGGAGGTTAATTTAAAAAATATAAATATAATGAGTTAAATTAAGAATTGTAAATGTAAGTTTAATAAACCACATTTGACTGCAGTTGATCCTCAGTGAGTTACTCATAAATGAAGGCAAAAAAACCCCCATTTGATGTAAACCTGTCGTTCTTCCAGCTCAGGGTCGAAGATGAAATCAGCACGTGTTCGGCGAGCGCTGTGTATATTGGATTCACCTAAGATTATTTCTGCCTCCATGGCGACACAAACAGCCCCCGTGGTCGACCGGTGTCGGGAGATGTGACTGTTGAGCTCGGCATTAATCAGGTTTTTAGTTTAATTTGAGTTGTTTCCCGCAGTTGAGAACTTATACTTTCATGATCAGCTGATACAGAAGTTAATCTCTGTGCTGCAGAAGGACAAAAACACCCGGTGTCGGATACACTTTTACTCCAGGAGATGTCAGTCTTACTCCATAGTGAACATTTGGTCTGCTGTCAATGTTTGATTTATGTCTCAAATTAGAAAATGTTCAGATCCATTACACCAATTAAAACCCAACAGAAAACGTCAGTGCCACATTAATCAAAGACCGGTTCAACTACAAACCACATTTCTGATTTAAATACAAACTTTAAATAAAACAAGGATGAAAATGAACTCAAAAGCAGTTTAACTCAGTTTCTCAGACATATTTTCAGACGTAATACTGTAATTTTTCCTGCCAAGTGGTGATCAATAACAACATTATTAACAATAACTGAGTACAGTCACAACTGCTCCTGAATCAATACTCAGTGTCACATGTAAGATATCATTAGTCAAAGGGCCCCCAACAACCCCTACAGTTGTTGTCTTTGTAATGTCTCTTTGTGGTCATTTAATGTCCTTTTGTGGTCATTTTGTGTCTTTTAGTGGTCATTTTTTTGTTTGTCTCTTTGTGGTCATTTTGTGTCTCTGTGTTCATTTGTGTCTCTTTGTGGTCATTTTGAGTGTCTTTTATGTGATATGATCTGTCTCTGTGGTTGTTTTGTGTCTATTTGTAGTCGTTTCACTTTCCAAAAACAAATGGTAACAGTCCCTTGACCCTTTGGGCCCCTGTGCCTGTTCCCATCCATCCAGTCCACCCATTATGGTACAGAACAGTAATGTTGAGATCATTTTCTGTCCCAGTCCCAACCACTGTCCGTCCTTCTGAGCAGGTCACCAAGCCTCATCCCCCGAGTGTGAAATTTGGAGTTAAAAAAAGGCCAATTCATCTGAAGCCATGAAGGATCTGTGCTGCAGGAGTAGCCGGCACATCCCGCTGCCTCAGATTAGTGTGAAGACGCTGAAATTGCAAATAATATTGCTAGGAAACATCTGATGAAATGCATGTTGTGTCAAAGCCGAACATGTTACATTTATTTCCGGAAAAAAGGAATCTGGGCTTCCCAGACACCACACACACACACACACACACACACACACACACACACACGTGATGTGTGGCGAGGAACAAAACAAACATCCTCCTGTATTAGAAATTTAAATCCAAGAACAAGCGTCAATCTAGGTCCAAGAAATCCGCCCTGAAAACTGGTCCAGTGGGCCACGGGGACGGAGACTCCATTTTCAGCAATAAGCCTCTCCTTGCTGTTCGGGTCCATTGTCCATTTCGACCACATACGTCGTCCCCGTGGACGGTTTGTGGCCGTTGACCGGCAGCTCCAGCTGCGCCTCGGCGTCAGCCGGCACAGCGGTCAGGTACATGTCCCACATCTGCTCCGGGAGGTCGAGCTCTATCATCTTCTGCTTGATCATCAGGCTCTTCTCGATGTTCCGCCGCTTGTATTTGAACTCGATGATGGTCTTTGTGTACCTGTTGAGCGCCGTCACTGCAGAGCCCATGCAGGTGCCGAATGAGCCCCACGCTAAGCTGAGGAAGAGGTGTGAAAACAGTATTAGACAATATCTGATACTGATATTTAAAGCTGCACCAGATAATTATGTATAAAAATAACTTTTGGTCATATATACTGACATTTTAACTGTCCTGACAGAAGTTTACGAGGCAGATAATCTGTGAAAAAATCTGGTTCTTCCGGCTCGTTCTAGTGCCCCTAATGGTATTTACAAGAATCCACCGGACCCGAATGAAAACAACCAATCAGAGCAGAGAATGATATAAAGACGCTCTGGGTTAGAGGCTTGAAAATAGTTTATTTGGTGAGTCTCAACGTGTTTGTATTTGTAATATTTCTATACAGAAATCTGATCATTTTGTCTCCCTGTAAAACAAAATGTGACTCGTGTCTTTACGAACTGTCTGAATTCATTAGCTCACTGATTACTGTACAAACACGCAACTTTATCAGCGATTTGGGTGAAACTGGATCATATTTTATGGAGATTATATTGTCTGGTTTTCTGCCTCAACTCCGCTAACTGCTAATGTAGCTGCCTCCCAGTGACAGTTGGACGACAACAATACCAAGTTTCCAGATGGACTTGTTGCTAAAAGGAGCTAACTGTCGCTAACAGTTCGTCGGGTGTTGTATCGGCTCCTGGTTTCAACATAACACACGATGCTATCGGCTACCGCGTCAAGTCCCTCCCTAACTGCCTGTTTTTACCGGAAATACATAAATATGCCAAATCAAATAGCTCTCTGATTCCCATTTCATGTGGACTTCAATGATCGAAGACATTTAAAAGGACCAATCATACTGATACGTTTGTATTTCATTCGTAAAGTGGAAGCTGGTTAGTTAACCACAACATGGAGGGACCATTGACCGTATATACTAACAGCAAACAGAAACTGCTAACAACATTAGTGCCCAGCTGGTTAAGTGATATACAAACTATATTTTAGGGGCAGTTGTTGACAATACTTCTACTACACAAGTCAAAACAGACACCAAGGCTTAATATTAATGCTGATTTCAGTTCGACAGCTTGGATGACACATATTTTTGGTAGATCATAAAGAGTGCTTACACATAAGACCAGCTGTAGTCCCAGGTCTTGGGCCTCCAGTCTTCTGGCCCCATAGCGACAGCCAGCTGGAATATGGTGGTAAACATCATGTGGGCCACCATCCCACAAAGGCCTGAGAACAAGAGCAAATCCGTGTGCAGTAATCTGAATATAATAATGTACAATGTTTATTTATTCATCTGTATGTGGACTGAAGAGGATTCTGTTTTCTTTCATTCACACGTTGCACAGAAAAATACAAATACAATGCATTTTGGGAAGTTTGTCGTATTCTGTACAAATTGAAAAGCTCCTTCAGGAAAATGGGCTGTAATAAAATAGACTTACTGTTAGGAAGTATGCTAATTATATTATTATAACCTGCCAAAACAATGAGCTGAAAGACACCATAACACTTATAATTGAATTTAATTGTTGATTTAATAAGGTCCAGGTCTGTGAAGTGTATTAAACCTGCATTATATGTAATAGCCAGCAGTGGGCAGCTCCACTGGCTGCAATAACACACTGATAGTATTGAGTCTCATGGAGAAATTAGTCGACTTCTCAGTTGATTTATGAGCTCAGTAAACAGTTTCCTGATGAGTTTCTGGTCTCAGTCTCTAGTTTCAGTCTTCTTCCATACAGCATGATGTTCATTTAGTAACTGATGGTCCCATTTATAGTAAAACAGACCATAAAGCAGGGTATGCTTTAGGGCGGGGCTACCTTGTGATTGACAGCTCATTCTCAGTGAGTCCGTCCAGCTCAATAAAACAAAAAATACACTAAAAACACATGGAAAATACACAAAAAATAAAATAAAGAACATGAAAAATGCACTCAACAAATCGAAAAAAACATTAAAAATAGGCAAACAACACGTAAAATACACTAAAAACACAAGAAAAACATGAAAAACAGATGAAAATGCACCAATCTCCGATCAAACTGTCAAACTACGCAGTGCTGATCAGATATGGATCAATACCGTGATGCCTCAAATCTTTTCAGAAACGTATTTTATGGAACTGTTTATCTGTAATACGTGATCTGGTTGTAGGTTTCCTGCAAATAAAAGTGGAGGAGGGTCAAATACTGTAATGTGTCATATTCATACAGAATATAAACTCCTTTTTGGTGAACTGGCCTCTCCGTTATCTCCCTGCCGGATCCTCCCTCATCCATCAGTCTGCCCCTCCACGGCTGCTTTTCTTGGGATTAACTCATAACAACGGGGGGGATGGGAGTCAGTGGTGGTGGTGGTGGGGGGGGGGGAGCTCCTCTGGGCAGGTCTTGGCACAGCCCAAAACCGCTGCCCCCCGGCTCCAATCCGATTAGTCCACAAACCAGCAAATCCTCCGAGGAAGCGAGCGGACGCGGTGCAGTTAGCTGCTCTGAGCGCTCGCTGTCAACCTCACGTCCTTCAGCCGGCCTGACCCGCTGCCCTGCTGCTTTCATTACTCTCTGATAAAGGTTGCTGGTCATTTTAATTGATTACTTGATTAGTTGTTTGGTGTAAAATGTCAGTAAATTGTTTAAAATGTTGTTTTAAAGGCCCCAAAATATTCACATTTAAGAAGCTGAAATCAGAATTTGTCCAAAAAATGACTCAAAATTATGAATCAAATATCAAAATGTATTGTAAAATGAATGAATTGAATAGTTGACAACTGATTGATGATTAATAAACTAATTGCTGCATTCATAATCTATCCACAGGAGGAATTATAATCAATTATAATAAGAAATACATTAATACGTGTTCATTAATGTATTTCTTATTGATTGAAATTGATTATAATTACTCCTGTGGGCCCATAAGTAGATGAATTAAGATTTTAAGTTATCAAAAGTTTGGTTTTCTTGGGTTTGTGTTAACAGTAACTTTATTGACGATACAGGACAGAACTTGTTTACAAACGGTCATATTAGATGCGTTTTTTTTTGGGCCAAATTTACTACATTAACACGTCAATCAAGTAACATTTATTTATTTTTATTTATTTAAAGTTATTTCCACCTTGCATCGCTTTTAGGTGACATACATTTTATCCTTCCAATAGTCGAGTTTAAAACAAAATACGCACCCGTAATTAAAATAATTCAGAATAAGATTATTTACAAAACTGCTTTATATTGAAGTAATTTGTAGAACATAAAGTTATTAACTTGCTCTAAAACAAATGTGTACGAGCAGGTTTGAGGAGTTCAGTAACATTTAGTAAAAATGGGGATTATTTAGCACAAATACAATTTTTAAATACTTCAGTTTTTCTTTAAAAATAAATCGAGCAGTTGACACATTTTTTATGCTAAAAGTTGTTTCTGTTTCTATTTTCTTTTCTATCGTAACATCGTTCTATTGTCTTATAAAATACACTTATATCTATACTTTTATTGTCTCTTGTTTTTACTGGTATATTTGATATTGAGGTTATTTTAATTGTCATACTCTGATTAGGTTACTGATTACATTGTTTAACAGCTAATACGTAATACAAAAGTATTTTTTAAAGGTATTTTTAAAATAAAATGAAGGAAGAACACCTCCATTATTGAGCAGCAGCTTCCCTGAACTTAAAGAATAATACAACCACTTTACATTCATACGTTCAGTAAGCTAACAGAGAGATAACTCTGCGTTCTCAGCACACTGTGATTCATTCAGTCTTGCACACTGACGTTAACATCAACCAGTGAGATTATTTCTGCCTCCAGATGAGATGTTTGTATAACTGTACTGGGATTTCTGTGTGTAGCAGCTTTATCACACAGCAGGAGGACGTCTGCATCCGCCACCGCCGCTCAAAACAGGCAGATACAACCGCCCACACTCTGCTAGTCTGTTTGATGCCTCAGTGACAGACAGAAAGACAACATTCAGACCTTGTTGTTGTTGTTTGCAGCGTTACCTGACAGGGCCGTGCACATGGCGGCGAAGGCACTGAGCTTCAGTTTGTTCATGATGCTGAAGCAGGGACACTGCTCCAGGGTCATCAGAGCGCCGCCCGTGAAGAGCAGGGTGAGGTACAGACTCTCAGCCACGATACACAACCACAAGACCCCTAGAAAACAAGGAGTGAGTTCAGTTGTCCTCGTAGTAAATATCCCGTCCCTGATGAATAACCCCACTCTGTCTCAGTCTGTGGGTACAACAGTGTCCTCTGCTTTAGACTAGACAGATTTATTATAAAATCAGGACAGCGGTGGTTGATGCTAGTTGTTCGTAACATACGAGACACACCAGATTGTGGTATTCGTACGTGTAGATATTTCCATTAGCAATGTAGAAGAGCTTAATCTTTTTATTCAAAATTACAAAATTCGCCCAAACGTTATTTTTTAAGTGTAGTTTAGTCGACTGGTTGGTTACACGTTACGAATCTCGCTTAATAACACCAGAAAAACTAGTTGGTTAAAATAAATATCATATTTTTTTGTCTCCAGGGGAAAGAAAATGGTGGAACTGGAGTTAAAAAGAGAAATAGCCAGAGTAAAGTCCGTTAGGATGATATTACAAATGACCAATCACTTTATCAAACATCCTCGCTGTGTATGCTGCGGGACAGCTTAAGTTTACCTGCTCCCTGAAGGCTGCAGCATTATATCCTCTATAACTTCATCTGGTTGTCGATGTAGTCGTCTACGTTTTTTGTTTTTTTTGATGATTAATTAATTCACACAATAGTAAATGTTTTACTTTTTAACTGTTTTGCACACAGAATGCGAACATTACGCAGCGTATGGAGGTTTGATGGGGGTGTGAAGACCTCAACTTTACAACGACAACAAATCTGCCGACTCACTCGCTAACGTTAACTTGACACCGAAGTGACGATGTGGAAGATGAACTGCGTATCACTTAAAATTCATTCTTGAACTTGAATTTTTTTTTAAGTAACAACTAAGTGACTAACAAAGTGATTTTATTATCCTCAGTGACTTTATCGTATAATGTAATGATCCTACAAACAACAATTTTCTATACAAAGGTATAGTGAAGTAATTAGGGATGCTCAATATTGGCTTTTCTGCCGATATCCGATATTCCAATATTGTCCAACTCTCAATTTCCGATACCGATATCACCCGATACAGATATATGCAGCATTTTTACACTAAAACTGTAACAACATAACATATCTCCTATAGTGGAATTAACACGTTATGCCTAATTTTATTGTGATGCCCCACTGGATGCATACATAAATGCAACATGGCTTTCCAAATGTAAACACTGTCTGTGCAAAATAAGAGAACAACTTCAACTTTCAGTGTATCAATACTTTAAAGAGTTAGTTTGTTAGTTTGGTTAAGGAACAGCTCAGAGCAGGGTCAAATATTTAAGGTGCATTGCACTTATTTTGTGTTAATATTAAAATCATTCAGCTTTAAATTGTTTGCTTGTTAGCCACGGTTAGCAACCAACCAGTCTAGCGTGTAGTTGTTGTTGTTGTTATACGTCGTCTAGCGCGCGTCGGTAAACGTCCCATGCTGCGTTCATGCAGGCTCGGAAATGCTGAAGCCTACAGAACAAACATCGGTTATAAAAACCCGATACCAATAATTCCCGATATTACATTTTTTAGTGAATATCGGCTGATAATATCGGAGGGCCGATATTATCGGACATCCCTAGAAGTAATGACTCCTCTGCCTGTGTAGCTTTCCCAGCCTGTCTGTGGTTTATTCATAAAGCTGGTCTGGCCACACGTTACTGCCTATAAATCCCTCCGTTTCCAACTGAGTAGAGCGACTGAAACTGTTTTTATTATCATCTACGTCGGTGAATTAAGGATTTATTTCCACAAAACCAGAGTTGGTGATTGTTGGAAAGACTAACAGAGACGGTTTTGGTGAGTTTTACTTTGTTTCTGTCCACTTTGAATGAATTTATGATCATGTGGAGCTAAAATTACAGTTTTTTTGGAGAGTGATAGTGATATTACGGCTGTTTGTGGTTAAACTAAAGGTCTTTGTAGGGATCCTTTCCATAATGTTGTCAGACACTAAGAATAATAATCTGAGTCTGTCGGTGACAAAAACAACAACTTTTAGTGGGCATTTAAAATGTCAAACTTCATTTTACAAACCTCTTTCATGTTCTGGTGCAATCTCTGAGAAGTCTCGACAGTCAAACCCTGTGATCAGAAGAAAAAAACACACCTTATAATTGAGTTATTGTACTTTTACGGGTCTGTAAATCCCTAATAATGTCCCTTGAAGAAACCTTTTCATACTAATAATAAAGAAGACGAGTTTCCTTAAAAGTTTTGAGTTTCAAAGTTTTAAACCCAAGTAAATATTCATTAATTCACTTATTTATTGGCAACTTTATGTTCTATATTTGTCGAATTTTATGCTTGTTTGTAGGCAAATGTTTGGATATTCAGTTTACCTGCACTGACGACTAATTTTTAACATAATACAAAATGAGTTTTTTTTTTTATAAAAAACCTCTGGAAAATTATATTAATGATTTAAGAATTATGGACCTGTAAAATAAAGCATAACACACTTTATTATTTACATATTTACAGAAGGTAGATACAGAAGTGATTTGTATACATTAATAATTAATGGAAGTTAATGGTTGGTTAATGCAACAGAAACAGAATAATGGGATTATTATTTTTATCAGCAATATGTGCAAAATGTAAACGGACGTACAGATGTAAATTATAATAAAACCAATCAATTTATCAGACTTTTCTTGAAATATTTCAACTTAATTCTTGAATATTTAGTTGTTTTTTTTACAGTGGCCGTAATACTACTAATAATAATTATACTACCGTACCAAACCAACCTTTCTATTCAGGGCAAAACAAGCTTAAAACTGAATTTATGCTGCATTATTCCAATAATTTAAAGTCAGTTTGGACAAACATGCACAGCCGTCTGCCCCAGCTGGAGATATGAATTGATTATATATGAATATGAATTGATTATTGCATCAAACTCTGTATAACTGCTTAATTTTAGCTGCCTTTAGTCCGCTTCTTGTGTTTTTATTTCTATTTAAATTGTGCTGTCTTTTTCTCGAGGGACTTCCCCGTTAAATAAAGGTTACATAAATAAATAAACTAGCTTTCATGTACTGGTCATATTGGCGGAAGTCAGATTAAACAATTTCTTGCATGCAATTCCTGATACAAATTTATTTTACTCAGAGCTTATGAAACCAAACGGGACGGCTCGCGTGCAACAGCAGAGAAATGGTTGTTAATCTGGTTCTGTTGCTCTGTTAGCGATGTTAAAAATCTTATTAATACACAAACACAAACATTTATTTATTTATTTTCTCTGAGCCAAGAGATATCATATAATAACTGAATAATATTTCAGATTTTTCTCACCAATTTTCGCCCAATCAGGATTTGAATCAAACTGTTTTGGCCATATTTTGGCTTATATATCCATTGTAGAGTCAATTAAATGTGGTTAAATCAACCTTTTGAGCTTTAAAATCCTAAATAAATGATAGCTAATAATGTATTTTTAATGTTTTCAAGACAAACTTAAGACAAAACCAAGTTTTATGGGGATTTAAAGCTGCAGTAGGTAACTTCTATAAAAAAAGTTTTTGTTGTATTTGTTGAAACTTTCACAAAATCCTAACAGCAGAAGATGAGACAGATAATCTGTGAAAAAATCAGGTTCCTCTGGCTCGTTCTAGTGCTCCAAATGACATTTGGAAGAATCCACCGGGCCCGAACAAAAACAACCAATCAGAGCCGAGAAAGATATAAAGACACTTCAGGTTGGAGGCTTGAATAGAGTTAATTGTTGAGTCTCGTTCCCAGTTTGTATTTGACGACCTGTGAATGAGACTAAACCGTCAACTCTCTTTCTCGGCTCTGATTGGTTGTTTTCATTCGGGCCCGGTGGATTCTCCCAAATCCCATTTGGGGCTCTACGAGGAGCCTGAGGAAACAGATTTTTTCACAGATTATCTGTCTCATGTTCTGCTGTCAGGATAAAGTGAAAGTTTCAGCAAATTTGACAAAAATATTTTTACAAAAATGAGCTACAGCAGCTTTAAACAACAGTTGTTATAGAACAGGGGAGGAAGTATTGATACACTTCAGTATTTATAGTATTGTATCAGTTTTTAATTTATTATTTTAATATTATAGATAGTGAGTTCAGGATGTTTCTGTTATAAATACAATACAGATCTCACTGTTGCACAAATACATTTGTTCTCAGATTTTATGCATTTTATTTATACTATAAATTTGATTTTTAAGAAAATTGCAATATATGACAATAAATTGACCCCCGTATTGTGATTATAAGGACTTAATAGGCTTCTTTTCTGATAAATTCAGTGTTTTCTTCTCTCTGAAACTTGGTTATTGTTCTATTAGACAATATAACTGTTGTACTTTTTACTCCTCTACATTTATTGGACAACTTTAGTTAAAAGTTACTTAGCAGATTCAGATTTAATACAAAATGTGACTGTACGATTACAGTAATTATTGCTGTTTTCAGTGATAAAACCGTTGTACTGTTTTAAAAAATCTGTAAAATAACCAGTAAAAAACCCTGTAAACGTACAGATTTGTTTTGCAGTGTAGCTGACGTTCGTGGTCGGCCTTACCGTTCATGTCGACGGCCTCCTCGCAGGAGAAGAAGATCCCCGTGTGGAACTTCTTGAGCAGAAACTTCTCCTCCCCGGTCTCGAAGATGTACTGCACCAGCCGGCTGTCGTTGATGTTGGAGCTGTTGAAGCGGATGCAGAACCACTGCTTCGCCTTCATCGGCGGTCCCGTGCAGAAGGGCTTGGCCACCTTCCTGGTCCCCTCGCACCAGTAGCTGGTGGTCACCGCCGACAAGGCGAACACAAACGCCACAATGTTGAGGGTGATTGCCAGAGAAGCCCGCCGCCCGCGCTCTAGCCTCATGGTTCGGGGCCAGGCCAGAGGAGACCAAATGAAAACTAATCCCGGCTTTCGATATGCAGCCACCGCGTTTCGCCTCCCAGCAGATATATCAAATCTTCATAATCTTGTTGAGGCTCCTTGGGTGAGATTTCTGTGCATCCCTCCGCCGGCCCCGAATGATGTGCTGTCGCCTTTATTAAGGGATTCATTCTCTCCACTTCCACAGAAACAACAGGAACCAGAACAACTCGTCCTCTCTCTGCTGCTGCTGCTCGTCCAAACCCCCGTCGCTCCTCCCCTCCTACAAATCTTTTCCTGCTATATTATCCATTACAAATGGCAAATTATATTCCAGACTTCCTTTGAGCATATTAATACATAAAAAAGAAAAAAAAAGATTACCATGAGCTTAGATTATAATCCAGGACAAGGTTCTACTTCTTGTTAGCGTAGCTCCCAAGTCACAGCAGCCGCAGCCATAAGATCAACTGCCTGCTTTACATGATATAATGTGTACAGTCTGATCTGTAATGTGAGTGAGTGTGTGTGTGTGTGTGTGTGTGTGTGTGTGTGTGTGTGTGCAGGGTAAATCTCCTCCTGTCTGATAGGCTGTCGATGTGGGAAGCGCCGCACAAATGAAGACAAATTACAGACGTACGTGAAGGAGAGAACAGATGCTGGATTCATTTCATACGTTTGTCTTTTCCTGCCTGTAATTTTACATGAAAATGCAAATTGGTGTCATTTTAAAAGCTAAAAATAAGAATTATTGTGTTTTTGTTGCTTTAGATTGAGCTGTTCTTTTCTACAGATAGAGCGGGGTCCTCTTCTCCGGAAGCCGCCATGTTAGACCGCCATGTTCCTACAGTAGCACATAACCAAACACTGGCTCTAAATAGGCTTACGGCCACCGTAGCTTCTCCCACACACTGCGAAGGCTGAGCTGTATTCAAATGCTAGTTGCCACTAAATCCTTCACACTGCTCCTTTAATGGGTTGCAGGATGAATCTCAAGTGGGTGTCTCTGTACAGGGACACACGTTGGTGCCCATTGACTCTTGAGGTCAGAGGTCAAGAGACCCCTTTCAAAACCGGAAAATAAAACTTTAATATTCCCTAAATCATAACAACCTCGTCCTGTCGTCTGAGACAAATCCAGAATACAGCGAATAAAACTTTAAGACGAGTCACACAAACAAAAACATCAAAGTTTAAAGCTCAAAAATATCGTTGAAACTGCTCACGTTGAAGATTTGAAGTAACACAAACTCAGTTTTGTAAATTAGAAAACACTCTTGATCAAGTAGTTTTAGTTATTTTTAAGTGACACTGAGTTCATTTTTGTATTCTTTAAGTAAAAATGACTTAATCATGAATATTTCTGTAACTTAAAAAACTAAAGTTGGTGTCACTTAAAACTAGTAAAAACTGCTTTATCAAGAATCTTTTTTAATTTGCAAAACTAAGTTTGTGTTACTTAAAATGTTCAATGTGATCAGTTTCTACAGTCTAAGAACTCTTCTGGTGCTCTAATTTAGGACAAAATCACTTAGTTTTTACTCTTTTTTGCTAATTATTAATCTTACATTGATGAATAAATACTAAACATTCAGTTTTCCAATTGTAATCAGCACAACTTCCTTACCTTCTTGGGATTTTTTCTAGTTTTAAGGCCCATTACAGTCTTTCAGTGGGCAGATGTTTATACTAGTTTTAAGAATTCTAGTCTGACAAGAAAATCTGACAATATTTCAAAATATTTTGTACTTGTTTGTAGAGGCTGTGTTTGCAGAATAATTCATAAATGTACATTAAGTCGTGATATTTGTGAACATACAGCGCAGCCTTAGAGTTTTATCTTCCATAAACGTTGATTCACTGTGGAGTAAGTTCCTCTTTGAACCTGACAGCAGCACTTTGAGAGGAAGCCAGCGTCTCACTGAGTAATTCCCCTGAACACAAAGAGATTAATCTGAACATTAGCTTCCATGTAATAAAAAATGAAAAGACAGGACGTTACACTTGATGAAGTAGTAAGCCTGTTGTACAGCGAATATTCCCCCCACTCATCCCTCTTTACATAATAAATACCTGCCAGCAGGAGGGCACAAATATCAGTAATATGAGAGACTGACAGATGTGAGATTTGAATGTTTGCAGAGACGAAAGATACTCGACTTTCTGTGCATTTTATCACAAAACCTAAATGTTTAAGATGATTATGTAACAGTTCCTGCTGCAAAAAAAAGGTAGAATGCAGATTATGAACGTCCCAGATTATGTTCAGTGGCTTTAGAGGAAAATAAAGTCAGACTATTGTCCAGCTTTAAAGGGATAGGTTGAGGTACTTATCGTAGTCGGTGTATTAAGCTGTGGATAAAGCCGGAGAAACGGGGGCTGTGAAAAGGTTCTTTTTATTCAACACACAAAACACAGAGATGCTTATACAATAATAAATATTTAGTTATATTTTGTAGCAGGAAACAATCACCTGGTCACACATGTTCTGGTTTTACAGATAAACAGTAAGATAAGTTTGTGAAAGGATTTTAGGAGAGAAATAGTCAACAAAGTAACAGAATCTGGATTCGTTGGGACGCCCACTGATGGGTCGCCAAAAGCTTCATGGGGGGTTGCGAGGCCTTCTTAATTTTAAGGCTTGCAAGAAAACTGATAGACAAAATGTCTATATCTCAGCAGTTCGTTCACTTCTGTGGATAAAAGTGAATGTAAATTGTCTAATAGAACAATTAGTTAGAGACAAGAAAATGCATTTACTTTTAAGTTTGTGTGATTGTTAAAAAGTGATTAAAAATACATAATACAGACAAAGAATTGTATAAAAAGTTCCCTAAACAAGAAATAATCTGCTCAAAAATCAATCGTTTTACACAGACTTCCTGCAGTTACTGAGTTCACTGTTTGGGTTCATTGTTCAGTTTCAGATCATTGTTTCAGATCGCACTGGCCACAACAGACTCATAAAACATCCTCAGCATCGTCCGGCAGATGTTAAAGGACCTCAGCCTCCTGAGGAAATAGAGTCGGCTTTGGCCCTTTTTGTAGACTGCCTCGTGTTTCTGCTCCAGTCCAACTTATTATTAAAGTACACCACCAGGTACTTATATTCCTCTACAGTGTCCACAGGGACCCCCTGGATGGAAACAGGGGTCACTGGTGTTTTTGCCCTCCTCAGATCCACTATGAGCTCCTTCGTCTTTGTCACGTTGAGCTGCAGATGGTTCAGCTCACTCCAAGTGACAATATTAACTAGCTATAAAATATGTCACTAAGTCAGTTGATTAAATGAACAGGGGGCCCTTGTAGGCACCAACAGTGATATATATATATATATATAGTATACACTAAAACTGATTTCTATGGTTTTTGGGGGATTTTGGGGCCTAAAATGTCTGATTTCACGGCGGCGTTTTTAAAATTGCACCGTTTTTAAGCATTTTTCTACATTGAAATTGCTAGAAAAAGTGTATAAAATCAAGGCAGCTTGTTCCAGTGAGAATAAAACAGCAGTTTGGTGACGTGTGGCAATTCATTGAATTTGTGTTAATTGTTCTGGTGGGACTGATGGACTTTTTTAGGTGGTTAAAATACAGTTTTGTTGCTGCCTATCTACTATACTACTACTAAACTACTCTAAAAATTAAAATAAACATATACTGTATTGTATTAAAGCCCTCCTGCTTTAGCGTCTTCTGTCTGCTGCGGGATTATAAACTTTGTGTCCGACTTTAAGCGGAGGCCTCTTGGTCCCTGAGGCATGAGAGGAACTCATAGATTATTACAGATTAATGTCGATGCCGGTCTCATTATCTGTCTCACACACGTCTGACAGCACGCTGCGAATTCTGTCGTCCTCTCACTTTTATCCTTAATACGTGAATGTGTGTCTGTCAGTCGTAATACGTCGTAACTGATATCAGCCGCTGATACAGAGGCGGTAGGAAACATGGCGGTTCAACATGGTCGACTCTATGGAAGACAACCCGGAGCTCGGAGCTGGTTTTAGAGTGCTGGGTGTCTTAATCTATAAAAATACATCATAATTTATCAATAAGATGAATTTGCAAAGTAATTAAAGCTTTAAAAGTGCAATATTTCTATATTTCTCTCCATGTTTTTAACATATTATTAAAAAAAAGAAGAGAAAAATGTATCTTCTTGCAAGCCAATCACAATATCTGTCTCACAATTTATCAGTAAACCTACATTAATGCATTTAACGACGCATTACGCTAGTGATGCACCAATAATTATCAGGGCAGATACATTATTGGCCATTAATGGGAAATTTGTATTAATAAGAATTATCGTGATGATTCAGTTACAGCCGATAGATTATTGATCCGTAATAACGATCATTTATTTTATTACATATTGTGATATAACTAGAAAAAAAATACATGAATATATGAAGATCTCAGCCTTTTCTTGTCATTTATTTAAAATACATAGAGAAATTATATAGAAATGATATATAATTAAGTTATTTTTAAGAAGCAGGTAATTATTAATTGTTGTATCGGCTGACAAAGAATCAATACAACACTCATTAATCCATCAGTGGAGGGTTCCCATCAGTTTCTATCTCAGTCTGTCAGATACTCTCATCGTCTTTAATTGCCTCCACTTGCTGCAGTTTTTGGCGACACTGCAGCAGATGGTCTTGTAATCTGTCCTGAGATTTATTACACTAGAGACAGATAATCTGATCCCATTGTGGAGGAGCAGCCCACCCCACGCAGGGCTTCACTGCAACCCCCCCCAACACAGCGTCCATTCATCCAGCCGGCCTCGTCTGGATCCCACTGCTGGATCCACACACTGAGGAAGAGTTTATTAACATAACCAACAGTAAAAGATTATAAAAGTGACATTAAAAGTGATAATTTAAAGTATTTTAGAAAACAAATCTAATCCTTGGAGATAGTTAAATATTAAAAAACTGTTGTTCAGCAGCGACATACCGCCCTGCCTCCTAGAAATTAACTTTATATACAACTCATCTTCTATTAGGAAATGTTAATTAACATATGACATTTTTAATTCCACCAAAATAGTAAATCTGACAACATGATCTGCTCATAGAGACAGAAGCATTATTTAAAACTCAGTAGTAACTCAAGACGTTTGATTTTTTATTAACATTTAACCAAAATAAATCGAAAATCTGAACAGTTTTACACTTAAACCGTTTAAATGTATTACCTCCAATAAATTAAGTATGAAATAAACATTTGATTTGACTAATTTATAAATAATATAATTAAGTTAAGTATATTACACTGTGCAGCATTTCTGCAAACCTTTTTATCTAAATAAAGTGACTTTAATGCTTCTTTTTTATACAAATTACTTAGTTTTCTTCCACTAAAGCAAATTATTACATTACCTGTTAAAACTACTGACGTAAAAACAATTAATTTATTACTTACAGTTTTTGATTTTAATATAAAATCAACTTAAAGAAAAAGAATCAGTGGAACAAACTGGGATTAAATAACCAATAATTAAAATACTGCATTTAATTCAGGATTAAGTTGTGTTAGTTTCTTTTATTAAGACGTGTCGTCAGGATTTACAGCAAAGTCTGATGTAACATCACAGAGAGTTATTAATCCCTGTGGTGGCAGATGGGATCGTTCTTTAACCGACAACGCTGCATAAAAGGCGTAAAAAGGTTCCCCAGATGTTGACCTTTACAGCGTTACCTGTGTTTAATCCTCTGCTTACACCTCCACTATTTAACCGTGTCTTTCTAAGAGGTGTCATAGTGCTGTGACGTGGTTATCCCCTTAATCTCCCAAGGCAGCTGTCTGGATTTAGGTAGTGATAACCATAATCCCGCTTGGCACCTTGAGGGGCCGCCGGGGCGAACGCGAGGCAGAGCGAGTGGAAACGAGCGCTTGTGGAGGTTTTAAACCTTGAAAAAATCAAAAAAACAAAGAGGACAGAAGGAGAAGTTTCACTCCTTTTTGTGTTTGCGACAGTCAGTTTGCAGGATGGGGAACACGAAGAGCAGCGCTCTGTCCAAGGGGCTCCTGGAGGACCTGAAATCCAACACCAAGTACTCCGAGGCCGAGCTCTGCACCTGGTACCAGTCCTTCCTGAAGGAGTGTCCCAGTGGGAAGATCAGCAAGGAGCAGTTTGAAGGCATCTACGCCAGCTTCTTCCCAAACGCGGACCCCACGGAGTATGCCAGGCACGTGTTCAGGAGTTTCGACACCAACGCCGACGGCACTTTGGACTTTAAGGAGTACATTGTCGCTCTGCACCTCACGTCCGGGGGAAAGACTCTGCAGAAGCTGGAATGGGCCTTCGCCCTGTATGACGTGGACGGGAACGGGACCATCAGCAATAACGAAATCCTAGAGATTGTTAGGGTACTTACACGCCTTCTTAATAAAGCGGGTTGTAGATGTTTTATTTAACATCCCTGAAGTCATTAATATTGTTTGACTTCCATTCAGCCTCTTTCCAAAAAGCCTTTTCACCACTTTAACAGGAACAAGTGTTCAAAACAAGATTATATTGGTTTAATTAATGTGTTTTCACCTTAAGTAGCCATAATTTATTTAAGCTTTTATGTCCTCAAATAAATGATGTAAAGGCAACAAAAGAAAAGCTGAATGGGATTGTAGGAAGTAACTAATGAGTTTCATTGTATACTCGGTTTTAAATCCTTACAAGCAGAATAATAACGGATAATGGAGTCTGCTGTGATGTCTTTTAGTCCTTAAACACCAAAATGTTCTAGTTACAGTTTATACAAAGCACAGAAAAGCAGCAAGTCGTCCTGTTTGAGAAGCTGCAACCACTAAATGTTTGGTAATATTCAGCCCCTCCAGGTTTTCTAGCCGCTTTTCTGAAATATTTTGATGTTTTTTTTAGGCCTTTTTTTTGGCTATTAAGTTGTGGAAGAAAGAGAAAATAGCAAAAATTATTGTGTTTTTCTGGTATAATTTGTTAAAAATCAAAGACAACCTGTTCCAGTGAGAATAAAATCACTATTAATCACATGGAAACTACAATTATTGGTCAAATTTGTGGGAAAAAGTTGCAGAATTGGTTGAATTTCAATATATTTTTCTTGATAAATGCTGAATAAAGCACCGTTAACATGTTTTAAAAATGACTTCTCGCGCAGTCTATATTCAACATGATTCCCGCCGAAGACCAGAAGAACCTCCCCGAGGATGAAAACACGCCGGAGAAGAGGGCCGAAAAAATCTGGCAGTTCTTCGGGAAGAAGGAGAACGGTAAAACTCGCCATTCATTAACCAGATTTTTAAAAAAAGCTTTAAAAAACTTTGTGTATGTGTTGATGCTACTTGTTTTTCTTCCATCCTTCCCCAGATAAAATCTCAGAGGGGGAATTCATTCAGGGTGTGATGGACAACAAGGACATCCTGCGGTTGATACAGTACGACGAGCCTCAGAAAATTAAAGACAAGCTGAAGGAGAAGAAGCATTAAAGCATCTACGGGCTTAAAAAAAGGGTGGAAAAATCCCTTTTCATGTGGTTTTAAGACTGTTTTCTGTTTACATTCTTACCTGATACGACTGCTTGTCTGCTTCACCTACTCTCTTTTTTTATTTCATTCTTTTATGGACTAAGCAGTTAAATAATTTGCATTTCTTACTAGAAAACAGAAACAGAGGAAATCTTGAAATGACTTGAGGTTTGAAATGTGCACAGTAACCTTGGTTTACTTCTGTGGAGAAAAGTTAATGTTAATTGTTTAATGGAACAATGCGTCGGGGACGGGAAAACACTGAATTTGTCCCAAAAAAAGCCTATTACGTCTGTATGATTGTTAAGAAATAGAAACATACATAATAGAGACAGATAATCGTATAAAAAGTTCCCTAAACAGGAAACAATCTGCTCAGAAGTCATCCAAATCTCTTGTTTTACATAAACTTCCTGCAGTTACTGAGTTCAATGTTTGAGGTGATTGTTCAGTTTTGAATCTAATATTAAATAAACATTATTAGTCAGTTTAATCAATGATAGAGAAAAGTGACCCTTACGGAAAAAAGGTTGGGAACCAGTGGCCTCAACAACGTCATTATACTGCAATATAAAATACAATAACTATAATTTATTAAAAACTGATCAGGATGCAAACATTTGACATCTTAACTCACCATAGAAATAAAAAATATACCAGTAAATACATCATTTTTGGGAAAAGGTACAAAAGAGACAAACAACAGCAGCAACTGAACTCTGGCTATTTAAGGCTAGTTTAGACGAAACTAATTATCCCCAACCGTTAGTCCTTTTTAGTGGAACTGAAACATATATTTTAATGCTAAAACATCTTAGTAACACATACATTTAAATCACGTTTTTGTATTAAAGTGAAGATGAATTTCTTATTAGTTATTTTATTAACTATTGATGTATTATTATTGTTTGTGTTACACCCTTTAGATAATCCAAACATGTAGCATTTAGGCCTACGAGTCTCTGTTTTTTGGCTGTATTTGAGGTTTGTGACGATGTTTAATAATCAGCATACAAGATTAATTAATTAAATTGAGGTTTTGTAACTCATATATCCCTCAAAACAGGTCAGCTAACAGCCTTCCATCTTCATAATTTGTTTTCCGCTCTAACTTTGAGAAATGTTGCTACGAATGTTAGAAGTTGGTTTGTCTGGATAAGCAGCTGGTTGTGTTCATCTTCCGTTCGGGTGCCGTTAAACTATCGCAGAAGCAGAAGCGCCGGTCAAACCTCAAGAAAACCACCAAGGAAAATGTGTGTTTGCTTCATGTATTAACGTGAGGAAGTCTCTCTGATCTGTTTTTGTCTCTTTAATTAAGTCACGTATTCATGTACGTCATGATTCTCTACTCGTTAAATCTTTTTCCACTGCACTTTGTCGCATTATGCTTTCCCCAATAAACCAACTTTTCCACCTCAGCCAAGCGTAAAAAAAACTACTTTTATCTAATTTGTTGGGGATTTTTTAGCATTTCCACTCATTTATTTAATGCAAAAATTAAAAATGTGCATAAAAACCGGTGGATGGAAGCCGTTCACTGGCTTTGTGAGGCAGTCTGGGTTGGCTGCATCCCATCTCAACGTCCATACACTTTTGACATCTCTTAATCATGACCCTCCCTCCCTCCCGTCACCCCCTTGTGTTTGCATAACAGCCTTTTCCAGAGAGCCAATTTACTCTCTCATGTCTGGGCTGCGTCGCAGCATGTTGGTTCACACTTGGATTCATTCATTAGGTTGATAGCAGAGAAAGTCGGGACGAGAGCTCCTTATGAGGAGGAATTAGGCTCAGGTTAACAATCCGCCTGTATCAGCCGATCCTATTAGGAGCTGAAGGTCAGTTGAGACAAACAACCTCATTCAGGATGGGCTCGAAGCTGCTCGTACACTTTCATGGCCTACACGCTTGGAACAGGAGGGGTGAGGCGAAGGGGTTGTAATCTGCGTCGACGCCACTTGACGCCGTTAAACCGTAAACACTAGATCTTTAATGATGTTAATTATGTGGTTTAGTTCTTCGACTTGTAATGAACTTGTAATTTTACTTTGCATCCTCAGACTTTTTCACAATCTTGAACGTTAGGTCAAACTTTTAGAAGTAAAAAATATAGTTAAGATAAAATTATAGCGATAATTTTAACGTGTGAGGATCGTTCTCGACCATGTTATAAGACAGAAGGGTGACAGTGAGAAATAACAATTTTAAAGTGGAAAAAGGAAATATCTCCACTGGAGGTTCCTCCGACACTGTCTTATATTTATCTTCGCGGCTACAAGACATCCTCTATTTCTTTCTGACATCAAACCAGTGTCCGAAAACAATCGGTTTGTAAACATTGTTAACAGCTGAAATCGTTAAAATATGCCCTTTAAAATGCCTAGAAAGATAAAATACTGTCCGTGCAACCAGGGCTCGATAATGCTTGTGTAATAAACGACGAGTGTTGTGGGATCTGGCGTCTATTTCCACTCACTTTTCCAACTTAGTAGCAGTAACTGCCATCTCTTGCTAGTTAAACAGCTAGTAAGATAGCCTCAGCCAAAGCTAATTCACTCACTATTATTCTTATTTAGTGACGTGCACGACGTGAGGTTGTTACTATTCCTTTAACATTTATCAATCAAATTGCTTGCTGCAGATTTACTGGAACAAATGTGATATTACGCAACACAATACTTGGAATCTGAGCCCATATGGGGTTCGTACCTGGCCCCGAATACGCCGTCCATCCACCTGCCTCACTTTGTTCTGATTAAACCCCCCCCGAGAGAGGTCAACAATCGTTGTTACATAATAAGACACGGTGATATTAAATTTTCAAAGAGGAGATTTATTTTGGACACTGCATTCCACAGCACACCGTCTGGACAGAGGTCACCTATGATCAAAACATTCTCAAAAACATGGAGGGGGGAAACATCGGATTTAATGCACGTTCATGAAAATGTTAACCACAGACGGGCGGTAAAACTGAACCGTTACGTCATCGTGAAACCGTCGAAAAAACACATTTAGTCGTTAACATAATAACTCGTTACATTTAGTGCACAACATTGACACACCGATTAAAAAAAACCTGATATTTTAGCCTTTTTGGGGGTTTAAAGCATTAAAATAAAAGGTTATTGAACACAAATATGAAGAATGTAATGCACTTTATCGATGCCGCTGATAAGGCAGGCGAGCGTTTGTGTATTTTTTCATAGCAGATCTTTTTCTCTTCGTGCCGGGCAGCTGGATTAGGATTTTTATTTCTGATTTAAAAACAACATAACAACCCCCGAAATGAATCAGAAGACAAAAGACACGTACATGTAAACACAGACACACACTGTACATGCAGTCTCTGGTAAAATGTGTAATTATTACGCTGCATGTTCGCACTCTTTTCTCTTTTTTTTAAAACCCTCGACCGCCATCGTAAAGATATTCTCTGTAAAATAAAAACAAAAAAACAACATTGTACAGTACAAACATCTCATCTGCTCCCCCCCCCCCCCCCCCCCCACCACCAAAAAACCCCCGTTTAAACATCTGACAGCAAAATACATCTAGCCTGTATGTACAAATGTACACTGATGCAGAGTTATGTCAAGGACATTCCAGGTATATAACCGTTAGGCACTAAAGGGTGTTTCAGTGTAACTTGGACCACCTTTTTTTAAATCTTTTTTTATTCCTCCGGATCCAAAATAGACCCTGGCCTATAAGTCCGATCCACCACGCTGTTGTTGTTTGTTTGTGTGTGTTTGAGTTGATTCTGTTGTTTACAATATGCAGAATACCTTGCAATGAACTACACCAACAACAACAAAATAAAAAATAAAAAATAAATGGGTCCACAAAGATTGTGCAGCTCTCCATTTACAGTAAAAAGCAAGATATTCAAAAACATGCATTTCCACCAAAATGAACCAGCAAAATATGAAAATATATCATATTCATTCTCAAGATCTCAGTAAGCTTCAGTGTCCGTATCTAAAATAAAGGTAATATCGGTAATTAGACTGTTTTTTTTGTTGTTGTTTTGTTTTGTCTGGTTTTACTCAAACTGGAAAAAGTGTCGATTGAAGCTAAACGATCCAAAATACATATAATTCTTTTTTTTTCTCTAATAGTTTTTAACTTTACAACAGGTAAACAGCAGAGTAAGTTAAATGGCATTCAATAAGCTAATGTCGATTATGATAGGGGTTAACATTTGTTTTAGTTTTTTTTTTTTCTCGAAGGAACATGCTGGTACTTTGATCCGTCACTGTTTCCTGCACTCAGACTGCGATGAGTTAACGAACCTGAGCAGGATGAGCAGACCTTCGGCAGTCTGACCATGCACTGACCCTGGATCAGTGTTATTAGAGGAGAGCGTCCGGTGGACTCTGTGGATGTGTGTGTGTGTGTTTTATGTGTAAGTACTGCAGGCAGGATGGCCGAGCTATATGTCCATATCCACAGGTCGAACCTCGCCGGTATTGTTCTCCTTCACCCACAGCTCTCGGTCTTTGGCTGGATCCACGTTCTGCAGCAGCTGGTCGACGGGCTCCACCATCTTCACACACAGAAACAGCAGCTTTTGTTTATTATTGCCTCCAAAGGGCGGATACGTGTTGGTCAAAAGTACAATTTCACAACAACTTGTTTGCATAAAATTGATACACGTGGTTTTAAATGAATAGTTTGACATGTTTGGGTGAGTTGAGTAGATCGATAGCACTCTGATTTCTATTAATAGCACTAAACTAAGCCTCACTAAAATATGCTTGTGACAGCTAGCACAATCGACTATTTCTGCTTTCTGTGTGTAATCGAGAACTAATTCTTCGAGTTATTTAGTGTTTGTTGGATGATTTTGATGAACATTAAATACATATATCGCTGTCCGTTAGCATACCTTTACATTCACTCTTAATATTTTATGTCAAATCTGAGATTAACTTGAATTCTGGGTGAAAAATAAGAGATATATAGGATGACGTGTGTGATCATCTCTGAGGAATGTCAGCCAGCACCGTGAGAAGCAGCCTGACATCCCACAGCGCCGACACAATACGTCTCGTTGGATTTCCAGGGTTTACTCTGCAGCTCCTGAATGAGTCTGCGTGGGCGTCTCTGACAGCGAGGAAGACCTCGGGCTGCGTCTGTCACAGCGTCTGCACTCACCGACGGGCTCAGCCGAAGTGGCACGCAAAATTATGTCAAAGCCTGTTGCAGTCAACCGACAGAGCTAATGATGGTTTGCTCAGTTGTTTGCTGTTTGATTGATTAGTTATAAATAACAATGTGGTATTTAAACTAAGAGTGGGGAGTAGATACATGCAAATAACCTTCAATGTAACTGAAAATGTGTTTAAAGGGCTGTTTTTAGGGGAAATCCTCATATCCCATATATAGGATGTATTGTACAATGTGAATTAAGCTTATATTTAACATAAAATGCAAGGAAATTCCTATTTTTCTGCCAAAATAATCACATTTGTGGTGGCTGCAACATGCTCTAACATATGGAAGTGGTAAAATGGCTCAACAGCGCAGGAAGCAGCAAGAAACAGGAAGTTCAGTCTACTTTGTCCAATCACGTGTCTGATAAGAGTCTCACCCTGAACACGTCTACACGCCAATATTCAGTTATAGTCATAGCGCCCCCTACTGGAAACACAAAGCCTTGTACGCCGATCATCATCTGATTTATGAGACATGAGACGCGTGCAGACTGCGAGGGCCCGTTCATCGCTGTTCACAGCTTTTATTGTTTACATTTTGGTAAATTAGCACTATTAAAAATACGCCGAATTATTATTATTCAAGAAAAAAATAATGATTAATGTTTTTCCCCCTTTAACAAGCTTTATAATCTAATTTTACCTACATTAGTTTTACCTAACTTTTTTCTTTCTTCCATATGCAAACAGCAGATAAAGTGATCAATACATCGTTTTCACAGCAGCTGTTTTTGACATGAACTAGTCAGGTAAACAGGTTTTTACCAGTAAAAAAGGTCTATAGGGTTTACCCTATACTTTATCTCTGCCTCTGAGGAGTATTAGAGCAGTGGGTCGCAAGGCCTTATTGATTTTGCTCAGCTTTTCATTAAAATTTTTGTTTTTTTTAAAGTTTAGATTATTCTTAAGGATCTGAACTTTGAAGACATGAACACAAACTATATTCACAGAGCCTTCACTCTCTGATAGCCTGAAAAATGACTGAATTTGCCCCAAAATTAAGCCTACTAAGTATAAAAATACATAACACTGATGGAAAATTGTGTAATAATTGTATAAAAATATCAGTAAAACTCATCTCTGATCAATAATCACAGGAAATAATCGGCTCAAAATCTCTGGTTTTACACATTTTGGGTTCATTGTTCAGTTTATCATCTGTTCTTTACTGTTATTGTTGAATATAATATAAAATATGTCCAATAGTCAGTTTACTACCTGAAGGAGAAAGGTACCTGTGTGTGTGGGCACGTAAACACACAGGTAAACAGGTAAACAGGTAAACAGACTCACGCTCTGGTTGAACATGTCGGTTTCGTGCCTCAGAGTCGTGTACTGGCGTAAGTGCTGCTGAATCCACTCGATACGTTCAACCTCCAGTTTCTCGAGCTCCTACAATGAAAGACGAGAGTTCATTAACACACAAACACACAGTTAACTCTGTTGTTTGGTTGGTTTTACTGTTGTATGTGTGCACTAATAATAATAACAACAACAAAATCAATATTCTGTCTCTCCCTGCTATAAAACCCCAGATACACGTATTGATCAGCGGTTTTAATAACACAGCTATAAAAGGGCTTTTTGCTCTATGACATCTGTCTGACTGAGGATGTGTTTTAAGGTCTAATGTGACCATCCCGCCACAATAAAAGCATTTTAAATTGTTTAAAAGTGGAGTTTTCTGTCTTATTTTGTATTTTTTTAAGGGGTAAAGCTGCATTAAAATAGTTATATAGTAATATTAAAATAGTTTTTACCATGCTGGTGGTGACCATCTCCTCAAACCACTTGGACTGGGTCTGGTTGTACAGATCCACGCAGCGCATCAGGTCGTCTCCTGGAAGAATACAGAGGTCAGAGGTCAAATCTGCATTCACAAGGTTTATTCCTTCTTTTTTAAATCATCTGTTGTTGTATAATCTGCACGTGGAGTGTAAACCCTTTAAGGACCAGCAGAGGGCGCTCAGACGTCACTCCTCACTCACCCACAGATGAATCATAGTTTAAAGTGGACACGAAGCTGTTAGTAAACGCTTTGTTTTAAAGTGGAGTCAAATAATAATCCAATAATATATATTACAGCCTGTGCAGGTTTTTATTTTATTGTATATATTTGTTTTTACTCTTTGTATACTGATATACTGATGTGCCAAATTTAAATTTCCCTTACAGCAGATCAATAAAGGAACATCTTAAATTATCTTAAATTAAGATAATATGTAGAAATTCTACTGCAGTGGTGAAATATAACCCAGTCTGTTTACTGAAGTACATACTTGAGGTACTTTCAGCTTTAGTTACTTATCAGATTACAGTTTTTAATCCTGTCCAGTGAAACCTTGTACCTCCAAATTTAGTGATGTTTAATGTTTGTGACAAACTGAAGGATGAAATGTTCCTTTATGTGTTAAATTATTTAAAAACCCTCCTGGATTTGTTGGAAAATGTATTTTTCTGCTGAATCTGCACTTTAACTTTAAGATCTTTCACTGTAAAACCTGTAAAAACACATATTCATAAAATAAGTAAGTAAACATAAATTAATTCAGAAGAATTCAACTTAAAAAATAAACATTTGAAGCAACTCAAGTGGTTTTGGGTGAACTTAAATTTGTGCAGTATTTAAAGTACAAGTGATGTAATTCCACTTTCCTATTTTTCCTAATTCCTAAGTTGACTTTATATCATTATAAAAATGTAAACATTATAATGCTTTACACCAATTTTTGTTCATATTTCAGTTATTAATCATTATATGAACAAGTATGCATCCAAATCAATCAAATCAATTAACTGAATTAAATTAGTACAATTAACTTAATTTACCCAAGTTACGTTAACAATACATACTTCAGTTACTCAAATTAAATATCTTTTATATTTTTAATAAACTTAAATGTTTCCCTCAAACTGTTTGAGTTGAACTAACTTTATCAGGTGTTACAGCGGGGAAAATAAACTACAGATAACGGTATATAACGTGGTTAAAACGATCTTAATAATGGTTCTTCTTTCAGAATATTTAATCTCTTTACGTCCTCAAACATAAATAACTGTCAGATGAAGATCATTAAAGTTCATTAAAGTTCATTAAAGCGTCCCGTCACTGGCGAGCGAGCGCAGTGAGCCGCAGCGACATTTGACCTCGAGGAAGCCGAGCTGATCACCGCCGCCACGCTGACATCCTTTAAATGTTCCTTATGAGGATTATTGATTAGTGCTGTGTGGCTGATCTACTGAGGGGAAGAGAGACTCTACAGTAGCCTGTGCAGGACAATTACAACAGGATCTTATTTATTAAAATGTCTCCTGCTCTGCTTTTACCTCTAAACTCATTAAAACTACAGTTAAAGTTAAATTAATTAATTTAAAAACATGTAATTATATCAAAATACTACAGATTTTATCAAAATACTTGAACTATAAGATCGCTTAAATGTAATTTAAAATAAGTTTTTGGGAACTTGTAATAATAATAGATTATATGTATACATTATATATAATAATTAACAATATATAAGACTAATTAAATGTATCAAGCACTTGTTGTTAACGTTATCTTAGCTAATAATAAAAGGTTTTTGCTGGCAGCAGTTAGTGAAGTCCTGATCAACCAAACTCCATTCAGAAAACAAGCATTTTAAAAGTTGTTTGCTCGTCGTCTTGCCGACAGACCCGACAAAGTGTGAATTCAGACTTTTTACAAATCGCCATCATTATGTTGTTATTTCGGCACCTTTTTGATCCGTTTATTGACATTAAATCGCAGCAAAGTCTGTTTATTTTAGGCTCATTACCGTCGTTGTAAACCAGATTAAAGGGCGAATATTGGAGTAAATACAAATTATCGCACAAGTTCTTACTTAGATTAACTGCTTGTGTTTGTTTTTTATTTGTTCATTTAAGAATTGAATCTAAAAAACATATTACAAACAGCAATTATGACATCCAACTGTTTTTAACTCTCAGTATTTTTGTCAAAATTAATATTATTCATATTCACCGTATAGACTCTCTCTAAACTATTCCTGACAACATTACACTAAATAAACCACATTAAAGTTGCTTTAACTTCAGATAAACATGATGTTTTTTGCAGTGATTCAACTTTTCCATCCAAACAGTTTCACTTTTAGAGGGTTTGGTGAAGTAAACGCTCTCCAAACACGAGCTGTGACCGACTCTTATTTAAGCTCCCGACTCTTCTGACCTGCTTGTGTGGATTTCCGCCGGGCTTTCTTTATGTCCTCCTCCGTCTTGTTGCTGAGTTTGATCTCCAGCTGCTGGGTCTTCACCTCCAGATCCTTCTGTCTGTCTGCCAGGGCTTTACGAGCCTGCAAACACAGACCCACACAAAGCAGGATGTGTGAACGCAGAAACAATGACTCATTCAGCGTAATCCGTTAGATTTACTGTACCTACATCTATTACAAGAGTCATTACGGCCTTTTCATGTTGGCTGCTGACATCTGCGCTCAGATCCTTTAATCTTTTCTTAAGCCACAACATTGAGTCTTTCCTCTTATTCTTTACGGAGGCACCTCCACAAGGTCACGGTGTTCGAAAAGGTAAACATACAGTAACGGTAAAAATATATTCAGGAGATACTAACAAAAAGGAAATAAGTTGGACGGAGTTAAAATAAATCCACTGATAAGGTCCCTTTTGTTTTTGGCTGTGAATCATTTTAATAGCTTTGAATTAGATTCTTAAAAAAAATATATATTTAATACTTTATTAACTGTAATGAATTTGTTATTTATTAGTTCTGATAATAATTCACACTCTATACTGTATGCACAATGTAGTTTAGCTCATAATAAACAATTTAAATTATTTTTTTATTTGTGTTACACGGAAATTCGGGTTCAATTCGGGGTCGAGTCAGGCCTTATTATTTGGGCCCACAAATGAGCACTAGCTGGGATAAACCTCAGTAAAAGATGGTAAACTATAAAATATGTCAAAGCTGAAGTTAATATTCAACACAATAATTTAAGGTGGTCTCAAATATACAAACACAGATTTTTAGTTAATATGCAACACAATTGACCGTTTGAACCTAGATGTATGCGTCAATTGCATATTTTTTTTACAGGATTCTTCGATTTCAAATAAACTCAGCTAGCTAGGGGATAAAATATATTTTAGTGGACAAAATTGACGGTCACTGGCAAGAAATGAGAAGCCTGTTTTGGTCTGAATAGAAGTACCATCAAAATGTTTAAATGCAGAACAATATTCTTTCTTCTACGTTGCCTTCTTCTTCCCTTAATTCTGCAAACACATCGTCCACACAAAGCTGCTACCCAACGTGCCTTTGTTACACAATAAAAAGATGAAAATAAGAAACTAAAATAGTGTGTGTGTGTGTGTGTGTGTAGGTCACAGTTGAAACACATTCATTCATGAAGTGATTTAAGCAGGTGGGAAGCAGCAACAAAGTACTACATCAAGATGTTCCAAGTGTAGGAGTTACTGAAGCTCAGTTTATTATGTAATATTTCTGATGTAAACAAACACTGATGTGTATTTTCTTGTGCCAAATACTTCACCTTTGGACATTTTCAAATAATAATTAATGATGTACAAGTGTGTCAGGCTCAGTACCTTCTCCACACCTGCGTAGCGACTCGCCAGCTGCTTCCTGAGGTCGGCGATGTGATGGTCGTACTTTTTCAGGTCCTTCTTGAAGTTGTCGCCCCTGAACGTCAGCAAGGGTTTCTCCACCTCAGAGTGGAGCTGTGAAAACAAGTCAGCGGTAAAATCAACAAATTTGTGTTGTGAAACAGCTTAGTCAGAGTTAGTGTAAGCGGACAGGGCACTTCATCGTACTTTCTTCTTCTGGAAGGACACCATGGAGGGCAATTTATTGTGTTTTGTCCACTGGAAGGACACCATGAAGCAAACTTCATTATGTGGGCACAGGCTTTAATTAAGTGCTTATTTGCAAATACATTGTTTAGGTATTAAGTAATAAATGTTTACTGGAGCATTTACCTTGTTACCAGCCTCACTCTAAAATCAATACATTACTTAATAAAGCCAACATAGTTTCCTGTCCTACATCGATCCCCATGAACGGAGACAATTACAGTTTCTCTCTCTCCGTTTCTTTTCCTCCCACCAAACACTTGTCCAATAATAACTAAAAGATTGTTTTTTTATGACACTTCAATAAAGTACAAAGTGCTTGTCAGCAGTGTCGGCTCCTCATACAGAATTATAATCCAGAGCAAACGAAAGAGCTGGAAGATACAGATGAAATGTTGCTTATTAGAAATTGAGCCAGAGCTTCTGCAGGCTCGATAAGACGTCTCATTCCCTGCCTGACCACGCATTACTTCCTCCTCTCCTGTCTCATAATGAAGTATGGACTGTCAGAGAGCACTGGTGGAGCAGGGGGGAGAGCCTGCATGGCCCTGGGAGGGTCGGGGGGTGGGAGCTCGTCAGAACACGCAGCTAATTAATTAGACAACAGAGGGCTATGAAAAGCTCCGAGGCAGCCTCTGCGTTATTTAAGGCTGCGTCGGAGGCCTGTGTGCAGGTTTCTGCATCGCTGGTAATCAGAACGCGGACAGGTCATTTTCTTCAGTCAACACTGACAACGTTGAGGTAAACAAGCCCCGTCACCTCAGGATGTGGTCAGATCGAGTATCCATTACTTTGGTTGATTGAAAACATGAAACACTTGACCTGAAGGTGCAGAAAACTGCAAACCAAAGGCACCCAGACAGAAAGTTAAAGTATACTATAAAATGTCTGCGACTCAGAGGAAGCATTAGTTTGTTTTACTTATATCAAATCAATATAAATGAATCGTTTTATCTAGAAAATGAAGGTGGATTCTCCTTATTTCTTGCTTTATCTGACCATCAATCGGAAACACAAAGATTTTTCAGTTTACAATCACATATGACAAAAGGGAAAAAAGCATTTTGAGAAGCTAAAATCACCTAAATGATTAATGGATTATCAAAATAACAGCTTAATATCCCCGTCAATCAACCAATCCATTACAACCTACAACAAGGAGTTTTTACCTGGTTATGAAACAGTCTCTTAATTTGGTGGAAAAGGGGCCTTAGAGACCCAATAACCAGTGCTGTAGTCAAGACCGCCTTTGTCAAGTCCAAGACCAAAGAGGAGAGAAAAGTTACCATGTAGATAACTGGCTTGTGGCGGCCAAGTGTTCATAGCGGCATCACTTTTTGATCCTTCGATGTGTTCACGCACTAATATGGAGCGTGAATTGGGTTTAGACCTCCGTGAAACAGGTTCGTTTTACCCTACTGATGATGTGTTGTTGCTATAGTAATCCTCAGCAAGTGTTACCTTGTTGGAGAACTTCAGGTGAACTTCAGCCTCATCGTGAAGACTCTTCTTCAGCTGAGTCCAGGCTTCTCCGAGAGTCCTGAAAGAAAGGATTGATAAAAATGTTGTATTTTTTGTGTGTATTATTTGCCTTTAAATTAATTCTTTCCCTTTGCACATTTTATATCTGTACTCAGGGTTTGTGTCTCCACTGGTTAAATTTCCAGAGCTGGACGGCAACCAAACTCTGTTTCTCGAGCCAATTCTATCTACTGATTCTGAGATCTGCTCAAAGGTTTCTCAGCTATTTTGCTGACAGACAAACATGAAAAAAACAACCTTTGATGAAGATAGTAACAGTCTCTCATAGGTGCATCCATCTCAAAGAGCAGTGTGGGAATAAGTCTATTTTAAATACTCCCTATCTCCAGACACATTGCTTTTAATTACTGTAGTGTTTTTCAAAGGGAGCTTTGGAGCTGCACACACTGTTTTCTGTTTACTGCACTCACCCTTCCTCCTGTACTGCCAGGGGGCTCAGAGACAGCTTGGAGAGATTCTTGGCATATTCTTCTTCAATCTTTATCCTGAAACAAAAAAACGCAATGTGAAACCTGCCTGCTGAAAGCTGCCTGGCTCAAGGGAGGACAGAAACTACTTTAGTGTTTCAGATCAGTTTTCAGGGGGTGAACTGCAGCAGAACGACAGAAACTTCTTCTAAGATTTGCTGCAAAGGCTAAAACCCAAATGTCCTCATTTCCGTCACCATTTGAGAGATGGAAATGAGCTCGTATTTGCCCCCGAGAGACGTTCAAGCAATGTAGCCATGTTTGTGCCCTTTGTGACATTCGCTTCCTCCACCGGGTCTCACATTTACCATCCACACCTGAGTAAATCTGTCACCTGAAGAAGGTCACAAGGACCGCTCTGTGATTTAACGTTCAGATACTCGCAGTGCCGACCAACCCGACGAAACAACACGGAAAGGTCAGCGGTGAATAGAAGTCTACTTGAAGGATCTGGTGAGAATATTCAGAGAGAGAAAAGCCTCATTAACTTCCCACGAGTCGGACCAGGATGTGAATAGAGCTTTTGTAGCATTAGGTGGAACTAATTATATAGAAAGGCGTGAGATCGGATGTAAAAGTTTTAAGTGAACTCCTAATTATTCATGTTGTTTTTCTGACGACCTGATTCAGATTCAGCAGAAGCTCAGAGATCTATATCCTGTATCCTCAGTAGCTTCGTGGAGATTTAAAGGGGCTTTAATTACTGGGTGAAGGCATGAATTGCAACCCTGTAAGCTGTAAGACAAAAGATCATTTTATACATCAAGCTTTCTCTGGAGAGACCTTGTTTATCCCACCTTTCACAAGATTTCATGCCAACCATATACATGATTTTGGGGGTGTTATGTCTTGAAGTCCTTTCCATTCATTGTCTATGTGAGCAGCGGTGCAATGCATTCTGGTAGCACATGAAGTAGAGGACTAGACTACTTTATGCAAACCACAGGTGTCCGGCAAATACGTTTAGACTAACTGTCGTTGATCTAATAATGAAGACAGATTCAACAACTTCTTACAGTGTTTTCAGAAACATTATTTTTGTAATATGAGAGAAGATTTCCAAACAAGCAGCAAGCGTTTGTCCCATCAGGTGCAGTCAGAAGTATTTGTGCGGTTGAAGGACGGCAGTCTTACCATTAATGAACTGAGCCCAGTTCTTTGTACACAGATAACTGAGGGATCCAGATTTTAATGTTGACGGACATGAGTCTGGATTAGCGAACTTCTTTGGGATTTGGATCCAGCAGGACCCAAAGCAAATCTCGCAGGCAATATTTTGTCGGAATTTAGCTCACGCCCAAAATGATGGAGACCGAGACAACAGATGAAGTTTAAAATAAGATGAAAGCAGGTTTTTATAGACGCAGGAACCACCGGGGCTCTAACTTTTCAAGAGGTAAGAAGAGACGGCTCAGAGTCTCGACTGGCGGCGGGAAGACAGGACGTATCGTGACCCTTATCCCTTCATCCCTTAACCCCCTTAACAGAACATTATCTTGGTTCACCTTTATCCATAATATCCTTATTCTATCAGGTTCTATCAAACCTGCAAAAGCGCAGTTTATTGAGGATTACCTGGATCCTGATGAAGGGTACCATACCATTGTTCCAACAGCCCCAGCCCATTGTTCTGATAATACACAATCTGATATCACCAACTTACGTATGCAACTTAATTGACGTAACTAACCAAGTAGTTTTGATGCCTAAACCCTCAGCAACTGTGACCGTTTCACAACGTTAACCACGCGTTTATCACCTGACCTCGTCCTATCCTGCACTTCCAGCCTTCGGAGCGATAGGATTTTGTTTTGCGTGAGTTGAGATTGTGCAAGCGTGTGGCTTATTGATGTTAACAGTGCAGCTGTATACATAGAAACAATACTTCTTACAGGGATCAGTTCATTGGTTGTTTTGGTCTTTGTAGTTTGGTCTGACAATAAGAGAAATATAGAATATCACCAGGTTTATTCTTTATGAAAGGAGCTCGCTGACCTTTCATTTTACCTGCTTGTTTCTTTTAATGAACGTCTCTCTTTCTAATAAAAGCTTCTCTTGCTCTTCCAACGGGAAACAATTCTGCCTCCAGAGAAACTCCGTGTCTGACGTTTCTTTTTAACGAATCAATTAAAACTGCCGTCAACAAACTGCAGTTTTATCTGAAGTAAAGCTGTTACCTCTCGTGGATAAACTCAGCCATCTCCTTCTGCATCTGTTTGCCCTTCAGCTGCTTCTGCAGAAGGACCTCGAAGCCCGCCACAGAGGTGGTCCCCTGGGGGTCTTTCTTGTCGGTCTGAGGAGGAGGAGGAAGAGGAGGAAGAGCATCAGTCAAAAACAGCAGTGGAGATTGTGGACAGAGCGTCCAGTAACACCTCTTTGTTGTTTGGGTTTGAGAGCGTGTAGGGGTTTGTGAGACTGAGCTCTGAATGCGTGACTCACACTTGCATGTCAAGCAGGACATGCGTTGGTGTGCGTGCGTCAATCACTGGATGGGTGGATGTGTATTGTTGATGTGTGTGGGTTTTTTTTTTTTTTTTTCTGAGCACGATCCAGAGATGTGCGGCGCTTTGTCTTGTTTGTGACAGGACTGACGTGCGTGTCCAGAGGTGCCAGATTTATTTCACATAGCAGGTCAGAGCCAGTAGTTCAGTGGACGTACAAAACATCACAAGCAGGACACGACAGGACATAAAGTGGGAGGAAACAAGCATCGGATTTCAGTTTATCATGCAGGCCGGAGGGTTTTTTTTCGATACAAATCTAATTGAGGATGGAAATGTATGGAAACTGAGAATTACTGGAGCCACTGGGGAGACATTTAAAGCAGGATGATCACTGTGTTTGCAGGGAAGCCGGTCGATGAGCCGTCCACCTGTAATCCGCTAACACATGAAAGGACAACTGTACCTTCCGTGAAACGAGGAGGATGAGAGCATATTGACTGCTTTATGTCGGGGGAAAACCAAGTTTTAGACACATAATTTAATGCATTCAGCTTTTAACTGCACTTTACATTTACTAGAAATGATTTGTGGTAAAGGTCAACAACAACAATACAAAATGTGTTGACAAGAACCTTCTGGAGCTTCTCTTAACAGCATTTTTGGTATTAAGTACGATTGTACTTGCGTCATCGTCTACGTGACATTAGTTTTGTTGCAGTGATGTGCACTTTCACTGAGCGTGCTCATGTTTTTCGTGACTGAAAACTCAACATAAACTACATATTTATCTACTTTAACTCCAGTTTTATTCCTCCTTAATGATGAAGTGTCTGCTGTGAACAGTTTGACTGACTGACATGACCGACAGGAACAAGGGAGCGATTAAAATGTCTGATTAACCCACTTTTAGGTGTCGTACCACGCAGCTACCAACAAAAGATGCGCCTAGCTTTATGTAGGCAATCTGACATGTAGGAACTCTGCATTATGAGACAGTACCAGACAGAAGTGAATGATGATCACCATAAATCATTAACAAAGGATAAGAATTCATGATTATAAGTTGCAGTCAGTACTGTGTGAGTATCATCTCCAGAAGTTTCAGCAGAACTCACCCAGAAGTAATCGCAGTAGCTCCATTCGTTGGGCTTCAGGAGCTGCTGCTCCGGACCTTCTCCAGGCAGCGGGAAAGTCACACAGTTGATCTGAAGCAAAAAAGAGAAGAAACTTAGATAGGACCTGTAGCAGTGACCGAACTCACTGGTTCCCGACCTGGTGGTTCAACATTAGGGGTCACTAAAGCTTCACAGTGGGCACGAGACCTTCTTGATTTTAACCCTTTGAACTCTGCAATAGAAATGGTCCCCCAGTGCCTGCATTGGTATTTTTGTTTAACAATAATTCATATGCCTACAATCTGTACAACCTCAGTTAAAAGGTTATATATGTCAATAAACCATAATAATTGAAAAAAGTATTGAAATTAAGTCATAAATGTAAACAAATAATAGAACTAGACTTGTTTTTTCATCAAATTTTATTAAATAAAAACGCAAAATATAGTGTTAAATGTAATATAGAACGATTTCTGAATGTAGAAACATGAACAAAATATTTCTGGACACTCCAGAAGTTATCTGAATGATGATTACGCCACCCAGAACGACAAAAGCGTGATTTAAGACGGAAGCCTTAGCTTTCCGCTGCAAAAATAATGAATGCTCTAGTTATTTTAGTTTTTATTTTAGATTGATTTAAACAGGATGATGCAAAAAGAAATGGCCACCAGTGGGGAGGTCTGCTTTTAGAGGGTTAAAGGATGTAAGGAAATATACAGAGTAGTCATATATCTCTATCTATAAGTTTAGTTATCATTTAAGATAAACAGGATAACGGCACAATAAGGACATGAACACAAGTAATATTGACAGAGCCTTCAGTCTGATAAACAGCCTCGTCCTGTGTTAGAAAACAACCAAAGAGCTGATAGAAAACACTGAATTTGTCCAAAAACAAGCCTTTTAAGTCTGTATGATTGTTAAAAATATGTTTAAATACATAACACAGACAGAAAAATTACTAAAAATAACATTAAAACTCATCTCTGATCAATATTCACAGGAAATAATCTGCTCAAAATTCATCCAAATCGCTCATTATGTTCACTGATTGGGTTCATTGTAGTGTATCAGCTGTTATTTACTGTTATTGTTATGCATTGAATATATAATATGTGGATATAAAAGAAAAAATGTTGGGAACCAGTGAACTCTCTGAAGGAATGAGACAGATAACAGATCTGAGAGTGGAGATGACCTTAAAGAGAGCGAGGCCTGAGCTTCAGTTCATGTAGATGAGAGGAAAAAAGGTCAGGCATGAGTAAATGTTGACCATCCAGAAGGTGACCCATGAGCCTTCAGGGGGAGAGCGAGAGACAGAGAGAGAGAGAGAGAGAGAGAGAGAGAGAGAGAGAGACAACCACCCCAAAAACAGAAACCTTTTTGTCCTCCACTGTTTTCCTCAAACTGAACAAACGAACTACTTGAGAGTATGTGGTGTTGCAGATAAACACACTCAGTCTGAATACAGACTCCACGGTCCAGAGCGTCTTCAATTACTCTCGGGGGCTGCAATTATGTAATGTTCACCATCTGCGAGCCCTCCCTCCCTGCTGGCACCGCAAGATAACCCTCTGTGCCATGTCAAGCACTGCTGCAAAACTACATGGGCATCCAGACAGGATGCTTCATCCACAAACATACAAAAACACACTGAGTCACGGTGTGTGTGTGTGTGTGTGTTTGTGTGTGTGTGTGTGAGCTCACCGCTGTGCTGCTGTCACACATACACACACACAAACACACGGGAGGCCAGCTCCACCGAAACTGCTTTAGTCTTTCAAATAAAGTAGCAAGAGGCTAAAGATGAGAGCATTGACAGCTTCCAGGTCTGTTAACCTGTATTCTATGTAACGGCCAGCAGGGGGCAGATACCATTCAGTCTTATGGAGAAATTAGCCGACTTCTCACCTGATTTATGAGCTCAGTAAACAGTTTTCTGATAAGTTTATGGTCTCAATCTCTAGTTTCAACTCTTCTTCCATACAGCACGATGTTCATTTAGTAAATTATGGTTCCCATTTAGAGTAACTCTGCAGTTAAACCTGCATTAGTTTACTTTTTTGAGGCACTTATGGGCAGCACATCAAGCTGTTAAAGCAACACTGAGACACGTCATCACTCATTTGGAGTCACATTTATAGAGAAATAAGAAACTAGACAGAGAAATTAGTAGACATCTATAAATAAATAAATAAATAAATAGAGATCAGAGTTCAGTTTGAGTTAACAAACTTGAGCCCGACTGATCACCCTGATGGATCCAGTCTTACTGCAGCAGGCAGAAAAGATCTCCTATAGCGCTCCGATATTCACTCTAACAGCAGCTACAATCAGTGTTAAACTCTATGTTTCAGCCGCAGAACCAAAACAAAAAGCTGCGTATTGCTGCAGAGTTACACATCTGATTTATTTATTTATTTAAAAAAGACTTTAATGTAAATCATCTCTCCGCTGCAGCCTCGCTGTGTGATTCATGACGGGAGGTCTGTAGTTTTGCATAAAACTCTTGCCCTTGCGCAGCTAGAAACACACAGAGCGGGGAAAAAAGCCGAATGAAGGCTCCACATTGACCTCCTCATTCTCTGCAGCACTCGATCTGAACGGCTTCCAATAAACAACTTCAAAAACAGATGAGTAATACTCTCTTTCTCTGTTATATAATCACTAAAAAACCCAGAGGAAACACCAATATGGCCACTTGCCAAGCGTTCGTACCGATACGACGGACTTGCATACATAAATAGAGAGGAGACGCATTAACTCACAGTAACAGTCCTGTGATCTGGAGGAACGGCGGAGAGCCGCCGACCAGTCACTTTGTTCATTTTCTGCCTCACAGATCATACTGATTGTCACGGGCACCAGATTTTCCATTACACCGGCTCCACATCGATCATGACTGTTGTTTATCTGCCTCTCACATCCAGAAGAAAATGAGACCATTTATCTAAAAGGAGGGCCGTCTGGACAACTTACCGCTCCTTTATGGCTTCTTAGTGAGGTACTCTGGTGGTTGGGGAATAAATATTAATGCAGATTAGCTTTATGACTCAGTGTGTAATAAATCCTCCTGAGGGGGATGAACAGGGGCGGAGCGGAGGGGGGGCTTCTGGGTCAGTGTGCTGTGCAGCCGATGGTGTTTTCATTTGAAAGGTGAAAACATTAAAAGAACATTTATAAATAGAAGAATAAAAAACATAAAACAGCCAATTTTCTTCCCGTTTTATGTTTTTATTTTCAAAACAGAAAATTTTTTTTTTTTGTTCCTCTATTTATAAATGGTTTTTTGGGGGGGTTTTAAAATCTGTTGGCCACCAATTACACTGACTCTTCTGAAGCTGCAGCCATTAATGTTTTTTCTTTTAGGCTTTTAAAGTAACTTAAACTTCCCCTCAGACTCTCGAGGCCAGAGGTGTCCCTAACCCAAACTCAGGTTGTCTTGTCTCTCACTTCAATATCCAAATACTACAAAAATATTCTCAACACAATTTCCATACGTAACAATGCAAACAGCCGTTTCTACACATTTTATATCGTCTTTGTTGTTCGCAGCCAAACAACAAATAAAACCTGTTCTCTTCTTATCAACTGTTATAAACATATTTGCCAATATTTTACATTTTTATAATGATATAAAGTCAACTTAAAGAAAATGAGTCAGTGGAACAAACTGAAATATTACCTCAACAGTTCATGTTTGAGTTGGGAATGAGGATTAAGTTTTGTAAGCTTACTACTTTAATTAAGAGATGCTGAGACTCTAACTGGCTTATATATAAACTATCTGCTCTAAACGGTGAATCTAAAGGGAGCCACGTCCTCAGACCCCCTTTAGGATTCTGGGCTGAGCCTCTAATGTTTACAACGTCTGGTCCTGAAGCTGCCGTGCGTCTGTTTGAAGTCTCGCCGCCCGGCTGTGCTTCAATATTTCCTCCTCGAATGTTTCAGTTCAGCACAAAACGAAGCTGCGAGCGACGTAAAAAAAAAAAACTGTACCGATTTGTCGGGAGAATTGGGGACATTTTGTCCTCGCTCAGCATTCATAAACATTCGCTCTCATGAGGGTTTCGTATCCAGGCTGCAGGCGGCGGTTGTTTCACTACACATTTTAATGCTTTTATTTATTTATTTACTTTTGCTTTGCTGAATACGGGAAAAAATAAAAATCATGACACAGTAGAAGAGGAAATGAGCCGTGAGAGAGATAAAAAATTATGGTTTTGGCAGTCGAACAAACAACTGAACCACTTCCTCCCTCCCTCACATCCATTTCTGAGCAGAATGAGACTGTAGGATGCTCCGCTGCTGTTGCTAAGCAACAAATTACTTTTGCTGTAAAAGAAACCCCCCCCCATCGATCCATCCACACACACACACACACCTTCCCATAACAAAACAATCTCAGACTTCCTCTCTCCTCTCATTCCTTCTCTCATTTCCTTTAATGACCAATCAAAACCCCCCCCCCAAACCGTCTGAGTCTCCCGCCAACGAAACAAAACCAGATCATAGCGAGCCGCCGAAAAAGCCCAAGTAGGGTAGCAACAAGTCAAAACCTGCACGTGAGTTCATGTTTAATAAGCTGGAAAACACACACACACACACACACACACACGGAGGAAATTAACGGTCACACACTCGCTGAAGGTGAAAACAAGGTTACACGCTCGCTGTCTCTCCTGATCTGATGTGTGTAGCAGCCTCGGCGTCCTGCGGAGGGGGGTCCGCTTTCGCCACTCAGCCGTGGATGTGTGCGTCTCCATGACAACTGTAGAAAGGGGGTTGTGTAATGTGTAAGGTGCACCACGGCGAACAAAAAGACACCTTTTCTATTGGTGGACTGACATCATCCCAAACCTTCGGCTTCGTTATACACCTGTGGGGTTGTTTGTTTTCCTGGTTTCAGCAGAAATATGTCAGATTTTACACATTTTTTAGCGGCTTCATTTCCAATAAACTCTTTAATCCTCTTTATTCGGAGATAAAATTGAGTTAAAATGCCTCCACAACCCGAACCACAGTCTTCATAAAGGCCCTGAGCACTGAAGAGGAACATTTTTTTTTCAAACAGTATGTCTGAATGGCGCCCCCCCTCCCCACCACCACCACCACCACCACCTTCTGCTCCTTTGCCAGTGTTTTCCATTTCAACACCCATTAATCAGTGCTATTGCTTTTGTCACCATGGAAACTGGACTTGCTGCATCTCTCTCAGGTCTGGTGGGTTTTTTTATTCACAATAGGCAGACTGACGGCTCCCGTGGCTGCAGCAGGTCAGCGAGTCCCCCCCCCACCCCCCAACCACCACCACCACCACAGAGAGACACAAAACCACCTCTGTCTGTCTGTCTTGTCTTCCTCTCACCACGTTCGCCTCACCGTCATCCCCCCCCCCCCCCCATTATGAGAGATTACATAACCTCCTTAAGACACTTTACAGAAGAGCACATATAATTCCTCTTCCTTTTCTTCTTCTTCAGACACTACTATGAGCAAAATCAGGAGGTGGGGAAGGGGGGGGAGTTTCTCTCCACTTCCCAAATGACAAACATCAGTGCCGTGTGACCCGCACTGCCCTGCAGATCAGGCGTGGAGGACCTTTGAGGCTGAAAAAGCGGCGGATACAGCGTCACGCTGAGCAACAGCCCGATGACAAAAACACTCAAGATCTTCCTTTTATCTGTCAGACTGAATACTGCGCGGGTCCTAAAAATACCAGCAGCGAGCGGTCTGCGAGCGCAGTGCCGTACTTTTTCTCTCACTTCAGTAACATTTAAATACGAGTGGAAAAATGTGCGAGATTTTGAGCGTTGACGGGGCTTTCGTGGATCGAGGCCAGTCAAAGTCAGCGAGCGCGAGACTCCTGGACGGCTTCTTCATTCACAGTAATACGCAGGGAAACCCCCCCTTATGTTACTCCACCAGAACCCAGAATGCATCATGATTTTGAGCTTGAAGACGATGTCAACAGATGATGGAAAAGGAGGAAAAACTTCACAGAGAGGATGAAGAGAGAGAGAGAGAGATGGAAGATGGAAGATTTAGTTTCTGGGTACTCACAGTGATCTTGGTCTCCTTGACCTCCTTGATCTGCCGCCTGGCTGGCGAAACCGAGCCGGGGGGCTGCGGGGCGAGACAGGAAGGATCGTCAAAACTCTCCTCAGTGTCAAAGCTGGCTTCCATCATCATCCCTCTCACCTCCTCCTGCTTCTCTATTCTGGGAAAGCCTCACTCTCTCTCCTCTCTCTCTCTCTCTCTGTCTTTCCCTCCACGCACCGAGGCTGCCTTCAGTCTCACAAGCTACAGAGTGAGTGGAGAGGAGTCGCGTTGCGGGGGGGAGGGAGGAGGAGTGTGGCGTTCAGGGGGTGAGGAGGAGGGAAGGAGGGGTGGGTAGAAGGGGAATTGGTGGCGAGCTGTGGGAGCGTGACGAAAGTCTAGCCTCCGGTTAAGCTGCTGTCACACGAGTTTTTAAGGTTGAAGGCTGCGAGGAGATGGATGCTGCCTCACCCCCCCCGACTCCCACACCACCTCAACCCCTCACCCAACGATGTAGGAAGAGAGAGAGAGAGAGTTAAGGGAGTAAAAAACAGAGGAGGAAGGGGGGAGGGGGGATTTATTTACATGATCCTTGCCACACCTCCCTCCCAGGAGAGGCAGATAGTGAGGGAGGAGGGAGCGGAGGAGGAGGAGAAGGAGGTGGTTGATGAAAATGGTTGAATGATGATCTTTAAAAGACTCATTATGAGGGAGAATGGAGGAGGAGGGAGGAGAGAGAGCGAGAGGGAGGGAAAACCATCAGCCAATGAGACGCAGCCTCTCTGTGTCTAAGATCAACGACGGGGTTATAAAGGTGTGCGGAGGAGGGACTGTCAGTTGGAATATCTATGCTCAAACGCCACCGTTAACAGCGTGCAGAGGGCGGCGGCGGTTGGCGGCTTCTACGTCGTTATCTCGAAACGACCGCGTTTCACCCCGAGGCGTCAAACACGAGCGACGCCGCACGTGATCGCTCACACCTTCCCCCAGCATCCACCTGGTGCCCCATCACAGCCGGAGCTAACAGCAACCGAACGGAGCACACAACAACCTCACCTTCGCTGCACAGAACATGGCGGCGGGCAACACGATCCCAGTCCGGGTTGATCCGTAAGACCCCCCCGCCCCACACACACACACACAACAAAGCGCTCCCGGCTTGAGGGTTTGACTCAGTCTTGGCTGGCCTCCTTTCCAAAAACCTCTTGACAAGTGGAGTCCAAAATCTCAGCCGCCCATATGGCCCTAACTGTCCGTCCATCCACGCTCTCCTGCGCGATCGTGACACGGCGTGCCCTCATCTGACTCGCAATTAGTCACGTGGGTTTGGCGTGTGATCAGGAGTTGGCACCGGGTCCACGGGAGCGGCGGGAGTGGCCCTGCCTTCCACCGGACAGAGCGGCAGCTTCATGTGGTGGAAGAACACGCTGATAATGTGAGGAGGAGGAGGAGGAGGAGGGTGGAGGAGGAGGGTGGATGTGTTCACAGGCAGAGATTGAAACAGTGGATCCGCTTAATCAGTTACTGTTCAAATTATTGATCATAAAATATTCAAGTTCCTGGACAACGAGGTGACTCTCGGGGGATTAGGCCTGAAAAATATTCACAAATCCTTCAGATGTTCTTCTTCTTTCTGACAGTAACAGATTTAAGTTAAAATATCAAACAAACAAACTGCCAACGTTTTATTTCTCCTCCTCCTGTGCTCAGCTAACGAGAGGTTACGTAACGGTACCGGAGAATCTCTTCCGTTAACGTTTAAAAACATTTCCATTATCGGGATGATAGAGAATATCCTCACGAGTGACTGTTGAACCGGACGTGAGGAAACATTAAAATAAATAGATTAATCGATGTAAACCCATAAAGGGAAACACCTTCATGAACATATGTTTGGCCTCACACTTTATACACCTGTTTGCTGAAGGTGGGTCTCCTCAGGGCGACGTCAGCGGTCTCTGTGGACGAGCTGGTCTTTGCGCCGCTGTTGGATCCGTTGGCTGCAGATAAACAGATTATAAACAGCTAATTATTTAACAAATAACAGCTGGAGTCAATAACGAGCGAGGAAATCGACAACTCGAGTGATCCAAAACAGCTGAGTTTGCATTTCTACAGCAGACACACGTCGATTTGTGCTCCTTCGCACCAAAATGACGACTGATGAGGACATTTACAGCCAATTTGAGGTGAAAACAGCTGTTTGTTGGCGCTTCCTGTCACTGAATTACTCTTTTCCCCTTAAAAGCGCACATCGAAGGAACGTCATTAATTAGCCTTTAGCCCGGAGGTGTTCACAGCTCTGTGTGCAGTCTGGTCTTCATCCTATAGGCCCCCTTAACGGTTCTTCATCGGCTGTGATTCATGAGCTGTCTGCTCGCTGTACATCACATCCTCTTACATCTCCAGCTGAAGGTAAAACACGTGAGCACGGCAGAGTGAGACGCCCGAGGGCCGCACGTCGCAGCCGTGGACGCTGGTCGGAGCAGAGACCCGCCTGCAGAGAAACTCCTAAAATAACAATGACGACCACTTAAAGGAGAAATAAGAAATCATTATCATCAGAATATTTAACCTATGAGAGCTATATAATGTTATTTTATGTTAGCTGTGTCTGATCAATCCATTAAAGAAATACCTCAAACACTGGAGGAAATAAGCTGATTCTCTTATTCGAAGTTAAAGTAGCTCAGCATCAGCTTTAAATAATAATAATAATAATTACAGCACTTTACACTTGTTCAACCACGTTTTTTATGTATGTTTCTGTCCAAAGATGTGAATTAGTGAGTGACTCTTTAGGAGAACTCGGCCGAAATCTTCCTTGGACTACAATGAAAAGAGGCGATCTGTGTGTGAACCATAGTTCGGTATGTTTATTGTGTGTTTTTTTGGGGGGGGATGGTTTTGGACTTTTTGGACCAGTTACACAGGATCATCATCAGAACCACGAAAAATAACACAACAAAAATGTTGTTTTAAAATTGAAAGATGATCTGAATACGTTATATCGGCTGTGTGTGGAGCTGCCCTCCGCCCTGCAGAGGAGCGACTGTGGTCAATGTACTTTACAGCCAATGGATTTTTGTTTTTTGACCAAAAATTATAAATATTGGGAACAAAACGGGTCATTTATTTCATTTTCATTTAGAAATCCGTTGCACTGACAATGAAACTTGTAAAAAACACAAATCTATCTAGAGCGAGTGTTTGATTTGTCCGTTCTGGGCTACTGTAGAAACACGGTGGCTTTGTAGTTTCTCCTACAGACCTGGACTTGGGGGGTTATCGTAAAAATTAAAAAATCACCAAATCTGGAGACACATGGTGTGAAATGGTGAGTCTCGTGACCCTCAGCTTATCAATTGTTTTGATCAACGGCAGCTATGTTTTGGACGTATTGCAAAACAACGACGTCAAACTCGAGTCCAAGCCGCTGAAAACTGGCAACAAGAAGAAGTCTAACTACAAAAACGACACACAGTGTTCAGACTCTCAGAATCCACAATGATATTGGTGTAAATACAATCTTATCAGTTCCCATCCTGAGTAAAATGTACAACATTTGCTTAAAATGTAAATACATGAATCTGTACTCGAGTATCAAACCTTGGCCTTCATTAAACTTCTGCCTCTCTGAAGGAGGATCGCACTTGTCTGGGTTGAACGCTGACAAACTCGCCCGCAGCCGACCGCCTCCCCGCTCGTGTGTTCGGGCGTCGCGCCAGCAGAAAGAACAAAAACCATCTGCTATCTGCTGCGATGTCGTTAGCGAGGGTGGCTGGCAGCGATGGAACATAATAAGCCAGTCATTAAGAAAAATGTAGGATCTCCTCCAGGAGCGCCAGGCTGAGGTTTCACGATAGTGTGGAGGAAAACACGTCAGAGAAAATGAATTACAAGGGATTTGTCAAAGGTTTTTAAAAACTGTTGGAAGCATAGTGTGATCACTTATTGTGTCAGTTAAAAACTCTTCTGCTCTGAGGATAATAAGCAGATTACCACTGATGATGACTGATTGCCAAACTAAAGGAGGATTAATCTGTCTGACAGGGAAACATGTTGAGAAATTAAATCATGACCTGCAGCTTCAAAAGTGGAAACAAAACAGATATTATATCATCTCTAACCTCTAAAAACCTCCATAAAAGACACACTTTCTCATCCCTTCAGCGTCTGTGTTCAGGGTTGAGAACGGGCTGAAGATAAAGGCTCAGTTTTACCATATGGTGAGGGGTTGTGGCGTGCCAGCGGGCTCTGTGGGGCCTCGGCCGACGAGGAGGGACGTCGCCATGTTGTTTCTGTAACGACACAAACAACAACAGGAAGGAGGACGGTTGCACGTGATAAATAAAAAGTTAATGTGTGTTTCTTTCATGGTTTTTGGGGGTTTTCTTTGGTTATTTTCCGTTTTATTTTGTAGTTTTTGCTCCTCTTGTGTCTTGTTTTATCCGCCTCGATTGTGTTCACCTGTGTCTAATTCACTAGAGTATATATTTCCCGTGTCTCCGTAACTCTGGGTTCGTTCGTACTGACACAGAACGCGAGGATTTGGACCCAAATGCAGACGGGCGGAGCAGCTGTGAAACAAAAACTCACTGCCGGGTCAAACAATCGAAGACGGGAAGTAAAACAAGACACGAGAGGAGGAAATCTACAGAATAAAATAAAGGAAATAACTAAATTTAATACTGAAATGTACTGAACACATTCATGTTCCTCAGAGGATAAACCAAAATCAGGCCAAACTGTTTAATTTTAATACCCTTTCTGCATATTGGTCAGACTTTAAGAGTAAAAACAATATCTATGTTTTGTGCTACATGCAGGACATTTTGTCTTTTTACTGAGGTCTTCCTTGTTATATGTTTAAATACAGGAAATCTCCCCAAACGCTCTTTTAAATATCATTAAGTTAAACTAAAAACAACGTTGTTATGCCAGAACTCCTGATAATAAAGCAGGAAGCTTCTCGTCCTGCTGTATTTTAGTCGTCTATCACTGTGATCAGGAATCATTCCACTCAGCAGAGCAGGAAGTCCTTCACGCCGTAAAGCCGCTGGGTGAATCGTTTTTTGAAGAAATACTTGAGCGTTTATCAGCACTGATGTTCAAATGTGTGTGAATGGAAACTAAAAGTCAACAAACAGCAACATCTCTAACAAACTGTTGATCTAGTGAAGGTGAAATATGTGATTCAAATCTCACTTTTCCTGCATAGAAAACGCATTGATGCTAACGAGTCAACAAAATGTGCTTTGAACCACAAGTAATAGGAAGGTAGGTAGATAGGTGCTGATTTGAACACCTGCTGTAATCCCGGTGTTCAGTGTTATCTTGCTCAAGGACACTTCGACATGCAGACAGGAAGAGGTGGGAATCGAACCAGTGATCAGTGGACCCGCTCTACCTGCAAACATTTGTCGTTCCTCTCGCGCAGCAGGTTTGTAATCTTACTTCAGGCTGATTGTAAACTGCTTCTCGTTTCCGCTCACTGCTACCAAACGATAACAAACGTAATCACACACAATCACAGTTTTTAAGCCTCAGCTCGTCCTCGTTAAGTCTTCCTCATCAGACCAAATCCCACCGTCACATTTACAACTCCAGAGGGATTAAGAGGAAGGATTGTTCAACTGATCCTCCCTCCAAAAAACAACAAGCGGCTTTCTAATAAACGCTGTGATACACACCGACCCCTCTGTGAGACACACACAGTCTCAGTGGCAGCAAAGCTCATTTTTCAAACAACTGTAAGAAAATAAAAAGTGACGGCTGTTGAATATAAATAGCTTTTGGGTGTTTGTGTGATATCTGCCAGAGCTGTTGTTGATGCAGCTTCGGTCCCATGGGAGCGCCCCCGTCCTATCCCCACTTGGATATCTTCCACAAACGAGGTGTAAAATGTGACACAGATGTTTGTGAAATGTCACCTGATCTTCCAGCCCTCCCGCATTGACATAAACACCTCGCAGTTCTCGTTCGGGAAGCGGCGTGTTGAGTCCCAC